ATTCTTATGATCGTCGAAGGCGCAGGAAGCTAGAGATTGGGCTCGTTTTCACCGTATCTATGTTGATAGATGGCATGGCCGACTTGATTCTCCCGTTGACTATCCATTTATTGAGTTTAGTGGGCCTCAGACAGATCCAGGATACTACGAGTGGTATGAGAGGCACACACGTCGTTTGATATCACCGATTGACAATCTTGATGATATTGGTTTTCAGGTCGGAGACCCGATTTTACTGGATCTTGTGGTTAGTATTTTTCTCAAAACAACCATTACTTTCGATGTTTTTCAATTTTTTTTTCAGTTTCTTAAGTTCTTAAACTTGTAATGCCTTTTATTTCAGGGTAATCAGCTTATATCCATGAGTCTTGCTGCTAGGGCAGTATCTCGAGATGACGATCAGATATATGATCTGTTTCAGGACAACGCTACACGGATGTATGCAGCTGGGACTCAACTTCTACGTAGAGATGGTGCTTCGTCTAGCTTACCTCCGATACCAGCCATACCTCCTATACCTTCTCCGCATCGAGATAGACGTACCAGAAGAAGGTCCAGCGCTACCGAAAGAGCTACTGAGGATGACGTGAGACAGACAAGAGAGGGGAACTAGTACGCATCTACATCTCGGGTACCTCCATCTGGTGATGTTGCCGGTCCATTTGCTTCCCATACACCCTTTTATGCAGATGTTCCTATGCATGGAGGTATGGACGATTTATCTACTACACAGGGATTTATGGATATGTTCGGTGCGTCTACATCTCAGGTACCCATATTTACAGATTTAGTTGGTCCATCTACGAATGATTACGTTCCAGATATGCCATGGTCCGATTCTCTAGCTACCCCACATCCTCCTGCTATTGATACTCGGTTCTCTTCATGGGGTCCACATTTGGAGCTCAATTTGGGATATTCAAGTCCCCAAGAGCGGATCCGACCACAGTATAATGTTTCCCCTGTTCCATATCCACCGGATGACACCCAATTTGTTGATGATGTACCGGCAGATCCTGACATTCGTCGAGATGGTAGGCCGCGTAGGACTAGACGGGCACCTGCATGTGGCACTGGTTCACATAGGCACTGACTTCATAGTGCCAATTTTATTTTCTTGTACTCATTTTGTCTTTTTACTCATTTTGGACCTATTTATTTTATATAACTCTTTTATCGGACCTATTTATTTTATATAACTCTTTTATTTTCTAGAACTCCTTTTGTTTTTGTCTACATATTTTATTGTGTTGATTAGATAAATATATGCACTGATTAATTAACACTAATTGATAAAACGTAATAAATCTAATTGATAAAATGTAATAAATTTAATAAAATGTAGTTAGAATTGTTTTATTAGTAAAAAAAATTAAAAATCAGAAAATAATAAAAAAATCAGAAAATATTAAAATATTAAAAAATAATAAAAATATTAAAAAATAAGAAAATATTAAAAAATATTAAAATATTAAAATAATAAAATATTAAAAAATATTAAAATATTAAAATATTAAAATAATAATTTAAAAAGTAGAAGACGCCAGTGGTGGCGGCGTCTCCTCCCAGTGCCGCCACCGGCGGTGGCGTCTCCGTCCGATGCCGCCGTTCCCAGTGGCGGCCAACACCAATTTAATTACTACTTCAAAAATAACCCCATTTTAAAAACTCCAAAACAAAACAACCCCAAAAAAAAAATTGCCCCTGATAAATCACGTTGAATATTTAAATATGAAAAATAATAAATTAAAAGCCGTCATGAAAATTAGAAGGTGTTTCGTTGTTCATTCGATTCAAAATGTGTCAAAATTAAAATCTAACGGAAAGGTAAAATACGTTTCCAAAATATATTGTTTGTTGACTTGGAGAATCTATAAATGGAATCTAAAATCCACAATTTCAATCACTTCGTTCAAATAATTTAGTTTTTTGTGAAAATTCTCTTTTTGTATTCTGGTTAAGAGTTTAAATATAATTGTGATTATAGATTTCATGATCTATATTGACACTGTAAGTCGTTGTATCTTAGAGACAGTTACTACAAGTTAATATTGTCGTAAGGGCAAATATTCCAACTGCAATTCTTGTCCCGATCTATTTACTAAAGGTCATTTGTGAAAGCACACATGTCGTACTCGACGGAGCATGTTCGGATGGATTAGTTGTTTGTCCAATCGCATCGCGTCATGCATTGCGTTTGGACGTACAATCGTCTTATATACTTAGAAAATCGCAAGATGGCGGCCGAATTCCTATTTTCATTGGATGGCAACACAATTTCTTTTTAAGTAGTAATTACAACACCAAACTTAAGACAATATGATCATATATATATATATATGTAATAAATCCCTTCATATATATATGTATATCGTTTAATTATTTTTTTCACAATTTTGCCCTTACACAAACTTTCTCACCACATACTTCATTTGATACCTCAAGCACTTATTAATTTCATTTGATTTCTTCATATGCCAAAATGCAATAAAAGCGAAGAATAAAAAGACACGAATCAAACATATAATTGTCGTATTATTACATGATCAAAAGGTAATAACAACATGGCTATTGTGCAATTTTCTCTCTAGTAACCGAAAACCAAAAACGAAGTTACCATACTCGCCAAAGGAACCGAGATGTTGTCATCAACTATTCTATTCGGGAGCGATTCCACGAGTGTCGCCACAAATGCAACCAACGCAACTCTTTCTACTGTCGGGACCCACTCAAGTTGAATATATCCAAGGGCCACAAAGTAATAGAGCATTCTGCGTAAAGCAAACATTGCGTAATCAAATAATTATTTTTGAAAATATGGTGGAAAACGAAAACGAGAAATTGGATTTCAATATGTATACGCACCCGATAGAAACCAAGAAACCGAATAGAAACATAGAAATGCTACCAGCCAAACTCTTCTCTGGGTTATAAGGAATTTTTACGGAGCCAAATCTTCTTCCCATGATATCAGCAATTCCTACGACTCAGTTAATTTAATATTTTTACATAAGTATAGTTAAAAAAATAAAATATAAAAGTTATAATTACCATCGCCACCACACATCATCGCTAGTGAGATCATTCCAATGGGGGATTCACGCCAAAATAAAATCGCGCATAAAATCAATACAAGAACGTAGTAAAGAGGACCCTTGAGTAATTCTCTGTTAGAAAAAAATCGAACCCGAAAAATTTATAAGATTCTCTTGTTACGAACAAGAAACTCGAAGATGATTAGTAATGATATATGCTAGAGAATTACTTACTCGGGTTTTCCCAGTCGACTAACTGATTTTGTGAGCCCTTCGTCGGTTGTAAAGGAAAGACCGTTCAACACAAGCCTTAAGCAGTTTAACGAAGGCACTAAAGAAGCGAAGTAGCGGGCCCCAGCAGATGTGCTAATCTAAGATCAAATTTGTCAGCTGAAGTTTCTGATATAGTAACATGACATTGTTAACATAAGAGAAAATGCAGAATGCAAAAAAAAAAATATTAATAATAATAATAAATAAATAAATTCTGCAGGTTACCTGAAGATCGGCCATGATGCTAAAAAGAGCAACCCCGACAATATGTGGACTAGTTTACGGCTCAAATTCTGTTAGGAAACAAAAAATTCGTAATAAACATTAGTTAGAAAATAAGCAGAGTAACCGATGTGGTTTTATCGGTTTTCAGGAGGTGTACAATGTGTGAAGTTTTATTATTCCAGTTGGATTTCTTGAATTATTGCTTGCATTAATGATAGTGAATATCATTTAAGGAAATCCGAGTAATCAAGAATTGAACAAAAAAATTATCGCCATTTGTGTTCGTTTCGTAGTGAAACTATTTCTATGATGTAATATGATCCTATAGTTTGATAATATTCGACATCCTTGATACATTCGACTGCTACACTAAACAACGTTACTTTAATTTATGAATTCCTCCATTAATACACCTTTTTAGAACATGATTTGAGTTTCTGTGAAAATACAAAATAGGGTAAATCACGGGCACCCCTGATGTAAGGTTAAATTACGAAAACCCCTTCATATTTGGGTAATTACAACCACCCCTCCTCAACTATGAATCTTCTTAGACGTCCACCCTTATGATATCAAACAGCGGAATCTTCTTCTAGATTATGTGGAATCTTCTCCTATTTGTACCAATTTCACCCTACCCGAACTCCACATTTTGAAACAAAATGATCTCAAGACGAGTCTTTTGGCTTGTAACTATTAGATTGTGGTGCGTCAGAAATTGAAACGAGTACAAACTAAAGAATATTTCACGGAATCTACAAGATTGTGTTGAATATGACACCATAACGGTGGACGTGGAAGAAGAATCGTAATCGAGGGAGGTTGTTGTAATTACCCAAACATGAGGGGTATTTTCGTAATTTGACATTACCTCGGGTTTTCTTCAAGAACAGTTTTCTTTTTCTTTTTTTTCCAGAATAGGATATGAAAATAGTATACAAAGAGGAGCTAAGAACAGAAATGGGGTAGGAATTAAACATTTAGAATGGTGACAAATTTACTGCTGAGAAAATACTAACTGTTAGATCTCCTTTGTGTTCCTTTATTTGCAGTCTGTCTTTCCACAGTTTCAAATAAATTTAAAAAAAAACATCAAAAAGGGGGAATCTGCTTTTTACCCTATTTGGGTAAAAATTTATCATACATGCACATGGGGATTGGGGAAGCTACCTGTTCGATGATGTTGCGGCGCGTGAGGTTGTCGAAGGTGGAGACCAGAGCGTACGCGCCGCCGACGACCAAGGCGGTGGCGCAGGCGTCCTGCACCACGGGTCCGCCGAACGCGGCGGCGATTGGGCGGCGGCGGCGTAATCGACTGGGATTTATTCGAACGAATGCGGACGGATTGACGGGAAGGAGAGTGGTGGTGGTGGTGGAGGAGGGGGTGACCTCGCTGCGGCGGCGGCGGCGGTGGAGGAAGAGAGCGGAGGATAAGGCGGCTCCAGTGGCTGGTGCGCACAGTAGGCTCATTTTAGCGCTGCAGACCATCTCCCTGTTTCTCTCTCTGTCACACACACCAACACGAAAACTGTGTGTGTGAGAGAGATTTGATTTAAGTTACGGTGCGGTGGGGTATCTTACGGTACCATCTTTTTTGAGCTATTTCACATGTGGTACCGCAGGATAGAGTTACTGGGGTTACCAACATAGACATTTAATTACATTTTATTCTGTGTCTCTCTCTATATGTTCCGATGAAAACTATGACAATTCCTAATTTGAACCTCTGAAAATTAATACAGTCAGAGAATTAGCAAAATTATGTTAATTTATGACATTATTAAATTATTGAACTAATAATTTAATTAAATCGATGAAATTCCTTATCAAATCGCACACCAAGTGCAATAAATTGGGCATTTATATGAGGTAGTCTATAATTTAAAAAAAAAATTAATTCAGTCAATGAAATTCCTTATCAAATTTCACACTAGCTACAATAATTGGGCATTTATATGAGGTAATCTATAATTTTCAAAATTAATGCTTTATATATATATATATATATATATATATATATATATATATATATATCGAAATAAATTGGATTAAATTATTATTTTTATCAAATTATTTATTATTTATTCAATAAATACAATACTTATTACATTGTATTAGATTTTTGGGATTATTTCACAAAAGTCCCCCATTAGACAAGTTCAATTACACTAGGTCCAAAAAAAATTCTCAATTTTAAGATAAATCCAAAACATCTTTTATTAATTAAAAAAAGTTAAAGTTTCACCATTATACCCTATAATTATTTATTCAACCCTAATTTTATTGCGTACAACCTCCTCTTACTCAAAAATAAAAAATAAAAATCACAGCCTCCACCTCCCCGTCCCCTTCCACCACCACCACCATGTACACCACGCTCCGAGCAACTCTACCTTCTTCCACTGTCGTCGCGCCGCCACCGGAGAGAAATGTCTCCGCCGCTGGGATGGTAGCAGAGTGGTGGTCGGGAGGCACGAGATTATGATTCAACCGTGGCCGCATCCGGATCTGGCGGAGGAAAAAAGAAAAAAAAAAACTAGAATGGCGTTGTGGAATTTAGTTAATCTGAAGGTGATTTACAATTTTTTGGGATGGATAGCTTTTGTGTGTGTGTGTGTAATTTCTTTTTCTTTTATACATTTGCAGGTATTAAGAAAGTTTGGATTAAAGAAATACGATCCGGGAAACGAAGGTTTTGATCCAAACTGGCATAATGCCGTTTTCCAAGTTCCAGATGCTTCAAAACCAGCAAATCATGTTGCAGTTGTTCTAAAGGTACATTAGACTAGGTTTTCTTAAAAACAGTTTCAAGATAATATAGATAAATCTCTTTTTCGAATACTGTGTATATTCTGCTAATGTCTTGCTCTTCTCATCATTACTCATCAAGCAATGACCCAAAATCTTTGATTACCAATACAAGCTGGATATATGCTTTACGACCGAGTCATTAGGCCCGCTGAAGTTGGTGTAACTGTTGCAATGACTTGTGTACATTATAATGGTTTTCAATATTTCACATAAACTACTATAAAAATTTGTACAAGAATTATAGTGGTTTTCAATAATTTTTGTACAAATTTTTATACAACTCTATATACAGAGTGGTTTTATGTTGACATAGTTGATATATAGAGTGGTTTTCAAGTTTATATAGTTATTATACATAGTGGTTTTCATGTTATATAATTGTTATATAGAGTGATTTTCATCTTTATATAGTTGTTTATACAGAGTGGTTTTCATATTTATATAAAATGGTTTTTATTTAAAAAACTAGAAAGAAAATTAAAAAAAACATCATTTTAAAAAAATTCGAAACTAAGAAAAAAAAACCATGAAAAAACGAAAATAAATATAAAACTGTTTTTTTAAATTAAAATAAAAAAAAATGAAAAATATAATAAGAAAAAAAAATAATTTAAAATAAAAAGCCGAAAATAAATTAAAATAAAATAAAAATAAAATAATTACAAAATTTTCTTTTAAATCGAAAAAAAAAACATTAAACAAAATAAAAAAGAAAAGGAAAAAAAAAAAACTGAATTGGCGTGATGAGGGGAGTAATTTTTTGAGAAGATTTGGGTGTAGATTATGGGTGTATTTCCTTTTAAATTAAATAATTACACTAATTAATAATTAGTGGGGGTATATATGGTTTTTTAGGCCCATTTGATTTATCTCAAATATCATTTATAAATAAATGATTTGTCAAAAATTAAAATCTCAATGAAGGGTGTTTGGCATATAGCCCCTAGATTTTTACGGGAAAAAAAATTCTTTTAGTCTTAAAAAAGAAAATAAATAAACCGGGAATTTATTGAATCCCAAGTAAATCGTTCGCACTTGGTAATAGTTGAAGGAAACAAATATTTTGGAGGGAATTATTCAAAATAAAGCGCAGTCCACGTCATTGTTACCAGCGGCACGGCGGGGTTGGCGGCGGGAGTGTTATGATGGTGGTTGTGAGCGGTGGAGGAAATATTTTGCAATAAGCCTAAAGAAGCCCCTTTTTCCCTGATGGGCTTTTATTTTCATCCCATTATATGGCCCAATTTAATAGCTAGTTACATGAAACCCAATCCAAATTATAAACTAAGTTTTGATGTAAATTAGGACCCGTTTGGCTAAGATTATTTTATAAGCTCATAAGATGTATTAAGAGCTGATTAACTATTATATTTTATTTTTAAAATTAAGGGTAAATTTCACTTTTCCCCCTTGTACTTTGACTGAATATATTACTTTACCGTCTTGTATTCCCAATTGCATTGATTTGCCCCCTTGTACTTTGATTCGATATCACTTTACCCCATTTTACTCTCAATTCATCGTTTTGCCCCTTATACTTTGGCTATATATCATTTTACCACCCTCTACTCTCAATTGCATCGATTGTCCCCTTGTATTTGAAAAATTGTCTCGATGTGGCCCTCGCCGTTAGTTTTAAGACCTTTGACCTTAACACCGTTTGATCTAAGTTTGAAAATTACAAAAAGACCACTCCTCTCATTTTAAATAATTATTAATAAAAAAACTGTGGCTGGCGTCGTGGACTATATTTTCTCGTTGTCTTGAAATTTTTATTATTTTATTTTTTGTTTCTTATTTTTATTTTTTTAATTTTTTTAATAATGATTTGAACTGGAGGGGTGTCATTTTAGTAATTTTCCGACTTAAATCAAACGGTGTTAAGCTCAAAGTTCTGAAAACTAACGGCAAGGGTCACTTTGAGACAATTTTTCAAGTACCGGGGGGTAAATCGATGAAATTGAGAGTAGAAAGGGGTAAAGTGATATCGAGCCGAAGTACAATGGGGCAAATCGATGAATTAAGAGTACAAGGGTGCAAATCGATGCAATTGAGAGTACAAGGGGGTAAAGTGATATCCAACCAAAGTACAAGGGGAAGTGGAATTTACCTTAAAATTAACTTTAAAAGTGTTTCGATAATGAACATATTTACTATTTTTATTAATTATAACATCTTAAATAAAAATGTGTGTAGAAATACTTATTATAAAAGATTATATTTATTTTTCAACAGATTTTTTTTTTAAATAAGAATTTTTTTTTAAATTACTAAACACTTTGGAAGAGCTTATAAACTCTTTTTAACATCTTATAAACTTAGCAAAATAATGATATATATCTGTTTGAGAATTAAAAACTACACATTTGTAGGCATCTAAAATCACAACATAGTTACACTGCAAAATAATAAAACAAAATATCATTGGATTCATCAACCAATAACATCTAGCACGATGGTGATAATTAATTTAATTATTGTTTATTTTCCAAAAAAATAAATAAAAATAATTGTTGTTTAATTAGTTGTATCATTGGAATAACTATAGCATATTCTATTATGCTCCCCAACATGGGTTTAGTCAACAACAAATGAACCGTTGACTTCACAAGTTAATATACCAACAATCAATTACTTGAAATTTACGAACGCCTCATTTAATAAAGTTTGAAATATTAATTGTTGTGAAAACTTATCTCACATGCCCAAAAAATTAATTAAACTATATTTTACATTTTACGTGAAATTCAATGTCACAATCTAAGTTTGAATATATTTTTTTTTAATTTAATTGAATATATTACGTATATATTATGAGTAATAAATAAATGATGGATTAAAATTATGGAGTACTATATTGTAGTGCGAATGGAATTGGAATCACTAGAGCATATTCTCCCAATTATGGGCTTAGTTGACTTTACAAGTTGACACCATATAAAAATTAGCAAAATCAATATAATTTTTTTTAGCATAAAAAAAACTAAAATTCATTTTTTCCCAAGTTATTAATTGTGTGAGGTATTTATCGTGGAATTAATCCAAATATAAAATATGGAAAGTAGGTACAAATTTTATAATTTGTGTTTTAATTTTTAATTTTTTTTGTAATAAACACTTAAATATTATTTTGTAATTATTTTTTTGAAAAGTTTTGATCACTTAATTTTAATTATCTTCAAGTTGTTATATGAGTGTATTTATTTATTTATTTATTTTATTATTGCTTAAATTCACATGAATTTACGAGTTTTCCCCATCTCGGTACACCTCGTTAGCATGAGGGTGCGGCACACAATATAATTGCCCGATTACATATATAAATGAATTCAACAGACGCGGTTTTCAATTTCAACTTCCATTAACGAACCAATTTCCAAAATCCCCAAATCCCCAAAATCCCCAAAATCCCTATTTTGCAATTCAGGTAGCCGAGGAGAGAGATGGACGGTGGCGATTCTCCGGGACAGGGAACAGTGACGTGTGGAACGTGGATTCGGCGGCCGGAGAATAAGCATTTGGTGGTGGTCGGTAAAACGACGCCGTCTTCTCTCGAGATATTCTCCTTTGATCCCGAGACCACCTCACTCTCTGCCTCTCCCAAGGTTAGGTTAATTTTAGTACTAATTTCTCTACTGTAGTAATTTCCCCCAAATTATCGTTATACATGCTTGATTTTTTTTTTTTGGGTACTGTTTATGAAGGCTGTTCGGTTATATTCCGATAAATTTGAATTTTTGGAAGTGGGTTAATCTCTAGAAGTTCAATTAGTAAGATATTGTATGACAAGGTAGGAATTGTTGAATTTATCGATGATATGTCGTATTTATGTGTGAGTTGTTTATGTATCTATTGCAGGCTAAGTATGAATTTGAAGAAGGGGTAATTCCGGTAACTATCTCGGTGCACCCGAATGGAGAAGAATTAGTTTGTTCAACCAGCGCTGGTGATTGCAAGTTAGTGGTTTTTTATATATTATATACATGAATATTTGTTGATACCCATTTCATTAAGCATCAAATTCCATGATCAAAACAATTATTAGTATCTGAATTATAGGATCAAACGGTTTGTTTTGCACCTTCATGTGTTGGAAAATAATTAAATTTAATATGTGAGAGCTATTGGACAGAAATTATACTGTATTAGGTAAGTGACGTAAATTGAATATTAAAGTTTTTTCAGGACTAGAATTACGTTTTCTGGATAATAAGGTAGAAATTATGTTGTTTGATGGATTCTCGGTCAGATATAGAGAACATGAATCCTATTATCTAAAATCCAACTTTGTGCTGCTGGTTCTGTATTAAGAATATCCGTAAGAGCATCTATTCGGCTTCGGCCAACATTTGTGACACGGGAGAAGCTGTCAACTGCTATATTATTTTGAAAGGAAAATGATTTTATTATTCATGTATTTGAGCCTAAGTTGGGTATTTGGGGTAAGGGGGGTTATGCGGATAATTTCCAGAGGTATTGGACCAAAACCGTTGGTATGCCCAGTTTTTTTAATGAATTTATAAGTGCAGTTTCGGGGCATAAATATCTAGTTCCTTATTAAAAATAATAAATAAAGTATTTAACTTGAAAATTATAAATCATGTTAGCTTATGCATACATTTTACAACAGTAATTACTATCTGATTTGTTTTTTCTTCCTTTCTCTTTTGCTTCTCTCTTGTTAAGAAATACGTTCAAATAGATAATTTTTTATCACAACTTTGTGTTCAGTTATTGATACCTGAGATATATACAAATTACAGATTGTTCGAGTTGAGTGATAAGGAAGACAAGATAAAACTTACTGCCAAAGAACAAATTCCGCTGCAGGGAATTGGCCTTCAAAAGTGCTTAGCTTTTAGTGTTGATGGGACTAGATTCTCTACTGGTGGAGCTGTAAGCTTTTATCATGACATCACTGCATATGAGTCTCTTCACTTATGATTATCTAGAAAGAGCTATGTAAATATTTACTATTAATCTTTCAATTTGAAGGATGGATGCCTTAGAATATTTGAGTGGCCAAGCATGCGCATCATCTTAGATGAACGAAGAGCTCACAAGTCGTTTCAAGACATGGATTTTAGGTAAAATGAGCTTTTAGTATAATTTTCGTTTATTTTGAGCAAATTTAAGTGAAAATTTAGTTAATTCTTTAATGTTCAAATCTTATGTATAGATTTACCGACATGATCTTATTCTTTATGTAAATGATTTAGCATGTGGTTCTGTTAGTAACAAAGTTGCTGTTTGAGAGGCTTAGTGGTTGTTCCATTTCCGTTCCTCGAGCGAACGAAATTGAACTCTTTTGCTGCCTTCTCCCAGTTGGTGCTTGTGTTTTCCCGTATGATGAACTCCTCTTGTTGAGCCTATTATCTCTGTTTTTTCAAGAGACCTCTTATTGGTTCTTTTCTTATGCATTCACCTTTAGAGAAAATCAGACTATCTGCCATGTGGTTTAATACGTTGGGTCTTCATATTGCTCTCTTTGCAGCTTGGACTCAGAATTTTTAGCTTCAACATCAACTGATGGTTCAGCGAGAATATGGAATACAAGTGATGGTACTCCAATTACAACCTTGACACGAAACTCTGTACGTTTCTGTTTATTCTCAAGTTCTGCATTTCACATTTCCTTATAATTGGGATTTCGATGTTCATCTTTTCTTTGATCATGTTGCAGGATGAGAAGATTGAACTTTGCCGATTCTCTAAAGATGGGACAAAACCATTTTTATTTTGCTCTGTTCAAAGAGGTATGCCGTGTTATAGCTTGGTTCATAGAAAATGCGGTCACATATGTGTTTTTATTGAAGAGTTATTTTCACTTTACAGGAGATAAACCACTGACGGTGGTTTGGGATATAAGCACCTGGAAAAAAGTTGGGCACAAGAGGTTACTTAGAAAGCCTGCTTCAATAATGTCTATTAGTTTGGACGGGAAATATCTTGCTCTGTAAGTGCTCAGCCAATTCTGGATCTCTTTTTTATTTCCTATCTGAAAATTGCTTTACTCTGTAAGCAAAAGTATGACTATGAGTTTACCTTTGATTTGTTTTCGTTTTAGATGTGACTAATTCTGGTAGATTTTCTGAGGCTTTAGTTAAACGGAGAATCCCGTCAGAGAGAAATTAATTGTATGCTAAGTTATTTACTGTGACGGCTTATTAGAAAAAATATATGGTTGACTGCATGATTTACTGCTCTATTTCATGATCAAAGGTACATGAAACGAAACATCTATACGTTTGTGGTGAAGAAAAGTTAGGATTAGTGTTCCTCGTTTATTCTTTAAGAGACTTGCTAGAATCAACTCGATTAAATAGAGTAAACTAAAAGCAACATCATCAGCTAAGTAGAGTGAGTGTGTCACTGACTGTAACGGGCGAATAGTTGATGAAATTAGAAACCTTGATTTATTTTATTTTTATTTTTCTAAAAATAGGGGGACCAAGGATGGAGATATATGTGTTGTAGAAGTGAACAATATGGAGGTCCGCCACAGGAGTAAGAGGCTTCACTTGGGTTCTGATATCGAATCATTGGGTTTTTGTCCTACTGAAAGGTAAAATTTTGATAGTTCAACAATTTTCATTTTTGACGCATTATTTTCTGTTCGAAAGAAAAATAAATTCTCGTTTATTTTCATTTAATTTGAGAATGATGGTATATTAAATATTCTTCCTCGAATAATTTTCTCTGAATTTGCAGGGTAGTACTTACTACTTCTAAAGAATGGGGGGCAATGGTGACGAAACTGACTGTTCCTGCTGAGTGGAAAGGTCTTTCTATTCATCCAACTCCCCTCTCCGATTTCTTCCAATTGAATTTTAGACTAATGTTTTGATTAGCTCTCGTTTTTCGTATTTACTTGCGCAGAATGGCAGCTTTATTTACTACTCTTGGGAATGTTTTTGGCATCACTCGTTGCATTTTACATATTCTTCGAGAATTCTGATTCGTTCTGGAACTTTCCTCTCCCGAATAACCAAGCTGCAAGGCCCATAATCGAACCCTTTTTGGGCGATCCGCAATCTGATCAACATATTTGGGACCACGTGGACCTCTAAATTTATGTTCAATTTTTTTTTTTGGATACCTTTTTTAGTAGAGGTGAAGATCAAGGATTTTGTTTTTGGATTCAATAAACCTTATTTTAGTTTCTTTTCTTGACAGTAAAATTATTTTACTGATTAGAGAAATTTTACTTCTAGGGGGATTTTTATTTATTTATTTATTTTTTATTATTTTGGATGTTGCTGTGTAGTGGTGAAATTTGTAATTTTCTGTGTTCTCTTTCTGTTGTTTTAAAGGATTTTGTGTAATGTTTTCTACTGAATTTGATTAAGCTTGTTTGATTTCAGATTATTGTTTGAACTCGATTTGTTGATGTAACGAATCAAGTCTGGAAACATATTTTTGTTCTTTCGGCTCGAGCTCGAATTCGAAGATAAAATATTTACAAAAAAATCAAGCTACACACAACAAATCGAATTTCGAGTAGAGTTGTTCAAGCTCGATTCAATTATCAAACACAACTTTTGATGGAGGTAAATTTGTGATAATTTACACGTGGCAACAGATGATTGATTCTAGCCATTGTGATATTTTACACCACACACGAAAATCAAAAATAAAAAATAAATTAAAATTAAAGAAAATAGAAAAAAGGAAATAAAATTAGAAAAGGCCACTTGTCGCTCATTAGACGGCGCAACATTTGAGAAGCGATCAAGCAAAAAGTTTAAATTCTTTTATTTATTTATTTATTATTTATTTATTTATTTTTGTTTATTTATTACGTTACACGCCAGAAGCACCTAAGAAAATATCCCAAGTACTGAACTTACACACAGTGATATATATATATATAGTTTGATATACATATATTTTGCTCCACCAAGCACACTGTTTCTCAATAATCAATGAATTGCCTTCAGAATCTCCCCAGGTTTTTTAAATTTTTTGTAAATATAAATTTATAATTAAATATAATTTTTGATTTTGATTTTGTTTTTCTGCGCAGATCCTCAGCTTTCCCTCTGCAAAATTTGAAATCCTATTCTGGAAGAAATCCTCCATGCCATGTGAATATACTGGTAAAACAAAAGGAAAATTGTATATATATATATATATATATATATATATATATATATATATATATATATATATATATATATATATATATATATATATATATAATGTTGTAGTTACAGTGAATTATGACGATTCGTGTGATAACTGGGTAATGTTGATCCAATTTTGATTCAGGGGATAGTAAACGGCGTCGGTTCATCTCGGAACCGCATTGTTGTTGCTAAGGTATAAAGATCTCGGGTGGGACAAACGATTTAAATTTAAATTTATTTTTCCCGAGTGATTTAATGTTCCTTCATTGAAGTTTTTAATTTCAGTTTTTGTCTTTCAATTTGTTTTTCCTTTTTTTTTTTAGATAGATATTTTTAGTTTCAGTCTTATGTATTTCGATTGTATTTGTAATTTCTTTGTTTTTTGTAGCATATGTAAAATTATTTTGGTTCTAGCTCGAAACTACTACACGATTTTTTGTCCGCGAATTCTCTGCGTAACTGATTTTTTTTTATGACATTATTTTTGTAGGCGGTGTCTGGTTCTGCACCGAGTGCGGAGAACCAGACTTCCAAAATGGACGAGAAATCGGATACATACAGCAATGACATGACTGTAGCTATGGGAGCTGGTAATGTGCACCATTTATTTATTAAACAGTCTTAAACGAAATAAACGACTATTTACTGCTTCGGATTTTTTATATTATAGTGCCGTTATATTCGACTTGGTCAGCTTAAAAACTGTAATTATTGTATCGGTTTTTGGATGTCTGGATGTAATTTTTGGAAGGGTGCTTCCGTGGATGTAATTACCATAAACAGTTGTGTTAATTCACATCTTAATTACCTTTGATTTACTTTCTTTTGGCTTTATAATCTAACTGTAATTATTTCTCGAACGCAGTCTTGACTTATAGGCATGAACTTGGAATAAACTATAACTTTATTCGACCGGACTTGATCGTGGGGTCATGCCTACAGGTAATAACCATTTCTTTAACTAAATGTTGCAAAGCATGTATATTCTTTTTTTTTTTTAAATTATTATTTTTAATTGTGATTATTTTGTGCTCGGATTTGTGACAGACTCCAGCGGATGTTGACAAGCTTCGCAGTGCTGGAGTGAAAACTATATTTTGCTTGCAGAAAGACTCGGATCTCGAGTATCCTAACAAATAAGTTTTTTAATAACTTTATTTTCGTTCTGATTTTCTTAACCGTTGGATCTTTTTATGAAATAATTCTGATATATCCTCTCAGTAGACATGCTCTTGGGAAATATAAACTTTTACAGATGCAACTGCATTTTTGTTTTAGCCCTTAATACAATTCTTCAGTTACTTTGGGGTTGATATCGGTGCCATTCGTGAATATGCCAACAGTTTTGATGACATTCAGCATGTGCGTGCTGAAATTAGGTTTGTGGCAGAATTATTTTATTATTTTTTTCAATTCTTTTGTATTTTATATGTATGTATTAATTAATCTATTTATAAATCAGGGATTTTGATGCATTTGATCTGCGAATGCGACTTCCAGCAGTGGTAAGTACACTGCACAAAGCCGTAGAGAGGAATGGAGGTGTGGCCTATATTCATTGCACCGCTGGTCTTGGAAGAGCTCCTGCAACTGCTGTACGCATAATCAAACCTTTCGATTTATTTCTATTTGCTCTTCTTATTTTTCTTTTTTAATTACTAAATTTCTGTCAAGTGCCCTTGCGGAGTCGAGCAAAAATTAAAAGCCTTTTTGCAAAAAAATTATTTGGTTGGGCAAAATATAACTTATGGTTGGATCATTTAGTTTCTTCAATCCGACACTATTGCTCGTTGAACTTTGAATTAATTATATGGTAAAAATGCAGTTGGCTTACATGTTTTGGATTCAAGGCTATACGCTCAAAGAAGCACACACATTACTCATGGTAATATCTTACTTCCCCACTGTTTAAGTGTTTATCTATATGCATGTCTATTTTGCTCATCATTATAAAATGATAGCAATTGATTCTTTCGTTTTCTGCCTCACAAATTGCCGATTTTCGTTATATAGTGAAGTCCTATAGTTTCATTCACCGGTTTCCTGGCATGTCTCATGAATTCCGAAGAACAAACATTACTAAGAATTAATTATTATTTTTTAATATGTTTTTGTCCGTTGTTTGCAGAGCAAGCGGTCATGCTTCCCGAAGTTGGATGCTATCAAAAGTGCAACTGCTGATATTGTGAGTCATGGTTTCCCTTACCCATTAATTGTACTTGAACTCTTGTTTAAAGAATCGAAATGAATGGTCTGGGTAACCAAAAAAAAGATCATCTTTGATAATTAGTTAATTTAAGTTTCCTTTTGTTTAAAAAGCTTACAGGCCTTAAAAGGAAGCCTGTCAAATTCACATGGCGAGGCAATTGTTCAACAGTAGAAATTTCCGGACTCGACATTGGATGGGGTCAGGTAATTTATAATATAATACTTAACACTTGACAGTGATACTAAATCTCGGCCTTTAAAATTGTTTTATCTGTCTGAATAAAATCCGATGTTATAGTTTGATATCTCGTAAAATTCTTAACAGAGAATACCTTTGTCGTATAATGAAGAAGAAGGTGCATGGATTCTCCACAGAAACTTGCCCGTAAGTGTGTGTGTGTGTGTGTGTGTGTGTGTATGCATCTTGTCTTTTGTTTTGAATATGATTCGAATGCGAATCTAAAAAGAACATGAACATAAATATTCAACTATTTAGCTCCGTTTTCCGTTGGCAGGAGGGGCATTACGAGTACAAGTACATTGTGAATGGCGAATGGGTGTGCAATGTTGACGAGCTCATTACTAATCCCAACAATGATGGCCATGTCAACAACTATGTTAAGGTACATCTCGGTTTTTTTTTTTACTCTTCAATTATAAGGTCTCGTTTCTATATTACCAATCTTGATCAAAATATACGGCCACTCTTCAATTACAAGGTCTCTTTTTTTTTCTGTGATTTGGCGAAGAATCTCTTAGGTCGCATTTGGCTTTCAATAATTTGAATTTGATGAAAGGATATGAGCAAAGAATTTAAATGAAAGAATGTCCGTATTACGTTATAACGGTAACTAAATACTTCGAGTTTGCGCAGGTTTTGGATGAAAACCCGAGTAGCAACAATGCTGCAATTAGGAGTAGATTAAGTGGTGACGACCCTGATCTTTCTGCCGACGAACGCATCATAATCAGACAGTTTCTTGATACTTATCAAGATGAGGATTAGTTGTGTGTGTTTATAAGTTTTTTTTGTCATAAATATAATAAGCTGTAAAAGTTGTGTATAGGCATGTTTAGCTCACAATGTGGCAATTAATATAAGAAAATAACACCACATGTTATATAGCTAGCTGGTACTATTATAACATAATCGCTATTATCCTGACACTTTTAAGGTTTAATTAATAATTATAGTAATAATAATAAAAAGAAATGGTGGTGTAGTTCTCTACATCGCACCCTCTTTTCCTTTGGTTCTGCAAATGTTTAATTTCACTTTGCACCCTCGAAATGTACTATTTTAGCATTTTGCACCTCCAAAAATCCATTTATGGCACTTTACACCCTAAAAACACGTTTCATCGTTTTGACCTACTTTCTGATTGTCAAGAGTCATTTTTACTGGAAAATACATTTGCATTTTGCACTCCGAAGGAAAAAAACAACTGAATACACAAAAATAATCATGTTGACGACAGAAAATTATGGCTAGAAAATACACTACGGTGCACTTTGAACGATTAAACATATTTTGAGGTCCAAAGTTACATGAATTATTTTTGGAAGTGCAAAGTGCCAAAATAGTACATTTCAAGGGTGCAATGTGAAATTAAGCCATTCTGCAAATGATGATCAATTTTTTTTAATTGTCATGCTACTTTTATATTTAAAATACTAATTTTGCCAACCCGAAAAATTACTGGACTAACCAAACATCCAATTAGGTCAGATTATTTAATCAATCTCACCCAAACGAGGCCTAACTTGATTATATTGTCTATCAATTATAAAATCCAATCATAATTCTCAAACAAAGGCCAAACATAATATAACACATTAGTATAAATACATAATACACATCAACTTTAATCACAGCCTAATATAGGCTAGCAATTTGAGGACTACAAAACACCAAAACTTCATCAATAACAGCCCTAAACTCATCCCCAAATAAAGATTCCTTCCCATCAAGCCTTTTCCCATAAGAAAGCCCCAACCTAGACTTAGCTTGCCTCAAATCACCGACACCCGAATTTGTATCGGGCCCGGCAAACCCCCCCATAACGGGGGCCAACGGGGGCCCGATCAAAAGCCCGTCGGCCCCAAACTGGGGCCCGCCTCGGGCGTAATCGAACAGGGCCGCCCCACTACCTCCTACTTTAGGCAGAACGATCGGCCCGGTTTCGTCACCGGCCTCTTCGGGCCAGTAGAAGAGGAATGCGTCGAACGTGTCGTCGTAGTCGTCCGTGCTTCTGTAGCCCTCGGGATTGAATGCACCAAATTTGAGTGACTTGTTGGTGTAGCCAATTATAACACATGGTCCTTTGAAGTCACATTTGGTGTGGAAATCTGTTGCACTAAATCCATCTATTGTGGCTTTGTAGCAGCATTTTAGTTCTTTGCCTAAGATCAAGATTTTCAAGATTATAAAATATCATGATCAAGATTTTGCACTCCTATAAAAAATAATATGATGTAAAAATTATATATTTTTTTGAATACCTTTCAAGAATGTTTTGGCGACGAGAGAAGGAGGGAATTGAAGGTCAATTTCGTCGTAATATTTGTGCTCCGGCTGTGAGCTTCTGCTTTTGCCAAAATCCCACTTAAAAAAGCTCTTTGTACATGACTTGTATGCAGAATTTGACACAGAAAAGCAGCTCTTCAAGTTCATTTTTTGTAGCAGCTTATTCAAATTAAGTTGTAATAATAAGCTAAAAGCTGATAAAAATAAAAATCCTTTTGTGGGTGGATGGCATTTATCTATTTTGTTTCCTAATTATTGGGTGGTGGTGAATAAGGTGCGATTTTAATTGAGCAATCTAATGATAAAAAAAAAAAAAAAAAAACAAAAAGAACTGTCTTTTATATTTTCGCATCAAAAGGCGAAATCAACACTCGATCCTAGGATCTTACATCAATTTACTACCTCGAAATCAGTTGAACTATATCCATGCGGACAAGCCCCTTTGTATTCTCATGAAAGATATTCAAATGCTATGGGAATAAAGTTTATAGAAATTTTACTAAATAAATATGAAAATACTTATAAAAATAATTGTTTCATCATTTCTATGTCAAATAAATATCTTAATTTTGAAGATAATTTATGAATAATTCAGTAAATTTATATAATATTCGATCAATTTTTTGGTTGATTTTAACTTTTAAGTGTTTTGTTTATAACTTCACCTTTGATATCAACAAAGCACCATATTGTCACATAAATGCTACACCAAATTGATAAAGTATGTATAGCAACATTTTCTATTTATTCTCACACAAAATAGTTATATTCATATGAATGTGTAGGTAAAAAGATTTATTTATTTAAAAGTTATATTTTATCATATAATATATGTATGTCTTCTCAAATTGAATTGAGAGTAGCTTATTCACAACATATTTCGCCCCAACATAAAAAAGTACAATTCACAAATAGGTCAAAAAAATCCCTTTAAAATACTCCCTCAACTATGAATCTTCTTACACGTCCACCCTTGCGATGTCAAAAATAGTGGAATATTCTAGATTATGTAGAATATTAGATTGTACTGCATCTGAAATTGTCGTTTTGCACAAAACGAGTAGAAACTAGAAAACATTTCATAGAATCCAGAAAATTATGTTGAATTTGGCACCATAAGGGTGTACATGTAAGAAGATTTATAGTTGAGGGGTGGTTGTAATTATCCAAACATAAGGGGTTCTTTTTGCAATTTGATATTATCTCAAGGGGTGACCATAATTTACCCTAAATAAATAATATATATAATTGGGATTTATTTATATCTTCTGACAAAATCAAGAAAATATTTAATTTCAAAAATTTTAGTATTGGGCCACCTTCCCTTCAGCGAGTTAACTCAATAGGGTTTATAATTGGAAATATAAACCCCAATTGCCCAAACACACACACACACACACACACACACACACACTGCACTTCTGCTCTCCCAACTCAACCTATTCTACCCAGGTAAATCTTTCTCAAATTCTCACTTCTCTCGTTGTTTGAATTCATGCTTCATCTTTTCAGAATGTGTTTCGCGCATTTTTTTTTTGCTTTTAATTTTCGTTTCATTTGTTTGAGTAATTTTACCTGAATTGTAGGTCTGTGTTTTTTTTTTTTTGAATTTTAATTTTCTGTTTCTTTGTGGTTAATTTGGTAAGAAATGATTGAACGTTTGAAGAGAACGAACGAAGCAAAATTCCAACTTCTTGTCATCTTAATTATATATTTTAAATTAAATTTACAGCATCGGTAATTTTCGAGATGTTTTCTCAAGTTATTTTTTCTTGTCAATTTTCCTGCAAATTTTTAGATTTATTTTTATATTCATTGGATTTCTGCATTTTGGTGTATAATTTAGATCTTTGTGGTTATGGTTCTAAGTTTTTATTTATTTATTATTATTTTTTTAAATTTGAATTGGGTTAGAACAATGTCTATGTTGAGCTTATGTTTGAATTGTTTATAACCATTTCTTATTGCATTTTCTAGATTTGCACCGTCGTAATTGCTGCCTATTATATAAGTCATGCACGCGGCAAAGAGTTGTTGGGCCGGACAAGTATTTGCCACCGCTTCCAACAATGACTCGGCGGGGAAAAAGTCGAGGATTCGAAAGTCGAAAGAGGAGAGGAAATCGATGGTTGAATCTTTCATTAATAAGTAAATTTCCACTACACTCCTTTCTCTTCGTTTGCACCTTGTATGCATTATGTTTAACTAGATACATAAACTCGGATTTGCTTTCAGATATCAGAAATCGAATAACGGGAATTTTCCATCCCTCAACCTGACCCACAAAGAAGTCGGTGGCTCGTTCTACACCGTACGAGAAATCGTTCGAGAGATAATTCAAGAAAATAGAGTGTTGGCTCCACCTAAATTGTCTCTAGAAGAAAACGGCCATTCCGGATTCCTCGAACAACACCCTCTTGGATCTATTTCTATAGAACCTCAAATCGATTTGTCGGCATCGGATATAATTCATATGGCTACACACACTATGCCAAATAGTTATCAAATTACAAGTGAAGAATACATTTCTAAGTCGAGCGTGCAGTACAATGGGTCGTACAATATGGAAGTGAACGATGAAGAAATCATTAAAGAAGTTGGCCAAGATGTCGTAACAAATGTCGACCATCAAGAAAATAGTGACGTCATTCTTCAGTATGAGCAATCTCACAAAGAAAACGGACAGATAGTTGATAAAATCAATGAATTTGGGCAAAGAATTTATCGAGAATCGGAAGTTGCTGTGGAGATTCTTGATAGAGAGAAATATGGAGCCGAAGAGTTAGAAACATCACAAGCGATAGATTCTCACGTGAAGTCTGATGTTGTGGTGGAGACATTTCCTTTGAGGCCCGTACTTCAGACAATTCTCACCATGGATGAAAAATCTGGTAACCTACACGAGACAGCTGGCACTTTGGAGAAGGGTGAGGAGAAGCTTCTAGAATCGACAGTGGAATCGAATGGAGAGTACAAGAATGAAAAAGTGGTGATAAATCTTCAACTCACGTCTCTGGAATCTTTGAACGATCAATCGGGCTCTAAAGTTAATGTGCTTAATATAGCTGACAATGCAGATCTCGAGTCCAAGAACTCCTTACCTGATGGAACTAAGGTATTGTTTTCGTGTAAGGAGCATTTCGTTTGTAATGTGCTCTTTTGTATTTCATCAAACTAGAGGTTTTATTCATGCTAACCGGTTTTCCCCTCCGTGGGTAAGGGTTAGGAGTGGAAATTGGAACGGGATTTTCGAATTCCTCCAATTCCGATCCAATTATTTCCGATTTCGGAGCATTCTAATTTCTGAATTGGAATACATATAAGATTCCAATTTTCGATCCGATTTTAATTTCCAAAAATTAGACTCTTAATGTCAATATTGTTATATATTTTATGGTTTATACTCCGATCCTGAAAATTTAGATTTTGAACATGTTTTGTTCCAATTTCCAAAATTCTGAATTTTTTTGGAACATACCGGGAATTAGTTTTTCACTTTCGAAAAAAATGGAATTTTCTGAAATTGCTATTTTCCGATCCGACCCGTCTGATTTCCACCCTAGTAAGGGTAGAGTTCTTTATTAAAGTTGTTACGGAAAATCGCATGTGATTGTTCATCGTCATTTTCTTTTGTCACGTACTTTGCAGGCCAGCAGTTCTAAGGACTGTTTGATTTCCGAGAACTCAAGTACACTTGGAAGGAAATCGAGCGATCAAGAAAATAGCAATTTGCCCAAAGGAAAAAATCCCATGTTGGATAGAATCAATCTGTAAGCCTCACTATTCCTGATGTTTTTCTCTTGCACTATTTTTCTTGTCTTAAAATTTATTACATTTTTTGCCATCTCCGATAAAATTCGATTTTTATGCATTTGTGGCAGTGAAACCTGGGAAGGAACATCGAGGAAAGCTACTCGACCTGAAAATAATCCACTTCTAGCATTAGTAAAGGCGTTCATCACTTCTTTCGTGAAGTTTTGGACTGAATAAGGTTTTCTTCGTTTTCTCCGTTTAACAAATCGTCTCATCTTAGAAAACGGTTAGTCTTCTCATCTCATTTGATGTTTTATTCTGTTTTATTTGTTCTGTTCAAGTTGTAGTTTGTAATCCCTTAATGTTTGCATGTCTTCTGTGTGCTTGAGTTATCGAGACATTGATTTTTCGATCATTTTTTTTAGAATTGTTTTAAGTATTCTTTGCTATCTTTTTTGTCGAAGAATACAATTAAAAATGTTTGTATAATAGTTCTTACTTCGTTCGAAATTCAAATTCTCTTTCGACATACTTTGAAAGTACTCGGTGCACAAACCATATCAATACTAAGTTTACTATATGATTTTAATGTGGAGCCAATTATTTTGTTCATGAATGATAAAATGGATATGTCAAGTTTTTATCAAAGCTTTGTTTGAACTTTGAAACGTTATGCTATACAATTAATGAAAGGGTAAATTACGGCTAACCCCTGAGGTTAAGGGCAAATTACACAAATCCCCTTCTTGTTTGTATAATTACAACCAACTCCCTCAACTACGAATTTTCTTACATTTCTACATGGTGTCCAATTCAACATAATCTTCTATATTCTGTGGAATGTTGTCTAGTTTGTACTCGTTTTGTGCAAAATGTAGTTTACGATGCACCACCATCTGATATTTACTAGCCAAGGGATACATTTTATGATCATGATGTTTCAAAATGTGGAGCTCAAATGTGGTAAGACGGGTACAAACTGGAAAATATCCTAATTAATCTAGAAGATTCCACTAAATTTTACACTGCAAGAGTGTAAGAAGATTCATAGTTGAGGGGTGATTGTAATTACTATAATATAAGGGATTTTTTTGTAATTTATTCTTATCTCAGGGGCGACCGTAATTTCCTTTTAATAAAAATGTGCTTCTTTTTGGATCTTTTGAATGTGCTGGTTTTGTCTGATTTATAATTTATTACTTTGGTTGGTGAACAGAATTTTAATTTATTTTTTTTCAAAATAAATTATTTGAAAACACAGTGGAATTGCCCACTAGAATTGATTATGACATTTTACCTGTTCTGCATTAATTTCTAATTAATTGTATATGTACAAAATAGTGCGCAGTACATAAACCTCCCATGAATGAATTTTCCATAAGTTTTTGGTAATTATAAAATAAAAAAATAATTTAACACAAAACATTTATTAATGAATAAAATACAAAATGGTATTAATAATAATAATAATATTAGCTACTAAAATGGTCTTGTCCAGCTTAGATTAAGAAATGATATTCAATCACGGATTCCTATAGCATAAGAAAATCAAGATTCGAGCTATCTTTATTCTTCACTTGTGAGCATTATAAGATAATACTTTTTGTACCATCAATTTCGAAAGGATTCGATAAATGTCGGTCGAGTTTTAATAATACTGTTTTGATTCAACCACGATTTTTTTATTTTTCTCTCAAAATTTTGCAAAACTCGAAATATAGAATTTGTAGTTTTTTGAGTAATTTTCTAATCTAACTTGAATCATCAAAATTGGATGTCGGATGAGAAAGATATACATTAATTAATGAACACTGTCAACAACTTTGATGTACTGAGTTATCTAAAATTCAAAATGTGACTCATTCATGTATAACTTTGTCACACGATATCCTATCTAGCTGATTAAAAATGGATTAGAAAGATAACCCAAATGCCTCGTTTGGTTGGGAAGATTAGCCATGATTAACTAAATAGTTGGATTTTGTTTGATGTTTGGTACCCCAATAACTTACCGGATCGACACGCAAATATTGGACTTTCCAAGCTCCAATAAAACAATTAGGTTTCATTAGATTATTTAGTCTCATCTTGGCATCCAACGAGGAAAGTACTATAGTTTTCATGTTTCAAATTTGGCCAAAATCTGGTTCGAAGTCGTATTATTAGAAGTGATACGATATTTAACATTTCAGATTCTAAAAGCTATTATATGTTTAATTTTGCCTATCCTTACAACATCATAATCCTAAGTAAAAAATGTAAAAATAATGGATAAAAATGTAAAAATATTACTAAAGAAACCTTGACAACAAATTAACAACATAGTTGTCAGCTTAATTCAAGGATGAAGAGATAAAATACAATTACCGAGGGGAAACATTTGTTGGCACAATCATTGCACATGATTCGATGCAATTAAGAAAAGGGATAAATTACACCCACCTCCCCTTGGTAAAGTGTAATCACAAAAAAACCCTTCATTTTGACGAAATTACATCCAGCCCCCTGCACTTTGTAAATCTCTTACATCCATACCCTATGAAAGGGTGTTAATGTAAGAAATCTGCAAATTGTAAGGGATGACTGTAATTATGAAAAAAATGAGGATTTTTTTCGTAAATAAACCTTACCTCAAGGTTTTAATTGTAATTTATCCTTTAAAAAAATCATGGAATTCACCACTACTTAATCAATTACTAGTAAACCCCACCACTATTTCGCCATATAATAGGAGAAAAAAAATTATTGTATTCAACCAAACTCATTATGGTATCACTATAAGTATGTAAACACAACATGGTGTTTAGCATGCAATATCATTTTTTTTTTCTTGACATAACCTTTTCTTTCTTTTCTAAAATGTATCCAATGTCGGATGATAAAGTTATACATAAATGGATTACGTTTTAAATTTTAGATAACATAAAATATCAAATTCACGGGACACTGTTCATCGGTTCATGTATATTTTTCTCACTAAACATTCAATCTTGTTGATACAAGTTGGATTAGAACGCTAACTGAAAGAACTACAAATTTCGTATGTTGTGTTTTGCCAAAATTCAGCCTAAGAATTAGTCAAAATCACGTCTGAAATCGAAACATGTATTATTTCAAATTGGAAGGTCTTGTCTCTTTCTTAATATGTGAAAAAACCAAAATTGTGGGTTTGGAATTGAAACCGTGGTGTACGCATTACATTACGGATGTGTTGAGAAGCAAATATTCATGTTTCCCAAGTCCAAGAACACAAAACAAACGTGATAATGAAAACATTGAATTAGTCCATATATATATATATATATTCTAATCAGTGTAATTAATATCGCGATATACAGCGATGTGTATCGCAATTTGATACAACTCGGCATAAATTTTATTACATAAATTTTATAATTTAGACAAAAAGAACATTTCAAAATTTATAGATATATGAAAATATATTTGAATTTCCCTTTCTTTAGTTATCAAATCAAAATTGTCTTCACCGACCTCCAATCCCATCCAACCTTATCCCTCCACGTCACGCCATCCTAGTTCGAGCTAATAATTTTGTTTTGAATAACATAATTATCTTCCAATACATTAATTTACTTCTATTTTTTTTTCCTTTTAAAAAAATATTTTAGTAAGAAAATTAATATTTAATGAGTTTTCACCTTCAATTTTTAATCAAAAATTGCCTATATATTTTAGTTATATCTCATATGATTAAATGTCTTTTTAACTGCATTGATCGAATGTTAATACGTTACACGGATTTTTTCTAACGATGTATGTACTACTCGTATTAACGTGGCTAGTTTGATTGATTTTGAGTGGTTCGAATGTATCGCACATTTATTTTACTATGTGAATATGGTATAAAATGTAAATATTAGGAAGACTGAAAAAAAAATTCGAGCTAAAAAAGGAGTTCAAGATCGCAATCTCACGAAATTAATGTCGGGTTTCATTCTCCCTTAGCTCATAACTCGAGTGAAAATAATTGTGATAAACGAAAAGCGTAACTAACATTAAAATTTACTTTCAGACAATCTTCATGCGTTAATAACGTAAAATTCTTACCGATTCGGTCAGCTACTAGCTAATTTTGCAATAAATACCATTTTATAGATACACATCACGTGTTTAATGTTTATAACGAGTGGTTACATGAAGTAATGTCAAATTACAAAAAAATCCTTCATGTTTGAGTAATTACAACACTCCTCAACTATGAATCTTCTTACACGTTCATTTTTGCGGTGTTAAATTTATTGGAATATTCTAGATTAGGTGGAATATTTTCTAGTTTGTACCCGTCTTACCCCATTCGAACTCCATATTTTGAAGCAAGATGATCATAAGATGTGTCTCACCTGTAAATATCAGATTGTGATGCATTAAAAACTGCATTTTTAAACAAAACAAAATACAAACTAGAGAACATTCCACATAATAGAGAAACTTCCGTTGAATTTGACACCATAAGAATAAACATGAAAGAAAATTTATAGTTGAGTGGATAGTTGTAATTATTCATAAAGAAGGGGTATTTTCGTAATTTAACCGTTAGCTCGGATCTAATATAATTATGTATTGGAAGTTGATATAGAAAGAAAGAAAGCGCTGAATTAGATGCAAAACAGTTGATTGAAATTGAAATAGACATGTTAGAAAAAGTAGATCACTTGTGTAAGAATAAAGAAATACTTATTACCCCATATTTTACTTAATTACCCCCACTCAATTACCTTCCTTTGCACGCCTCTACCACCCCCCACCCCCCTACCCCACCCCCCAATATATTGACGTAAAAACTCATACCCACTTCTTCATTTCTTGCAAACAATTTCTCTCCACCACCACCACCACCACAACCGCCGCCGCCGCCGCCACACAGAACCATGTCTACAGATCTTGAATTATTCAGGCAGCTGCCAATAATCAAGATAAATTCCACACCACAAAAATCAGATATCACAACAGATAAAGAAGAAAAAGAAGAAGAGAATTGCCACACCCCAAGATCTCCCAAGCACATGATTCCGACCGCCGTCAGCTGCCCGCCGGCGCCGAAGAAGCGGCGGCCCGCCGCCGCGTGCAAGAGGAAACTATGTGAGCTGCAGTTCTTTGAATTTGTGGGCAGAGAAGAAATCGAATCTCTCTTCGAAATTGCTCAGGTGAACTTCAATAATCGATCCACCAAGAGGAATTGTTTAATGTGAAAAATAAATTAAAATATTTAATTTTATTCATATATATGAATAGAATTAATTATATGTATGTAGAAATTTACACGTTTTTTTGTAATTTTTTTTTAATTATATTATACTCTGGTCAGGAATTTTATTAATGAAATTCTCTGAATTATACGATTTTATAATTAATTAAGATCATTTTTTCTTAATTTTTATTACTTGTTTCTTTTGAATTTAGCGAAAAATACAGTTTTCATCCCTCAAGTTTCCACCAATTCACATTTGGTACCTTATGTTTCCAAAAATCAACACTTTTACTCATTTTCTTCAATTTTTCATTAAAACTAACGGAATCAAGCGTGTGTCTGGCACTACCTTAACTTACGGACTAACGGTAAATTGACGGAAATGACCAAAAGTGTTAAATTATTGGAACATGAGTGACTAAATGTGTTTGTTGTGAATATGAGGGACTAAATATGAAATTGATGCAAAATTGAGGGATGAAAACTGTAGTTTCCCCTGAATTTATCATTATATTGTTCATGTATAATTTGATCAACAATTCTTTTTGATGTTTATATTTCCGGAAAATGGATTATTTATATGATTAATGAAATAATATAATTAATGTGTGACTAATTATATATTTATATTTTAATACATAGATTAAGCTTGAGAGGGAAATTGTGTATTTTCTAAAACTTTCAAAATATAGTACAGCTGGACTTTGGTCAAACAAATGGACACGTTAGCCACGTGGCTACGACTCCATAATTTTGTACGCGTATTTGGTAGGGTCAAAACAGAGGTCGACACAACAATTGAATTTATATAATTAAGGGTAAATTACAAACACCCCCTAAGGTATGGTCAATTTACAAAAGAAACCCTTCTTGTTTGGATAATTACATTCCCCGTCAATTATGATTTTTTCTTACACCTCCACACTTATGGTGTCAAATTCAACATAATCATCTAAGTTTTGTGGAATGTGCTCTAGTTTGTACTCGTTTTGTGTAAAAATTACAGTTTCTAATGCACCACAATTTGATATATACAAGCCAAAAAACACATATTATGATCATCTTGCTTCAAAATGTAGAGTTCGAATAAGATAAAACGGGTATAAAAGTGATAATATTCCATATAATCTCAAAGATTCCACTAAATTTGAGTAGTTGAGGAGGTGGTTGTAATTATCCAAACTAGAGGGAGGGTTTCGTAATTTGACCATACCTAAGGGGTGGTTGTAATTTACCTATAATTAATAATATAGATTTATATAATTATTTGCATTTTCTTAATTATTATGCTATAATAATAGTTATTACCTGGCCCATAGCTCACCAATTTTGATTTCATATTATTAATTGACATCAAACAAAAATAATATTTCTTTGTAATTTGTTGATGAGGTTTGAGCTGTTCAACCAAATTTTGATATTAGAGTAATTTATAAATAAATTAATACTCGATAAATTAATATAATAGAGGCAATTTGTAAAAATATCATTGGGCACCAATACTCTTTCAAATTGGATAGTCATATTTCTGCATTTTGCTAAAAGCCCTTCGGAACAGATTAATTAGAGAGCTTAGACAAAAAAATATTTATCTTAGAGTGAAAATACACTATTATCCTCCAACTCACCGCCTAAATTCCGCTACAACAAATGGTATTTTCATCTAATATGTTTATTTTAAGTCCAAATTCTCTAAGTTATCCATTTTATGTCTAAACTGTTAATGTAAACTCTTCAACTCAGTTATTTAAACCGTTTACTTTTAGTCTAAACTGCCCCGAGAGACTTTTAGCAGATTCAAAAAATTCGGGCGGACTTTCAGCTATACAAAATACTTACAAGGGGTTTTTAGTCAATTTTCTCTAAATAATAGTTTCTTTCGATCCCGACTTAGTCACAACATGTTAAATCATTAATTCGATAATTTAATTTTTATATATGTAATAATAAAAATAAATCTTTTAATTCCATTCGTTGGTTTAATAAAAGAATGTTAATTAATATGAAGACCCAAATACTTCAATTTGTAAAATTTTCAGATTATTATATAAAAAAATTACGATGAAAGCCCCCGAAAATAGTTATGCCAAGCCCCAAGGAGGCCAGCCCATTCTCAAAACCCAGCCCATTTACTTGGCTTGGCTAACCCTTTTTATTTTTTTTAAGGGTAAATTACAAACACCCCCCTCAGGTATGGTAAAATTACAAAAACACCCCTTTTGTTTGGATACTTACAACCACCCCCTCAACTCCTCAAATTTAGTGGAATCGTCGAGATTATATGGAATATTATCACTTTTGTACCCGTTATATCCCATTCAAACTCTACATTATGAAGCAAGATGATCATAACATGTGATTTTTAGCTTGTATATATCAGTTTGTGGTGCATCGAAAACTGTATTTTTACACAAAACGAGTACAAACTAGAGCACATTCCACGGAATCTAGAGGATTGTGTTGAATTTGACACCTTAAGGGTGGAGGTGTAAGAAAAAATCATAGTTGAAGGGGGTAGATGTAATTATCCAAACAAGATGGGGTTTTTTGTAATTCGACCATACCTCAGGGGGGTGTTTGTAATTTACCCTTTTTTTAATGGTCAATTGCATCATACCCCTGAGGTAAGGTGAAATTACGAAAAGAAATTCTTATGTTTGGGTAATTACAACCATTTCCTTAACTATAAATTTTCCTACAGTACTCCCATTCTTGTGGTGTTAAATTTAGTGGAATCTTCCAGATTATATGGAATATTCTCCATTTTGTACCCGTTTTACCCCGTTCGAGCTCCACATTTTGAAACAAGATGATCATAAGATGTGTCTCATAACTCGTACATATTATATTGCGGTGCATCAGAAACTGAATATTTTGCATAAAATGAGTACAAAATTGGAGAATATTGCACGAAAATTACAAGATTATGTTGAATTTGACACCATAAGGACGTGCGTATAAGAAAAAAATTATAGTTGAGGGTGGTTGTAATTATCAGAACATAAGGGGTCTTTTTATAATTTACCCTTCCTTTTATTTATTATAGATGTATAAACTTTAGGAAAAATTACGACCACTCCCCTGACGTATGACTAAATTACGAAAAAACCCCTCTTGTTTGGGTAATTACAACCACCCCTCCTTTTAAATATTTTTACATAAAATTTATTTAATTCGATTAGTTACCGAACCAAAAAGTATATATATTTAGTTCGGTAAACGGTATGAAATGTTGGTATACCGAACCAAAAAGTATGTTTAGTAATTTAGTTCGGTAACGGTATCAAATCTCCGATGGCTATTTATTGTTAGATCTATATCTCGAACAACAACTTAAGTCAAATAAAATGCTATATATATAAAATATCTCAAACTATGTATTATAAATATTTGAAGTACATGCATGGAAATTTAATATTGTTATACTTGATAGAGATTTTGGTATACAGTTTGAATTTATTAGAACAAAATTACGTAATTAATTGTTAATTATATTTCAATTTAAACATTTAATTTAAAATTGAATTACATAATATATATGATCCTAATAAAAATTAATTAATTTAGGTAGGAAAATTAAAGTTATTTCCAAATCCAAGTTGCAGATCTCGAACTTTATTTTCATCAATAAAATTTTATCACATTTACTGAATATTTTCATTTGTCAATTTTATTTTAGTAATAACTTTAAACAATCCAATTGTTGGAGATCTATATATAACTACTAGAGCAAAACCAAAATTAGTACTTCATTTTTTATTTTATTTTAACTTTCTTACAAGCAAAATGAGTTTTGCTATGATGAAATACCTCATATTTTGTATCGTTTTATTAACAACATACCCTTTCCAAGCAGTCGCACAAAATATTCCGATTGTTGGGTGTCTAACGTTCAAAGTTCAAGTTCACGTGGTCAATAATCTCCCACCTAACTCTAATTTGAGATTGCATTGTGCGTCTGGAGACGACGATCTCGGGTTTCATAATATTACTGTGAATACTGATTTCAACTGGAAATTCTGTAACGGCTTTTGGGGAAACACGTTATTCTTCTGCAATCTGTGGTGGGGCAATAAGAGTGTCGGGTTCGATGCTTATAAAAATGGAGGAAAGCCGAATTGCTTTCACGATTTAAAGGTTGGTGGTATTTATTACTGGGCAGTGAAGAGTGATGGTATTTATTCGTCCTGCGATATTCCTCCGAAAGCGTTGACTAAAATGTATGATTGGAAATAATAATATCCAATGAAAGATGTTTGTACTCTCAATAATAAATTTTGAGGAGAGTAGATCTGAATCTCGATAAATTAATAATCTCGTTTAAATAATAAATTTCTCTAGTCCAGTCCCAATTTTGGGACAACATGCTCAATTAATAACTAAGTTCACCATTCATCACATTATCTCCAAAAAAAAAAACAAAAAAAAAAAAAAGACACAAACCCTAATTAATAATCTGGAAATAGCAACAAATGAATGACAAGAGAAAATAAGTATCTTATTTTTGTGTTTTACTATGCTGCTGAGACTTAGTAACCATATTAGTCATTTGTGGAGTGACGTAAGCCCTAAAACCACCACCACGCCCACATCCACCACGCGCTGCTCCTCCCATCCTACGGCCCCCTGATCTTGTGTTAGCCCTCTGCCAAGCATGTGAATTCATATTCGCCAGCGCGAAGGCCCGGCCCGTTCGCTCGTACGAGCCTCGATTCCCCATTCTCTCCTCCGTTTCTCTCATCTCCTCCTCGAGAAACACCGCCAGCTCATCGCCAGCCTGTCCCGACGCCGAAGCCCTAATCGCCGACCGCCCGTTGGAAAGTACATTCCGAGCCCCGGTGAAATCCCCGGCATCCGCCATTCTCTGAGCCTCCGCAATCCGGTCGGCCGCACTCAGCCGGTTCCTCTGCCTGTCGACCTCCAAATTCACTAGTGTTGCGTCCGTGGGCCCCGTCGGTCGAAGTATCTCGACGTGGTCGCAATGTAGGTTTACTGTCTCGTTCGAGACGGCGTTTTTGTAAGAACATGCGACGTCCAAGAGGGACGTATTGCCACCGTTTATGAGTGCCGGGACCGATAAGTTGACGAGGAACTGCTTCTCCTCGTCTGCGTAGAGGTCTCCGACCTCGACAGTGCCTCGGGACCCGTGGTCGGAGACCTCGCTCGCGTAGCTTCCAGAGGGGATCGATTTGATCTCCACCAGAGGGGACGCTGACGTCAGCGTCAGGCGGAGCTCCTGAGTCACGACGCTCAGGATGCCGCCGAGACAGCTGGCGAACGCGTCCTGCACCGCCTCGTAGGACTCGATAAAGGAGAAGGTGCCTCCCGGCGACGAGTCGGCGACCGCGTGCATCATGGCCGGGTCGTGGTCCGTGCCGAAACCGAACGCGTGCACCGGACAGACGGACGGGAATCGAAAGGCCCGGGCGCCGCCGTCTCTACCGAAGTTGTATGAGTCGTTTCCGTCGGAGAGGAATATGACACTCGGTACGGGGTTTCGGTGACGTCTTTCTTCGAGGACTCGAGCTCCCATTTTAAGAGCTTCGGCGATGTTGGTGGCCCCATCCGCCGAGAGAGAGTTGACGGCGCGTTTGGCGTCCTCTCGGCCCTGGTCCGTCATTCTCCGAAGAGGGAATATCCTGTGGGCCAGGGTCGAGAACGACACTATCGAGAGGCGGTCGGAGGAAGCCAAGTTGTCGATGACAAATTCGACGGCACGTTTAACAAGAGACAGCTTCGAGAAGTGCATGCTACCGCTAACATCAAGGACCGCGACGAGGTCAATCGGCGCCCGTTGGTGGATCTCCGGCAAGGGTGGGGCCCGCACTCCGACGAGGACCGCAAATTGGGAGACAGACTCCGATGAGGTGACAGCCTGGCGCTCCGGGACGGTTTTGACGACGACGTTTTGTAGGGCGGCGGCGGCAGCGGCAGCGTTGGGAGGCAAGGGCTCGTCGTCGGAGAAGCGGATGGTTTCTACGACGACGGGCCTCGGCGGCTGTGGTCGGGGAACATGCGATTGGGGTTTCGGCTGCATGAGGAAGGGGAGGCTGTGCCACGTGGCACGGCAGATGGGGCAGAGGTGATTGCCGTGAGTGACACTTTTGCCGATGCAGGTGAAGTGGAAGGAGTGGGAGCATTCGGCAGTGAAGATGGCCTGCCCTTGCCCTGTTTCCACACTCCCTAAGCAAATTGCACATATTTTTTTCTGCAACCACCAAAACAAAAAAAAGGAAAAAAGAAAAAAAAATCACCAAGAAAACCTAAAATTAAGAACTTGTAATTAATTGTGTAAGAAGAAAAAAAGAAGAAGAAGAAATAAATCACATACATCATCATCGGAAGAAGTCATGGTTGTTTTCTTGGGAAGAAGATAGGGTTTCTTGTGTTTGTTTTAGGGTTCTTGCCGATGATTTATATGTTGAGTTGCTGCCCAGTTGCACGGATTAATTACGTGTTCCCCAAGCTTTTAAGTCTTTTATATTTCTTATTACTCCAAAAAAAAAATTGAACGAAACCTAATTTATTGTGTTTCCTTTTACTTGCACCAAAAGGCGAAATCTCTCGCCCCAGGGCCGCGGCTGTCGGGATAACGGGATGTGTTTCTTTTTACTCTTTCTATCTTTCTTACACACACCTTTATGGATTTAATTTTTTATTTTTACAATACAATTTAATTTTCTTCATTTTGGGGAGAATTGCTAGTTTATACCAATAATAAAATTTCCAAATAAATAGCAAAACTCAAATAAAAAAGCTGAAGGATCATTCCTCGACAGTGCAAAATATATATATATGAAGTTTGTTTCGAGTCGATTTTAATAGAACTCGTGTCTGGCTCGACTCAATTCGTAATATATACTATTATAGCCGAATACAATTTTTATAGTTCGATAAAAATTCTAACAAACCCGAACAATCATCCGTTCGACTCACCAATCCAATTTAATTGAATCTAATCAAAAACTAAAAAAAAACCCTTCACCATCACTTCTCAAATTACATATGAAAAATACTTTTAACAAAAATAAAATATAAATAAAATAAAACCCAAATCATGCTTTCTTCTTTGCAAAAACATTACCTTGCATTATCGATTCCCAGTTCCACCTGATCATCCATAAACATATACATTTTTCAATATATATATATATATATATGAAAAAAAATGGACATACTTTTTTCTGAAAACAAACCCTAATTCTCCTTCGGATCAATAGTCCCATCGTTGTTGTTGCTAAGTTGATCTGACTTGACAACCATAAGAGCCATACTTCGAGTCGAGTACGGGTTATAGCGACAACTCCGATCACGACTAAATCGCTCGACGGGTCCCGCTCCGGCGACCCTTTCACCCTTGGTGGTTGCCCTTTGTGCGCCGTGCGAGCTTATACCGGACAATGCGTAGGCTCGTCCCTCTTGTTGATTTCCGCACTCCCCATTCTTCTCTCGGTCTCTCTCGTATCTTCTTCGAGCCACGCGCACAAAACATCCCCCGCTTAAGCCGAAGAAGAAGCGACAATGTCCGTTCTGCCCTTGGCTAGTAGATCCCGTGCTCCCGTTAGATCTCCCGTTTCCACCTTCTTTTGTGCCTCCGCAATGCTCTCCGCCGCACGGAGCCGGTTCCTCTGCCGATCGACCTCCAACTTCACCTTCATGTCGGAGGGCGAAACGGTCTTTACACGTCTTATCTCGACGCTCTCGATCTCCACTGACTCGTTCCAAGCGGCGTCCATGTAAGAACACACGATGTCCAAAAGCGACGTGGTCCCCTCGGTTTCTTCGGTTGGGACCGATAAGTTGATGAGGAATTCTTTCTCTTCGTCCGCGTAGAGGTCGCCTACGTGGATTAGGGCTTTCGATCCTTGATCGGTGATTTCGCTCGTGTACCTTCCGGAAGGTATCGATTTCATCACCACTCCGTCCGACGCTGACCTCAGCGTCAGACGGAGACCCCGAGTCACCACACTTAATAAACCGCCGATGCAACTCGCGAATGCGCCTTGTACCATTTCGTACGACCCGATGAAGGAGAAAGTACCGCCCGACGCATCGGAAATCGCGTTCGCCGTGACCGCATCGTGGTCCGTACCGAAACCGAACGAATGGACCGGAACGACAGTCTCTGTCAAGCGGGGCCCGCCATATCCTCCGTAGCAAGTGTCGCATCCGTCGGACAAGAATATGATGCTAGCGACGGGGTTCTTGTAACGCCGTTCTCCGAGAACACGCGATCCCTTCTGTTCTTGAGGCCCTCACCTATACTCGTGCCGCGCCGGTCGCCCAGAGCCAATCCACGGCGAGCTTAGCATCTCTCCGCCCGCTCTCCGTCATCCCGCGCAGACAGAACACTCTCTGGGCTCGACTGGAAAATGATACCACCGAGAGCCTATCACGCGGGCCCAATTGATCAATCACGAAATGCACGGCATGCTTTACGAGGCTCAACTTCTCTCCGCTCATGCTGCCGCTGACATCAAGAACCGTGACAAGGTCGATCGGGGCACGGAAATCGTCCAATAACGGGGGAGCCTTAAGCCCGATCAGGACCGTGAATTGAGGTACGGATTCCGAAGCGGCGACAGCAGGGCGCTCGGGTATGGCCTTGATAGTCACTTTCTGTAAGCCGACGGTCGAAGAAGAAGGAGGAGAAGCTTCTAGAAGGGGGTCGTCGTCGGAGAATTGAAGGGGCTCTTGTTCGAGTACAGATGAGGACTTGTATATGTTATTCTGAAGAACGTTAATCGTATTGGAAATCGGTTGGCAGAGAGGGCAAACTGGTAAATGATTGGCATTATTAGCAAAAGTGTTGCGAATGCAAATGAAGTGGAATGAGTGGGAGCATGCAGCTGTGAATGTGGCTTGGTTTGTTAGGCTTCCGTTGCAAACGCCGCATTTCTTCTGCGAAAACGAGAAATCGAAAACTATGTTAACGCGTTCGGTATGAACTAAATTAATCACAATGTTGTTAAATTTTTAGTTCAATCAAATTATACGAGAAATGTCGAAAACAACTACAAAATTCGAACGTGACAAAGCGTATGTATCTATAGCTTGCAATAGATGTAACATTTTTTCAAAACCAAAACCCTAATTAATTACGGATGATGAAGATATCTAAATTACTTTTGTGCCAATAAATCTAATTATATGAATCAGGGTTTCATGTGACAAAATAATGAAAATGAAGTAAACCAGAAGAAAAGAAATTATGGCAAATATAATTTAAATACTGAGATTGAAGTGTGTGAATAACAAAAGTAAATCACAGGTAACTAATAAATAGTAATTAACAAATCACAACCCCAATAAAATAAAAAATAAAATAAATAAAAAAATTAAAAAATAAAAAATAAAAAAAGAAGAATGAAGAAATGAGGACGTACATTTTCTGAAGAAGCCATGGCTTCGTCGTCTTCTGATGGTGTGGGTTTATTCTGACTGTGGGTTTTGCCGCTTCTGACTAACGCTTTTATATGTAACCCTAATAAGGCAATCTAGGTTTTTTTATTAGTATTTTTTATATTTTTCAAAATAAAAAAGGCAATCTAATTATTTAATGTGTGTTGCAAGAAAATTCGCCTCGAAATTTACGCGTAATGCCTGCCCCGCAAATAAACGAGGAGAGCATGGGTTCTATTTTTTACCCCCGAAAAACGAGCTCAGGGCGGGTGCGAGTTTGAGTATATATACCCGTCATGCATGGAAATCTATATTTTTTATTTTATTTTTTATATTCACATACTATAATATTACATCTAAAAATGAAAAACCTTTCAAAATCCTACTTCTTGATTTTTATTTTCTGTTTAGAATTTTCCAAATTCATATTACTGCTAGTAAACTTGAAGCATGACAAGAAAATTTAATTTTTTTTTAAATATAACGGGTTTCTTTGTCGGCGCGGATACACGTTAATGAAATGTGCACCCGTTGCAGGGGGGGACAACTGCGAGGAATGCCAAACCCGTCCCAAACCCGCCCATGAACATCCCTAATTTTTTTTACGTGTAAATGAATAAAAAAAAAAAAAAAAAAAAAAAAAAAAGTGAAAATAATAAAGGAAGGTAAATTGATACAAGTTACAACATCAATTGAATGCAGTAGAATTTTTTTTCTCAGATTTAAAGAGCAGCAAAACATAATCCCAATACAAAAAGTCAAACCTCAACCAAATCCCTCTTAAAAGTCAAAACAAAGGATCCTCAAAACAGAATCTAAAGAACAAACTGAACCAACATCAGCAAATCAAGAAACCCTAATTCTCCTCCTTCTTAATAATAGGTACATCTATCTCAAGTTGCTCAGACTTGACAACCATAAGAGCCATACTTCGAGTCGAATACGGATTATACCTACCACCGTAACCGCCGCCTCCGCTCGATCTCTCGACGAGTGCCGCTCCGGCCACTTTTTTCCCTCTCGTCGTCGCCCTTTGTGCACCATGCGAGCTTATACCGGAGAGTGCATATGCTCGTCCCTCTTGTTGATATTGTTGCACACTCCCCATTCTTCTCTCCGTCTCTTTAATATCTTCTTCGAGCCACACGCACATATCGTCCCCCGCTTGAGCCGACGAAGATGCGACAATGTCCGTTCTACCCTTGGCTAGTAGATCCCGTGCCCCCATTAGATCCCCCGTTTCCGCCTTTATTTGAGCCTCCGCAATGCTCTCCGCCGCACGTAGACGATTCCTCTGCCGATCGACCTCCAACTTCACCTTCGAATCCGAGGGCGAAACGGTCTTTGAACGTCTTAACTCGGCGCTCTCGATCTCCACCGCCTCGTTCGACATGACATCCTTGTAAGAACACGCAATGTCCAAAAGCGACGTGGTCCCCCCGGTTTCTTCCCTTGGGACCGACAAGTTGATCAAGAATTCCTTCTCTTCGTCCGCGTAGAGGTCGCCTACGTTGATCGTGGCTTTGGATCCTTGCTCGGCGATTTCGCTCTTGTACCTTCCGGAAGGTATCGATTTCATCACCACTCCGTCCGACGCTGACCTCAGCGTCAGGCGGAGCCCTAGAGTAACCACGCTCAATAGACCGCCGATGCAGCTCGCGAAAGCGCCCTGCACCATTTCGTAAGACTCGATGAAGGAGAAAGTACCGCCCGACGCATCGGAAACCGCGTGCATTGTAACGGCATCGTGGTCCGTGCCGAAACCGAACGAGTGGACTGGAATAACAGTCTCCGCCTTCTCACGGGGCCATCCGCCGTTATTTCCTACGGGGTAAATCGAAGGAGGCAGTTGCGAAAAATACGAGCGGTTGTGAGAGTCGCATCCATCGGACAAGAACACGATGCTCGAGACGGGATTCTTGTACCGCCGTTCTCCGAGAACGCGCACTCCCTTCTTGAGGCCCTCGACTATATTCGTGCCGCCAATCGCCCACAGCGTATCGACGGCAAACTTAGCGTCTCTCTTGCCGCTCTCCGTCATTCCGCGCAGGCGGAATATCCTCTTGGCATGATCGGAGAAAGACACCACCGAGAGCCTGTCGCGCGACCCCAACTGATCGATCACGAAATGCATGGCTTGCTTTACGAGACTTAGCTTCGCTCCGGTCATGCTGCCGCTAATATCGAGAACCGTAACAAGGTCGATCGGGGCACGGAAATCCTCCGACAACGGAGGCGCCTTCAGCCCAATTAGGACCGTGAATTGAGGCACGGACTCCGAAGCGGCGACGGGTTCGCGCTCGGGTACGGCTTTGATTGTAACTTTCTGTAAGCCGACGGTTGACGATGAAGAAGAAGAAGGTTCTAGAAGGGGGTAGTCGTCGGAAAAATGAACGGACTCGGGTTCGAGTTTAGGGAGTACTACTTGCGGGGCTAACGGAGGAGCGACGAAAGGCGGGGAATTTCGAGGCAAGGGAGGAGAAGGTAAGTTGGATGTAAATTTGTATGTGGTATTCTGAATAGCATTTAGGGTTTTGGATATAGGTTGGCAGAGAGGGCAAACTGGGGAAGGATTTTTATTATTATTATTATTGTTATTATTATTAATATTATTATTATTATTATTATTATTAATAATATTATAAAAAGAAAAAGGGTTGGAAATGCAGGTGAAGTGGAAGGAGTGGGAGCATGCATCAGGTGTGAAGGTGGCTTGTTTTGTTAGAAGGGTATCTCTGCAAATTCCGCATATTTTCTGCAAATCAAAACTGCATTAATTATATGTAAATATAAATGTAAGATTGAACAATAAATATATATTAAAGCAAAATAGTTTCGGTTTCGGTTTCGGTTTCGGTTTTTGCGACCAAACAATTTATCAGCTACTAATTAATTGAATTCGAACTTTTATGCTGTGGTGTGTGATGAATATAATGATGATTTAATTTTTTATTTTTTTTTAAATCAAAACCCTAATTGATACATACAGATGATGAAGCAGATGCAAGTATAGTAGATCGATATATGAGAATATATGTAAATTACTTTTGTGCCAAAAAAATCTAATTCTTCATAAATCTTTATATACTATTAATTTCCAAGTAATAATGCATCTCAAATTTTCTAAAAACATAAAAATAAATTAAATAAATAATTAAAAAAAAAATAAGAGGTTTCATCGTGTGACAGATCCTAAAATAAATTAATTGGAAAATTAAAATGAAGTAAAACCATTAAAATATTGGAGATTGAACAAATGAAATTTCTGTAAATATAATTTCAAATGTTGAGATTCATCCGAAACAATAAAGTAACAGAGATTATACTATATATGTATATATTTAAAAATAAAAAAAAAATAAAAAAAAAATAAATAAAAATTAAATAAATAATAAATAAAGAAACAAAAGAGAAGAAGAAATGACTTACAGTTCCAGAAGAAGTCATGGTTTCGTCTTCTTCTGATCGTGTGGCCGTCGGTTTCTTGTGTTTTGTCTATTTATTCGTTTTTCGAAGCATCATTTAATAAATATTTATAATTGTTTTTTTTGTAAATATTAAATGAATTGTTTTGATTATCACTTTAATTTAACAATTTATTTTTCAAAAAATGATACTCCACTATTTTCATTTTGTAAAACCTAGTTATATTTAAGTATATATATTCTAATTTACTTTTTATAAAACTTATGTTAGGAGCTGCAAGTAAATAATGTAATTTCTTTAATTTTGTGCATAGATTTTTTAACATTATTTATCTACCTTTTTTAAAATACATAGATTCGTTATAATATTAAGAGCGCGCAATCTGCGCTTATTTGATTAATTTTTAAAACAGAAATTATATCAATCACGAAGATATATTTTATTCGATAAAATATGAAGTTCGGCTCGAGTTCGATTTAAAAACAAATAATATAATATATATCCAAAAAATTAAGATGCTCGAGCTCAACTCGTCTCCGGCTCGACTCAATTCCGAGTCAGTTGCTCGCGTTTAGTACACTTGTGTTATATCGAATTCCGTTTTCGTACTACAAAAGAAACCACTTTCAACGATTGCATACGAAATTAAAACTATCCCAGAACATCACAACTGTCTGAAAGATGACAACAAAAATCAGTTTTGCAAAAATATATATTCTCTTAAAATCAAGAAAAGAAAATAAAATAAAAATCAAGAAACTCTAATTCTCCGGCTCCTTCTTAATAATCGGCTCAGCCTCGTCATCGCTAAGTTGCTCGGCCTTGACAACCATAAGAGCCATACTTTTAGTCGAATAAGGGCTGTATCGTCTTTCCGCTCCGGCCACTTTTTTCCCTTTCGTCGTCGCCCTTTGTGCACCGTGCGAACTCATACCCGCGAGTGCGTACGCTCGGCCCTCTTTATTGTATTGTTCGGCACTCCCCATTCTTCTCTCGGTCTCTTTCATATCTTCTTCGAGCCACACGCACATATCATCCCCCGCTTGAGCCGAAGAAGAACCGAGAATGTCCGTTCTACCCTTGGCTAGCAAATCACGCGCCCCGTTTACATCTCCGGATTCCGCCATCTTTTGAGCCTCCGCAATGCTCTCCGCCGCATGTAGCCGGTTCCTCTGCCGATCGACCTCCAGTTTCACCTTCGTGTCCGAGGGCGAACCCTTCCTTGCGCGTCTAATCTCGACGCTCTCGATCTCCACCGTCTCTTTCTCCGACACAACGTCAATGTAAGAACACACAATGTCCAAAAGAGACGTCTTTCGAATGGGGATGGATAAGTTGATCAAGAATTCCTTCTCTTCGTCAGCGTAGAGGTCGCCTACGTGGATCGTACCTTTCGATCCTTGATCGGCGATTTCGCTGGGGTACCTTCCGGAAGGTATCGATTTCATCACCACCCCGTTAGACCCTGACCTCAGCGACAACCGGAGCCCTTGAGTCACCACACTCAAAAGACCCCCGATACAGCTGGCAAAAGCGCCTTGCACCATCTCGTACGACTCGATGAAGGAGAAAGTACCGCCCGACGCATCGGATATCGCGTGCATTGTAACAGCATCGTGATCCGTGCCAAAACCAAATGCATGTACCGGAAAGAGTTCAATCTCTTGCTGATGTGGCAGTCTATTTGCGGGGTAGATCGAAGGCGGCAGTAGGTGGAAAAATGGGCGGTGGTTGCAGTTATCGATTCCGTCCGATAAGAACACGATACTCGCGACTGGATTCTTGTAACTCCGCTCTTCGAGAACCCGCGCTCCTTTCTTCAGGCCCTCGACTATATTGGTGTTGCCGATAACAACCAGTGAATTGACCGCCAGCTTGGCGCTCGCTCGGCCGGCTTCCGTCATTCTCGTCAAACGGAATATTCTCCACGCCTGATTGGAGAAAGATACTATCGAAAGCCGGTCGGAAGGGCCCAACTCATCGATCACGAAATTCACGGCCCGCTTTACGAGATCCAGCTTCGTTCCCTTCATGCTGCCACTAACATCAAGAACCGTGACGAGGTCGACGGGGGCCCCACGCTGAGAGGAAGCTGGTAACGGGGGCGCCTTCAGTCCTATCAGAACCGTGAATTGAGGCGCGGACTCCGAGGCGGCGAGCACGTCGCGCTCGGGTACGGCATTGATGGTCACTTTTTCTAAGCCGACGGTTGTTGTTGTTGTTGTAGAAGAAGGTTCGAGAAGGGGGTCGTCGTCGGAGAACTGAACAGGCTCGGGTTCGAGTTTAGGGATTTGCGGAGCCGACGGAGGAACGGAAGGCGGGGCGTTTGGCAACGGGGCATTGTAATTGGGAAGGGGTTGGCAAAGAGGGCAAATTGGGAAAGGGTTTGGAATAGCAAAAGTGTTTGTGATGCAGATGAAGTGGAATGAGTGGTGACACGTGGCAGTGAAGCTGCCTTGGCTTGTATTTATGCTTCCTAAGCAGATGCTGCATATTTTCTGCAATACAGAAAAGTTGTATCTATATGTTACCATTAATTAAATGCAATGCATGCAGACATTTGATAAATATCAAATAAACTATGTTTTAATCTGCAAATTAATCACACTGTTATTAAACAAAAATACTAGTTCAATTATTTAATAATTTTTTTATTCGAGAAATTTCGAAAACAATATAATACGAAAGTTGAACTCGTATGCAGAATTAAAATGACAAAATTACCAACAAATCCCTAATTACATTTCAGAATCAAAACACTAATTTACTAATTAATTACAGACGATGAAGCAGATTCAAATAGGAGATGATGAAGATATCTAAATTACTTTTGTGCCAATAAATCTAATTCTTCATAATATATATACTACTCCCAACTAATAAACATCTTAAAAAAATAATAAATAATAAAAACAAAATTAGGGTTTCATGTGAGGTATAACTTCTGATAAATATAATATGAAGATCAAAACTACAGAAAAGAAAAATCTGAAACAAAACAAATAAACAAACAACCCCCAAAAATGAAACCCTAAACGCAATCACCAAGAAAGCGCGCGTGGGCACACGCGCACACACACACACACACGCGCGCGCTTTATCACACCAGGAAAAAAAAATTAAAAAATGAAAATAGGAGAAGAAGAAGAAGAAGAAACGACGTACAGTTGCTGGAGAAGTCATTCTTCTTCTGAGAGGCTTTACGCTACAGATGAAAGCTTAATAATAAATAATAATAAATTAATAATACTGTAATTCCTTTTAATTTAGGCCTAAAGGTATTTAAAGAGTTTACTTACGCTAGTGGTGGTATATTATATTACAGTGGGGCCCAGTTGCCTATTTAAATTATTAAATAATATATGAATCCGGATTAAAAATAAATGAATGACGTGGATATGTTAAGCAAAAGAGTGGGTGGTTAATGCTCTCCTAATTAATAGGTGTTTAAACTTACAATTCGAATGGTTTTTTTTATTATTATTACCTTTTTTATGAAGCTTTTTAAATTCGAACGAAGTTATGTATAGAATATAGATAGTTGGATACCACAATTGTGAAGGTTGGAAATAGTAAAATATATTGAATACTTAATTAATTTTTCGATAAGTATATAATATGTAATATATACTATGAATTTAGTATCGAAAATTTGAGATCTTTTTCGGAAATTCTGAAAAATTCAAATATATTTCCAATTCCAATCCAAAAGATATTTGGAAAAAAATAACAGGAAATCGGAATTTTGTGAATCGAAATAAAAAGAAATGTTCTAAAGTTGGAAAGTTTCGGATCAGAATCGGCTAAATTTATGAATTTGATTTCGAGCTGCACCCCTAGCTAGGATCAAAATATAATATAGGTTTACAAAAAGAGATACAAAAAAACAAAATTCAAAAAAAATTGAAAATTCGAAAAAAATCAAGAAACTCTAATTCTCCGGCTCCTTCTTAATAATCGGCTTCGTCTCGTCGTCGCTAAGTTGCTCGGCTTTGACAACCATAAGAGCCATACTTTTAGTCGAATAAGGACTATATCGTCTTTCCGCTCCGACGACTTTTTTCCCTTTCGTCGTCGCCCTTTGTGCACCGTGCGAGCTCATACCCGAGAGTGCGTACGCTCGACCCTCTTTTTGATATTGTTCCGCACTCCCCATTCTTCTCTCGGTCTCTTTCATATCTTCTTCGAGCCACACGCACATATCATCCCCCGCTTGAGCCGAAGAAGAACCGAGAATGTCCGTTCTACCCTTGGCTAGCAAATCACGCGCCCCCGTTACATCTCCCATTTCCGCCATCTTTTGTGCCTCCGCAATGCTCTCCGCCGCATGTAGCCGGTTCCTCTGCCGATCGACCTCCAACTTCACCTTCGTGTCCGAGGGCGAAACGGTCTTTACACGTCTTATCTCGACGCTCTCGATCTCCACCGTCTCCTTCTCCGACACCACGTCAATGTAAGAACACACAATGTCCAAAAGCAACGTCTTCCGCGCGGCGACGGATAAATTGATCAAGAATTCTTTCTCTTCGTCCGCGTAGAGGTCGCCTACATTGATGAGGGCTTTCGACCCTCGATTGGTGATTTCGCTCGCGTACCTTCCGGAAGGTATCGATTTCATCACCACACCTTTTGAGGCTGACCTCAGCGACAAGTGGAGCCCACGAGTCACCACGCTCAAAAGACCGCCGATGCAGCTGGCGAACGCGCCCTGCACCATCTCGTACGACTCGATGAATGAGAAAGTACCTCCCGACGCATCGGAAATCGCGTGCATCGTAACCGGATCGTGGTCCGACCCAAAAGCGAACGAGTGGACAGGTATAGTCTCTACATTTTCGTGGGGCCCGCTATTATTTCCAGGGTAAATCGAAGGAGGCAATAAATGAAAATACGGGCCACGACCATTGTAGTGGTCGTTTCCGTCGGACAAGAACATGATGCTCGTGACCGGATTCTTGTAACGCCGTTCTTCGAGAACCCGCGAACCCTTTTTGAGGCCATCGACTATATTCGTGCCGCTACTTGTCAAGAGCGAGTCAACGGCGAGCTTGGCATCTCTTCGCCCACTCTCCGTCATTCTTGACAAACGGAATATTCTCCGAGCTTGATTGGAGAAAGATACTATCGAGAGTCGGTCAGAAGGGCCCAATTCATCGATCACGAAATTTACGGCCCGTTTAAGGAGATTCAGCTTTGTTCCGTGCATGCTGCGACTGACATCAAGAACCGTAACAAGGTCGACTGGGGCCCCGCGTTGAGAAGGAGGTAAAGGGGGCGCCTTTAGTCCGATTAGAACTGTGAATTGAGGTACCGATTTCGAAGCGACGAGCGCGTCGCACTCGGGTACGGCTTTGATGGTCACTTTCTGTAAGGCGACGGTTGAAGAAGACGAAGAAGAAGCTTCTAGAAGGGGGTCGTCATCGGAGAATTGAACGGCCTCTGGTTCGAGTTTAGGGCCGCCGTTCGACACGGGTAATTGATTAATCTACATTAGAAACAAACTAAATTTAATTTCAATATTGAGATTGGAGCGTCAAGATCAAAATTACAGAGATTGATCTCGAAACAAAAAAATAACAGGTGAATAAATAAATAAAATTATAAGTCATGGAATAAAAATAAAAATAAAATAATAAATAAAAAGAAGAAGAAATGACATTTAGGGTTTCTGAAGAAGCCATGGTTGTACTGTTTATGAGTTTTGCCGCTCCAGAATCTTATTTACATTTATAAAAAGAGGTTGTCTGGAAACCCTAAATGCATGTGATTTTTCCCGCTCATTTATAATTTCAAAAATAGTATATATCACTTAATTACATTTTACATTAATAAATTTTAAAAAAATCAACGATTTTGTTTCAACCAATATGAATGTAAATTTAACCTATGAAAACAGTATGTGATTTAATTATGTAAATAAATCCCTTAAAAGTTAAAAGCAATTGTGTATATATATAGATACATATTATTACTGTATGGATTTATTTATTTTTAATTGGCTAGAAAAAGAATAATCCTAAAAAAAACTTCATGTCTGAACCAAAAATAAATAAAGAAAAATAAAAATAAAATAATTAGCAAAAAACTAAAATCAAGAAACTCTATTTCTTGTCATCCATTGTTTTGCTAACTTGCTGTGACTTGACCACCATATTTGCCATACTTGGTGTAGCATAAGGATCATAAGCTGCACCACCATAAGCTCCGCCACCGTAAGCTCCGCCAAAGCCACCACCAGAAGCTGCTGCACATTGTTGTGCACCGAAACCTCCGCCGAAGCCACCACCAGAAGCTGCACCAAAGCCTCCGCTGAAAACACTACTCGATGGTGCTGCACCAAAAACTCCGCCACCTCCAAAAACTCCGCTGAAAACATTACTCGATGGTGCTGCACCAAAAACTCCGTCACCAGATGGTGCTGCACCAAAAACTCCGCCACCAGATGGTGCTGCACCAAAAACTCCGTCACCAGATGCTGCTGCACCAAAAACTCCGCCACCAGATGGTGCTGCACCAATAAATCCGCCACCAAAAGCTCCACCACCAGAAGGTGCTGCACCAAAAGCTCCACCACCAAAAGGTGCTGCACCAAAAAGTCCGCCACCAGCAGGTGCTGCTGCACCAAAAGCTCCACCACCAGAAGGTGCTGCACCAAAAACGCTGCTTAAGCCGAAGCTAAAGTTGTTGTCGGTGGGTCCCGCTCCGGCCACCATTTTCCCCTTGGTCGTAGCCCTTTGCGCACCGTGCGCACTCATTCCCGCCAGAGCAAAAGCTCGTCCCTCTTGTTGATATTGCTGCACACTCCCCATTCTTCTCTCAGTCTCCTTCATATCAGCTCCAAGCCACGCGGACATACTATCCCCCGCTTGCCCCGCAGCCGAACCGAAAATCTCCGTTCTACCCTTAGACAGCGTACACCTCGCCCCAAATAAATCCCCCGTCTCCGCCATCTTTTGCGCCTCTGCTATGCTCTCCGCCGCACGCAGCCGGTTCCTCTGCCTATCCACCTCCAAATTCACAGCCATTTCCGAGGGCGAAACGGTCTTTACGCGTCTTATCTCGACCAGATCACACTCAATCTCCACCGCCTCTTTCGACACAATGTCTTTGTACGAACACGCAATGTCCAAAAGCGACGTCTTCCTCTCGGTTTCTTCTTCGTTGGGATTCAAAAGTGCGGGGACCGACAAGTTAATCAAGAATTCTTTCACTTCGTCGGCGTATAGGTCACCTATGTGGATTGTTCCTTTTGATTCTCCATCGGTGATTTCGCTCGAGTACCTTCCGGAAGGTATCGACTTGATCTCCACCCCATGCGATGCTGACCTCATCGACAGGCGGAGGCCTTGAGTCATCACACTCAATAGACCGCCGATGCAGCTCGCGAAAGCGTCTTGTACCATTTCGTACGACTGGATGAAGGAGAAAGTACCGCTCGACGCATCAGAAATCACGTGCATTGTAACAGGATCGTGATCCGAACCAAAACCAAATGCATGAACAGGAATAGTTTCTATCTCACTGGGCCCACTGTTTTTTATGGGGAAAATAGAAGGTGGCAATAAACTTAAGTATACCGGAGGAGAACTTCTTGCATACCAGCCGCCATTGCAAGTGTCGTTTCCGTCGGACAAGAACACGATACTCGAGACGGGATTCTTGTAGCGCCGTTCTTCTAGAACCTGTGCTCCCTTCTTCAGGCCCTCGACTATATTAGTTTGGCCGCTCGCGCAGAGTGAATCGACCGCCAGCTTGGCGTTTCGTCTGCCGGCGTCTGTCATTCTGGACAAACGGAACATTCTCCGAGCCTGACAGTTGAAAGATACTATCGACAGCCTGTCAGAAGGGCCCAACTCATCGATCACGAAATTCACGGCCCGTTTGAGGAGGCTAAGCTTGTTCCCGTGCATGCTGCCGCTGACATCAAGAACCGTGACAAGGTCGATCGGGGCCCGCCGAGAGGAACGGGCTTCGGCGGATAACGGCGGTCCCTTTAATTTAACAAGCACTGTAAATAGAGATACCGACTCCGAAGCAGCGACCACTTGGCGCTCGGGAATGGCTTCGACGGTCACTTTCTGTAAGCCGACGGTCGAAGAAGAAGAAGAAGGTTCTAGAAGGGGGTCGTCGTCGGAGAATTGAAGGGGCTCTGATTCGAGTACAGGTCTGCATTCATCGATAACGGAACCAAACGGAGACGAAGGGAAATTAAAGGGGGATTGATTAATATTATTAGAGGGGGGATTATAGAAGTTGGGCATAGAGAAAGGAGGATTGTTCCATTTGGTTGAGCAAATTGGGCAGAATGGATTGAATTTGTTGATGGCAAAAGTGTTATTAATGCAGGTGAAGTGGAATGAGTGGGAGCACTCAGCTGTGTACATGGCTTGCCTTTCTAGGCTTCCTTTGCAGATACCACAGGTTGTCTTCTGCAAAAAAACAACAAAATTGAAAAACATTTAATTAGAATTTACTGTGAATAATAATTGAATTAATAACAGAGCAATTCAGAGATTGATTGAAATAACACACACACACACACACACATAGAGAGAGAGAGAGAGAGAGAGAGATTGGGGAAATAACTAAAACACACACACACACACACACACACAGAGAGAGAGAGAGAGAGAGAGAGAGAGAGAGAGAGAGAGAGAGATTGGGGAAATAACTAAAACACACACACACACACACACGCGCACGCAGAGAGAGAGAGAGAGGTAATGCAGAGATTGGGGAAAAAACTAAAACACACACACACATAGAGGTTATGCAGAGATTGAGGAAATAACTAAACACACACACAGAAGTAATTGTGTATATCGAATCAGAGAGAGGACAATTTATCAATAATTTTGTAGAGAAAGAAGTGGTGAAGATGATTCCTTTTTTTCAAAGCTAAAACCCTAATACAGATGAATGAATTAGCAGCGAAAACTAAAATTAGCAGCAATAATAATTCTTACAGATGGTGAAGAATCCATAATGGTTGGTGTTCTTGTGATCTGTGTTTTCTTCTGTTTGTTTGAATGGTTTTTGTGCTTCAGAACTACGCTTAATAGGTGTGATTTTGATTTTGTGAAGTGGCATACAAATATATTTATATTTATACATGTATATATATATATATATAGAGAGAGAGAGAGAGAGAGAGAGAGTGTGTTATGGAAACCGTGTTAATTAACGTGTTGCCTTATAAAAAGACTTCAGTAATTACAACCGTCCCCCCTGAGGTGAGGTATATTTACTAAATAACCCCTTATTTATTTATAATTACATATACTCCTTGAATTTTGTAAATGTCTTACAATATCACCCTTTTGTAGGGGTAGATATAAGAAATTTACAAACTTTAGGGGTCTGTATATAATTTCTAATAAATAAGGGGTCTTTTGTAAATTAACTTTATCCCAAGGAAGTGGTTGTAATTTAGCCAGGAGACTTTTAAGTCAATGAGATTTAGGATCATGGGTCCCGCCGGCCTTCTAGTTTTTTCTTCTTTTTTTTTTTGTATTTATGTAAAATTTAATTTTGTTTTTATTAATGCAAGTATTATTAGGAGTATTAAATTAGAGAAACTTCAAACCAATTTTTACAAGATATAAAAATTGTTTCTATTTCGGTTTCGATCAAATCCCCGAGTTTTCACATTAGCTCGAACTACCCCGAAATTTTCATGACGCAAGTCCCGAGCTATATATATATATAACACAAGCGTCGACGAAGTTGTATGTTTTCGCGCGTCCCGTTAAAAAATGCTATTGGTGCTCGGAATCAATCATGAAGATACAGTTTATTCGATAAAATAGAAGTTTGGCTCGAGTTCGATTAAAATAACATATGTACCTTATTAAGCTACACAAGCTCACGCTCCTTGAGCTCGACTCGGTTGCTAATCATTATCATACTCGAATACATTTTTTGTAGTTCGATAAAAAGTCTAACAAACTTAAACAATCATCCGTTCGACTCAGCTCAATTCATTTTTCGTGTAATGTACTTGTTATTCTTTTTTTAATTATTATCATACATTTTACTCTTAAACAATCATCGTTCGACTCAGCTCAATTCGTTTTTCGTGTAATGTACTTGTTATTCTTTTTTTTTATTATTATTATTATCATACATTTTACTCAATTTAAAACAACACTATATATTTTTATTGATACTCAAAATAAAAGGAGATTACTCACAAAATAACAACAACAACAACAACAACAACAACAAAAAAAACAACAACAACGACAACAACGAGGACGACGAACATAACCGAATTCAACAACATCAGTCCTCGAAAAACACCCAAAAAAAAAAACAAATTAATAATTAGCAAACTCAAATCAAGAAAGGCTTTAATTTAATTTTTAGTATTAGTATCATCATCCTTTATGTTGAGTTGCTGGGACTTGAAAACCATATTAACCATATTCGGAGTCGAATAAGGATCATAAGCAGCCGATTGAGGAGCCGCAACACCGCCGAAGCTAAAGTTGTCGGTGGGCCCCGCTCCGGCAACCAATTTCCCTTTCGTCGTCGCCCTTTGTGTGCGGTGCGAGCTCATTCCCGAGAGCGCATAAGCTCGTCCCTCGTGTTGATATTGCTGCGCACTCCCCATTCGTCTCTCAGTCTCCATCATATCATCTCCGAGCCACGCACCGAACACATCCCCTGCTTGAGCCGAAGCGGAACTAAGAATGTCCGTTCTACCCTTCGCCAGTAGAGTCCTTGCCCCAAATAGATCTCCCGTTTCCGCCATCTTTTGAGCCTCCGCAATGCTCTCCGCCGCATGCAGCCGGTTCCTCTGCCTATCCACCTCCAAATTCACCGTCATATCCGAGGGCAAAACGGTCTTTAAACGTTTTATCTCCACTAGTTCACTTTCTATCTCCACCGTCTCTTTCGAGACGACGTCCCTGTAAGAACACACGATGTCCAAGAGCGACGTCTTTCTCTCGGTTTCTTCGGAATTTGGAAGTGCGGGGACCGATAAGTTGATGAGGAATTCTTTCTCCTCGTCGGCATAGAGGTCGCCAATGCTGATTACGCCTTGCGATCCTTGATCTATGATCTCGCTCGCGTACCTTCCGGAAGGTACCGATTTTATTTCCACTCCATGCGATGCTGACCTCAGCGTGAGACGGAGCCCCTGAGTCACCACGCTTAGTAGACCGCCGATGCAGCTCGCAAAAGCGTCTTGTACCATCTCGTAAGACTCGATGAAGGAGAAAGTACCGCCCGACGCATCGGAAATCGCGTGCATCGTGATTGGATCGTGGTCCGAACCGAAACCGAACGAATGAACCGGAATGGTTTCTATGTCTTGTGGTCCACTATTTCCGGGGTAAATAGAGGGCGGCAATAGGTTTAGGTATTCCGGTGGACCCTGTCTTGAATTTAAGGCGGTCCGAAAATACCAGCCGCCGCCGCCGTTGCAAGTGTCGTTTCCATCGGACAAGAATATGATGCTCGTGACCGGATTCTTGTAACGCCGTTCTCCAAGAACCTGCGATCCCTTCTTCAGCCCCTCGACTATATTGGTGTCGCCGTCAGCCGAGAGTGAATCAACGGCGAGCTTAGCGTCGTAGCGGCCGGTGTCCGTCATTCTGGTCAAATGGAATATTCTCCGAGCTCGGCTCGAGAAAGACACTATCGACAGCCTGTCGGAAGGGCCCAAGTTATCGATCACGAAATGTACGGCCCGCTTTAGGAGGTTCAGCTTTTTCCCATACATGCTGCCGCTGACATCAAGAACCGTGACAAGGTCGATCGGGGCCCGCTGAGAGGAACGGGCTTCGGATGATAAAGGTGGTGCCTTTAGTTTGAGGAGGACAGTGAATAGAGATACGGATTCCGAAGCGGAAATAGCACGGCGCTCGGGTATGGCTTTGACGGTCACTTTCTGTAAGCCAACGACGGTTGTTGAAGAAGGAGAAGCTTCTAGAAGGGGGTCGTCGTCGGAGAATTGAAGGGGCTCGGGTTCGAAGGATGAGGGAGAGTCTTCAGTGGACAACGGGGATCGATAAGGGCGATTGGGAAACGGAACGTTGAAAATGTTATCGGGAGCATTGGAAACGGGCGTAGGGAAAGGAAGATGATTCCATTTGGTTCGGCAGAGAGGGCAAACTTGAAGAGGACCGGTAGTATTAGCGAAAACGCAGCCGAAGTGGAACGAGTGGGAGCACACGGCCGTGAATATGGCTTGGCTTGTTAAGTTTCCAGAGCAAACGCCGCATGTCTTCTGCAGAAACAAGAAAAATCGAAACTACGACATTAGTATATATACGTACATATAGCTGCGAATAATCGGATTTCACTTGTTAGTACGTAAGATTTGAGCAATAACATAATGCAGAGATTATATCAAAGAACAAAACACACACACACACAAGAAAACAGAAGGACGAAAAATGCAGAAATTAGTTACATCTTGAGCTGCAGAACTCATGCTTTTCTTCTTCTAATGTAATATTCTTCTGAGAGACGGAACAGATAAACACGCACACATATATAAATATATGGAGAGAGAGAGAGAGAGAGAGAGAGAGAGAGAGAGAGAGAGAGAGAGAGAGAGAGAGAGAGAGAGAGAGAGAGAGAGAGAGAGAGAGAGAGAGAGAGAGAGAGAGAGAGAGAGAGAGAGAGAGAGAGAGAGAGAGAGAGAGAGAGAGAGAGAGAGAGAGAGAGAGAGAGAGAGAGAGAGAGAGAGAGAGAGAGAGAGAGAGAGAGAGAGAGAGAGAGAGAGAGAGAGAGAGGGAGAGAGAGGAATGGATCGGGTCCGGTTGCTTGTTCTGAGACGGAACAGGTAAAACACACACAAACACATATACATATGCAGAAGACAATCGAAACAGTTGACTTGTAATAAATCTGAGACTGAAGTCAATCTAGTTTGCTTCACTTGTAAGCAAATTTCTGTTGACATTATATATAATTGCAACTTGCAAGAACAGATCAAACCGTCGAAAACATTTGACTATCGTATATATACAATCTATCTCCACCCTTTGTTCGTCTATCTGCACGTCTACACCACCTCTTCAACACACCTATTATTATTATTATTTCCTTTGTTGCCTAAGTCAGCACTCTGCAAAAATTCCTGTATGTTTCCTTTTTTTACTTTCGGGATCGAAAAACGCTCGTCCCCCATTTCTATCTTGCAATCAATATACGGATAAACAATAACAATACTTGGGACAAAAATTTTAATAAATGGCTCGAAATTGTTACATCATTGACATATATAAATGTCCACAGAAACACATCTTGTATTGTTATTTATGGTCTGAAAGTAAAATGTTTTTTTCTTTTTTAAATGATTCAACACTATTAATTACTACAGGAATTTACTTACTTTCTACGTCGACAATATGAAATTTAAGCACAAATGACTAATTGTATCAACAATTTAAGATGTTATAAGCTAAATTAGAACCATAATAAATTGGCCAAGCATCTTACGGGCGTGATTGTAGACGGAGTCGAGAGCGCTTGGACGCCAACATTTTCCGATGAATATAAATGTTTCCCGGTGTACTGATATGCATCTTCAGTGTCGATGCCGAAGCTGTTGAACTGAAAATAAGTTTTTTTTCGATTATTTTTCGACACAAATTCGAAACTTACAAACAAATACGAGAGATTTTCATACATCATGCAAGAGTACAGAAGCAATTGAATTCAAACAACATCAAACCCTCAAGAACTTTATTTACGAACCAAACACAACAAACCATGAATACTTGGAGTATCCCACGAATTTACGATGAATGCCATTTAGCAGAAACTCGTATCAAGAAACTCTATTTTTCCTTTGTAGTAGTAGTATCGTCCGTCTTGCTAAGTTGTTGAGACTTGAAAACCATATTAGCCATACTCGGAGTTGAATATGGATCAAAACCAAAAGCAGGAGCAGATTGAAGAGCCGCAACACAGCTAAAGTTCTCGACGAGTCCCGCTCCGGCCACTTTTTTCCCTCTCGTCGTCGCCCTTTGCGTACCATGCGAACTCATTCCCGAGAGTGCGAAAGCTCGTCCCTCTCGTTGATATAGCTGCGCACTCCCCATTCTTCTCTCAGTCTCCATCATATCTTCTTCGAGCCAAGTGCCGAACACATCCCCTGCTTGAGCCGAAGCAGAACCAAGAATGACCGTTCTACCCTTCGCCAGTAGAGTCCTTGCCGCAAGTAGATCTCCCGTTTCCGCCATTTTTTGAGCCTCCGCTATGCTCTCTGCCGCATGCAGCCGATTCCTCTGCCTATCCACCTCCAAATTCACCGTCATATCCGAGGGCAAAACGGCCTTTAAACGTTTTATCTCCACTAGTTCACTTTCTATCTCGACCATCTCTTTCGAGACGACGTCCCTGTAAGAACACACGATGTCCAAAATAGACGTCTTTCTCTCGGTTTCTTCGGAATTTGGAAGTGCGGGGATCGATAAGTTGATGAGGAATTCTTTTTCTTCGTCGGCGTAGAGGTTGCCCACGTGGACCGTGCCTTTCGATCCTTGATCGGTGATCTCGCTCGCGTACCTTCCGGAAGGAATCGATTCGATTTCCCCTCCGTCCGACGCTGACCTCAGCGTCAGACGAAGCTCCTGAGTCACCACACTCGGTAAACCGCCAATGCAGCTCGCGAAAGCGTCCTGCACCATTTCGTAAGACTCGATGAAGGAGAAAGTACCGCCCGACGCATCGGAAATCGCGTGCATGGTAACTGAATCGTGGTCCGACCCGAAACCGAACGAATGGACCGGAATTCTTTCCATATCTTCCGGTCCACCACCACCCTCTCCGGGGTAAATAGAGCGCGGCAATAGATTTAGGTATTCCGGAGGACCATTTCCGAAATTCGAGTTTTGCCGAAAATACGAGCCGCCGCCGCCGCCATTGCATGTGTCGTTTCCATCGGACAAGAATATAATGCTCGTGACCGGATTCTCGTAACGCCTTTCCTCAAGAACCTGCGATCCTTTCTTCAGGCCTTGGACAATATCAGTGCCGCCACTTGCGTAGAGCGAATCAACGGCGAGCTTAGCATCGTAACGGCCGGTGTCCGTCATTCTGGTCAAACGGCATATTCTCCGAGCTTGGCTCGAGAAAGATACTATCGAGAGCCTGTCGTACGGGCCCAAGTTATTGATCACGAAATGTACGGCCCGCTTTACGAGGCTCAGCTTGTTCCAGGACATGCTGCCGCTGACATCAAGAACTGTGACAAGGCCGATCGGGGCTCGCTGAGAGGAAACAGCATCGGCTGATAACGGCGGTGCCTTTAGTTTAAGTAGGACCGTGAATAGAGATACGGGTTCGGAAGCCGAAATAGCATGGCGTTCGGGTATGGCTTCGACACTCACTTTCTGCAGCAAGCCGCCGCCTACGACGACGATTGAAGCTGAAGAAGGTTCTAGAAGGGGATCGTCGTCGTAGAATTCAAGGGGCTCCGGCATTGAAGCTTCTAGAAAAGGATCGTCGTCGTCGTCGGAGAATTCAAGGGACTCCCGTATTGAAGCTTCTAGAAAGGGATCGTCGTCGTCGTAGTACAATTCAAGGGGATGATAAACGTTAGTGTGAAAAACGTTGGAGTCGGAGTTGGGCTTCTTATAGAAAGGAAGATGGTTCCAATTGGTATAGCAGAGAGGGCAAAGTGAAAGAGGACTCGTATTACTATTTTTGTCGAAAATGCAGCCGAGGTGGAACGAGTGTGAGCACTCGGCTGTGAATACGGCTTCGCTTGTTATTCTTCTCGTGCAAACGCCGCATTCCTTCTGCAAAAAACAAGAAAACCGAAAAATAAAAATACATTAGTATATATAACAGCGGATAAGTTATAATCGATTTCGACTCGTAGTACGTAATAATCGATTTGAACAATAACATAACATCATCAAACAACAACAAAACACACACACACATGAAAAATGCAAAAAGTTAGTTACATCTTCAGCTGGAGAACTCATGATTCGGATCGTTTCGTTCCGAGTGAATGTATTATAAACGAGATGGAACAAATACGCGTATATATGTATCAGAAAACTCAGTTTACCTATATTACTAAGTCAGCACTACATTTACCTGCAAAAGTTTCTGTGTGTTTTGCTATTTTACCTCCTCTCTGGATCGATACCGATTCTATCAACTATTGCAATATAATCAATTGATATTCAATTAATCATGTTAGCAGAAAGTTAAAATCAAACCCACAGGTAGGTATAATTCGACTCATCAATTTAATTAGCAAGACATTATCACACAGAATACGAATAAATCCTAAAATAGTACATGCGCATATGTTGTTTACGAGTGATTGCGGTCACAATTAGTGGCAATGTATGTTGTTTCATTTATACACTACAAAGTATTCGGACAGATACTAAAGGAATTTATTTTACTTTCCACGTCGAAAATATGAAATTGAAGCACAAATCACTAATTATACCAACGTTTTCCGATGAATATCAGCAAATTAAACACCATTATTTTTCCGTGTACGTATACGCATCCTCAGTGTCGATCGAGGCCACCGTTAATTAAATTGGATCAGTGTACGAGCAAGCCGTGATGGATAGCAAAATTTGTTGAACAGCCATAGCTTGCTGAAAATGACTTTTCCTTTCGTTATTATTCGATAATAACACACATCTTTGGACCCCAAATTTGAAATTTTCATACAAACACCAGAGATTTACATACATCAGACAACAGTACAGAAACAACTGAATTCAAACAACATCAAACCCTCAAGAACTTTATTTACGAACCAAACACAACAAACCATGAATACTCGGAGTATCCCACAAATTTAGGATGAATGCCATTTAGCAGAAACTCGAATCGAGAAACTTTATTTTTCCTTTGTAGTATTATTAGTCTCGTCCGTCTTGCTAAGTTGTTGAGACTTGAAAACCATATTAGCCATACTCGGAGTCGAATACGGATCGAAACCAAACGAAGGTGCAGCAGCAGCAGCACCACCACCAGCAGGAGCAGATTGACGAGTCGCAACATCGCGGAAGCTAAGGCTCTCGGCAGATGCCGCTCCGGCCAACAACTTCCCTTTCGTCGTCGCCCTTTGCGTACCATGCGAACTCATTCCCGAGAGCGCATAAGCTCGTCCCTCTCGTTCATATAGCTGCACACTCCCCATTCTTCTCTCAGTCTCCATCATATCATCTCCGAGCCACGCACCGAACTCATCCCCTGCTTGAGCCGAAGCAGAACCTAGAATGTCGGTTCTACCCTTCGCCAGTACACTCCTTGCCCCAAATAGATCTCCCGTTTCCGCCATCTTCTGAGCCTCCGCTATGCTCTCCGCCGCATGCAGACGATTCCTCTGCCGATCGACCTCCAAATTCACCGTCATATCCGAGGGTGAAACCGTCTTTACACGTTTTATTTCCACTAGTTCACTTTCTATCTCCACCGTCTCTTTCGAGACAACGTCTCTGTAAGAACACACGATGTCCAAAAGAGACGTCTTTCTCTCGGTTTCTTCGGAATTTGGAAGTGCGGGGACCGATAAGTTGATGAGGAATTCCTTCTCTTCGTCCGCGTAGAGGTCGCCCACGTGGACCGTGCCTTTCGATCCTTGATCGGTGATCTCGCTCGAGTATCTTCCGGAAGGTATCGATTTGATTTCCACTCCTTGCGATGCTGACCTCAGCGTCAGACGAAGCCCCTGAGTCACCACACTCAGTAAACCGCCAATGCAGCTCGCAAAAGCGTCCTGCACCATTTCGTAAGACTCGATGAAGGAGAAAGTACCTCCCGACGCATCGGAAATCGCGTGCATGGTAACAGGATCATGGTCCGAACCAAAACCGAACGAATGGACCGGAATGGTTTCCACCTCTTGCGGTCCACCACCATCTCCGGGGTAAATAGACGGCGGCAATAGATTTAGGTACTCCGGAGGATCCTGTCTGAAGTTCGAGTTCTGCTGAAAATACGAGCCGCCGCCGCCGTTGCAAGTGTCGTTTCCATCGGACAAGAATACGATGCTCGCGACCGGATTCCTGTAACGCCTTTCCTCAAGAACCTGCGATCCCTTCTTCAGGCCTTGGACGATGTTGGTGCCGCCCCTCGCGTAGAGCGAATCAACGGCGAGCTTGGCGTTTTCTCGGCCGGTGTCCGTCATTCTGGTCAAACGGAATATTCTCCGAGCTTGGGTCGAGAAAGATACTATCGACAGCCTGTCGGAAGGGCCCAAGTTATCGATCACGAAATGTACGGCCCGCTTTACGAGACTCAGCTTGTTCCCAGACATGCTGCCGCTGACATCAAGAACCGTAACAAGGTCGATCGGGGCCCGCTGAGAGGAAATAGCATCGGCTGATAACGATGGTGCCTTTAGTTTAAGGAGGATCGTGAATAGAGATACGGGTTCGGAAGCGGAAATAGCAGGGCGTTCGGGTATGGCCTTGATACTCACTTTCTGCAGCAAGCCGACGACGACGACAGAAGCTTCTAGAAGGGAGTCATCGTCGGAGAATTGAAGTGGCTCTGGTTCGATCATGGGGGGTGATCGTCGAGTGAACGAAGGCCGATTTTGATACGTAACGTTGAAAATGTTATCGGGAACGACGTTGGAAACAACGGGCATAGAGAAAGGAAGAAGGTTCCATTTGGTTTGGCAAAGAGGGCAAACTCGAAGAGGAGTGGCATTAGCAAAACCGTTGTTGGTAACGCAGCCGAAGTGGAACGAGTGGGAGCACTCGGCTGTGAATATGGCTTGGCTTGTCAAGCTTCCCGCGCAAACGCCGCATGTATTCTGCAGAAACAAGAAAACCGAAAACAAAATACATAAGTTAATCGATTTCGACTCGTAGTACGTAATCGATTTGAACAATAACATAACATCATCAAACAACAACAACAAAACACACGAAAAACGCAGAAAGTAATTACATCTTCAGCTGGAGAACTCATGATTTTCTTCGATATATCGATCTCTACTGATTCGGATCGTTTTGTTACGAGTGAATGTATTAATAATTTTCTTTTGAGATGGAACAACTACACACACACATATATGTAGTGTGTAACACGTCTCAGAAATTCTTGATTTATCCATATGAAATTCTTTGAAATAATCCACCTTGTTGCTTCAATTGTAAACAATTTGGAAAGACTGTTCCGAGTCAACTCAATTCCTTAATATAACTATTACATAACTTGCAAGAACAACTCAACCTTAATACTCTATACATATATATATGTTTTATCTCACATATGTAATAAACAAATGAAACCACCATCTTCAACAAACAATCATATTTACATTAAGAAAACTTAATTTAACCAGCACCTATTTCCTATATATTTAACTTGCATTTACACTCATTCTGATTCTATCAACCATTGCAATCAATTGAAGAACAGTTCAGAATCGGTGATATTCGATTAGTCGTGTTCGTACCGACAGCGGAGAGAACAATCGGACCACAATTATAATTCGTCTCGTCAATTTAGCAAGACGGCTGCACGTCACGAAATGCGTTATCGCACAGAAATACGAGTAAATAGCGAAATGGACAATCAGATGGTTCCAAAAACAGTACGAGCGCTCACGACATTCAGTCGCTACGAAAAAAAGAACTTATAAGTTGTTGTTTACGAGTGATTGCGGTCACAACTAGTGGCAATGTATGTTGTTTCATTTATACACTCCAAAGTATGTGAAATAAAATGAATTTTCGATTAATTTTATTCCGTAACATTACATTGTCTCACGCATCTTTGGACCCCGAATTCGAAAATATCAAACAAATACAGAGAGATTTTCATACATCATACAACAGTACAGAAACAACTGAATTCAAACAACATCACACCCTCAAACAACTTTATTTACGAACCAAACACAACAAACCATGAAAAGTCGGAGTATCCCAACAAATTTACGATGAATACCATTGCAGAACCTCGAATCGAGAAACTCTATTTTCCCTTTGTAGTAGTAGTATCGTCCGACAGGCTAAGTTGTTGAGACTTGAAAACCATATTAGCCATATTCGGAGTTGCATACGGATCGAAACCAAAAGCAGGAGCAGACTGAAGAGCCGCAACACCGCCGAAGCTAAAGTTCTCGGCGGGGGGTGCCGCTCCGGCCACCAATTTCCCTTTCGTCGTCGCCCTTTGCGTACGATGCGAACTCATTCCCGAGAGCGCATAAGCTCGTCCCTCTCGTTCATATAGCTGCGCACTCCCCATTCTTCTCTCGGTCTCCATCATATCATCTCCGAGCCACGCACCGAACTCATCCCCTGCTTGAGCCGAAGCAGAACCAAGAATGACCGTTCTACCCTTCGCTAGTACACTCCTTGCCCCATATAGATCTCCCGTTTCCGCCATTTTTTGAGCCTCCGCTATACTCTCCGCCGCACGGAGCCGATTCCTCTGCCTATCCACCTCCAAATTCACCGTCATATCCGAGGGCGAAATGGTCATTAACCGTCGTATCTCGATCAGATCACACTCTATTTCCACCGTCTCTTTCGAGACGACGTCCCTGTAAGAACACACGATGTCCAATAGCGACGTCTTTCTCTCGGTTTCATCGGAATTCGGAAGTGCCGGGACAGATAAGTTGATGAGGAATTCTTTCTCCTCGTCCGCGTAGAGGTCGCCAATGCTGATTACGCCTTGCGATCCTTGATCGGTGATCTCGCTCGCGTACCTTCCGGAAGGTATCGATTCGATCTCCACACCGTGCGACGCTGACCTCAGCGTCAAACGGAGCCCCTGAGTCACCACGCTCAGTAAACCGCCAATGCAGCTCGCGAAAGCGTCCTGCACCATCTCGTACGACTCGATGAAGGAGAAAGTACCGCCCGACGCATCGGAAATCGCGTGCATGGTAACCGGATCGTGGTCCGACCCGAAACCGAACGAATGGACCGGAATTGTTTCCATCTCTTCCGCTCCACGAGCACCATCTCCGGGGTAAATAGACGGCGGCAATAGGTTTAGGTACCCCGGAGGATCCCGTCTGAAGTTCGTCGAGTTCCGCCGAATATACCCGCCGCCGCCGCCGTTGCAGGTGTCGTTTCCGTCGGACAAGAATATAATGCTCGTGACCGGATTCTTGTAACGCCGTTCTCCAAGAACCTGCGATCCCTTCCTCAGGCCCTCGACTATATTGGTGCCGCCGTCAACCGAGAGGGAATCAACGGCGAGCTTAGCGTCGCAACGGCCGGTTTCCGTCATCCTGGTCAAACGGAATATTCTCCGAGCTTGGTTCGAGAAAGATACTATCGACAGCCTGTCGGAAGGGCCCAAGTTATCGATCACGAAATGTACGGCCCGCTTTAGGAGGTTCAGCTTTTTCCCATACATGCTGCCGCTAACATCAAGAACCGTGACAAGGTCGATCGGGGCCCGCTGAGAGGATCGGGCTTCCGATGATAGCGGCGGCGCCTTTAGTTTGAGGAGGACTGTGAACGGAGATGCGGATTCCGAAGCCGAGATTGCAGGGCGTTCGGGTATGGCTTTGATATTGACTTTCTGCAGCAAGCCGACGACTGAAGAAGCTTCTAGAAGGGGATCGTCGTCGGAGAATCGAAGTGGCTCCGGTTCGATCGCCAGGGATTGTCTGAACGGAGATCGATGATAATAAGTTGAAGAACTCATGCTTTTCTTCTTCCGAGTGATCAATGTATTTCTTTTAGATGATGGAACAAATACACACACATATATATACATATATATATATATATATAATACGATAAATTACAACCACCATGAATTATGGTTAAATTACGAAAATACCCCGTTTCTGTTTAATTAGAACCATCTCTCAACTATGAATTTTCTTACACATCAATATTTGTGGTATCATATTTAGTGGAATCTTCTAAATTATATGGTATGTTCTCAATTTTGTACCCGTTTTATCCCATTCGAGCTCCATATTTTGAAGCAAGATGATTATAAGATGTGTTGTTTTGACTTGTATATATCAGATTGTGGTGCATCAGAAACTGCATTTTTGCAAAAGAACAAGTACAAATTAGAGAATATTCCACGGGTTCTAGAAGATTCTTTTGAATTTAACATCATAAGGGTGGACGTGTAAGAAGATTCATAGGTAAGAGGAGTATTTGTAATTATTCAAACATGATGGATGTTTTCGTAATTTGACATACGTGTTTGTAACTTATCCTATATATATTTGCTACAGAAGAAGAAGACTTTTGGAAGAGTTGGTTGGGGAAAATGGTAGTTGACTTGGAATTAGTGTTTGAAATAGTCAACCGTGTTGCTTCACCTGTAAGCAATTTTCTTTGACTTTTTCTTTTTCATTATTTTGTTGTTAGTTTATCACTTCGTTTCAAGAACAACTCAACCATATCCAAAATGTGAAAAAATTACAGTGTTCGTCCTTCAAGTTTGCATTAATTTCATATTTGGCCCCTCATACTCAAAAAAAACATAATTGGTTCCTCATATTTTCAAAGTTTAATACTTTTAATCATTTTCGTCAATTTTCCGTCAGTACTAACGGAATCAAGTGTGTGCCCGTCGCTACTTTTACAGACGGTAAATTGACGAAAGTGACCAAAAGTGTTAAATTATTGAAATATGAGAGAACAAATGTATTTTTTGTGTACACGAGGGACCAAATGTGAAATCATGCAAACTTAAAGGATGAAAACTGTAGTTTTCCTCCAATAATTACTATTGATTATTATTGGGAAAAAATACAGTTTGCATCCTTTAAGTTTTCACTGATTTCATATTTGGTCCCTCATATTCATAAAAAATACATTAGGTCCCTCGTGTTTCAAAAGTTAAACACTTTTCGTCCTTTCTGTAATTTTTTTTTTAGTACTAACGGAATCAAGTGTGTGTCCGTCACTACTTTAACTGACGAACTAACGATAAATTGATAGAAATAACCGAAGTATAAATTATTGAAACATAAGGGACCAAACGTGTTTTTTCTTTAAGATAAAGGACTAAATGTGAAATGTACGCAATAACATGAGGTATGAAAACTGTAACCTTTCCTATTATTATTATGCATCACAAATATCCCTTAATACTATACATGATTTATCTCATATTTCTCTTCATCAAACAATCATATTTACTTGCATTTACACTCATTCTGATTCTATCAACCATTGCAATCAATCGATGAACTTGAGAATCGGTGATATTCGATCGATCGTGTTCGTACCGACAGCGGAAAGAAAAATAAAACCACGACTATAACTCGACTCGTCGATTTAGCAAGACAGTCCACAGACTAAAAAAATCTGCTCGATACAAGTCACGAAATACATTATCACACAGAATACGAGTAAATTGCAAAATGGATAATCAGATGCAAAGATGGTTGCAAGAAGAAGGTCTCCTAAAATAGTACGAGCGCTCACGACATTCGGTCGTTACGTATTCGAAATGAATTTTCGATTAATTTTATTCCATAATATTACATGGTCTAACACCTTCGGAACATGTATTCGAAACATGAAAACAATCAACAGGCGGATACAACAGTACTGAAATTCAATAATGTAAGGCCTCGAACCAAAAACGGCAAACCAGATGTGGGGCAAAAGGAAAACGACGAAAACCGATCACAAAGAAAATTCAGATCAAGAAACTCTATTCTTCTTCCGAACTGGTCTCGTTCTTGATGCTAAGTAGCCGAGACTTGCGAACCATATTAGCTATACTCGGAGTCTCGTAGTCCGCTCCGCGAACCGTGTTTCCTCTCGACGTCTTCCTTTGGCTAGAGTGCGAACTCTTTACCGAGAGGGAATAAGCTCGTCCCACCCGCAGATATTGCTGTTGACTTCCCATTCTCGTTTTCGTTTCTTCCATATCGGTTTCGAGCCTGATGGAGAGATCGTCTCCCGCTTGCGCTGCTGCAGAAGCGCGGAGATCGGTTCTCCTCTTCGCCAGCAAAGTACGTGCGCCTATTAGATTTCCTGCTTCCGCCATCTGTTGAGCCTCCGCGATGCTTTCTGCTGCGCGGAGACGATTTCTCTGCCGATCGACCTCCAAGTTAACCGTCATGTCCGAAGAGGATAAAAACTTCGGACGCTGTATCCGAACCGGTCGACACTCTATTTGGATCACCTCTTTCGAGACAACATCCGTGTAAGAGCAGTCGATGTCCAAAAGCGACGTCTTTCTCTCGGTTTTGTCGGCTTTGTTGTTCGGAAGCGCAGGGACGGACAAATTGATCAAGAATTCTTTTTCTTCGTCTGCATACAGGTCGACAATGTCGACAACGCCTTTCGATCCTCGGCTACTGATTTCGCTTGCGTATCTTCCCGAAGGGATGGAACTAATTTCCACTCCTCGCGACGCTGATCGCAACGATAGACGAACCCCCTGAGCCACCACGCTCAGGAGACCGCCGATGCAGCTCGCAAACGCATCTTGAACTGTTTCGTAAGACTCGATGAAGGAGAAAGTACCACCCGATGCATCGGAAATCGCGTGCATCGTGATTGGATCGTGGTCCGAACCAAAACCAAACGAATGAACCGGAACGGTTTCTACGTGATCTTGCGGTCCTCTGTTTCCCGGGAAAATAGCGGGTGGCAATAGATTCAGGTATTCCGGAGGGGCCTGTCCTGAATTCGACAAGCCCCGACGAGTCGATTGCTCGTTGCAAGTGTCGTTTCCGTCGGACAAGAATATGATATGCTTGTTACCGGATTCTCGTGACGCCGTTCTTCAAGAACCTGCGATCCCTTCTTCAGTCCTTCGACTATGTTCGTCCCTCCGTCTGCTGAAAGCGAATCGACGGCGAGCTTAGCGTCGTAGCGGCCGGTGTCCGTCATCCTGGTCAAACGGAATATTCTCCGAGCTTGGCTCGAGAAAGATACTATCGAGAGCCTGTCGGAAGGGCCCAGGTTATCGATCACGAAATGTACGGCCCGCTTTAGGAGGCTCAGCTTTTTCCCGTACATGCTGCCACTGACATCAAAAACCGTGACAAGGTCGATCGGAGCCCGCTGAGAGGAAATAGCATCGGCTGATAACGGCGGTGCCTTTAGTCCAACTAGAACCGTAAATGGATGTACGGAGTCTGAAGCCGCAACAGCCGATCGTTCCGGAACGGCCTTGATATTCACTCTCCGTGAAGGCGGAGACGTGAAATCGGCAGTCGTAGTGGGGAGGGGTTCGTCGTCGGAGATCGAAGAGGCTCTTGTTCAAGTACGCGTGGTGGGGAGTTTCGCCGCGGAAAGGACTGACGTGCAGTATGAAACCAGTGTCGAGACTGGCGACTTTGAGACGACGGGCTGTGATAAACGTTCGTACTAGAAACGGGATTGGCGGGAGGAGGGCAAAGTGGGCAAACCGGAAGACGAATGCCGTTAGTAAAGTTTTTGCTGATGCAGCCGAAGTGGAAAGGGTGGGAGCACTCGGCCGTGAATATGGCTTGGCCGGTTAAGCTTCCCGAGCAAATGCCACATGTCGTCTGCAAACGAGAAGTTGATCAAAATGGGAGTAATCGGCATATACGTACATGTAATCAATTTCAGTACTTGTAGTAAGATCGAAAACAATAATAAAACGCAGAGATTGACGAAATACTATCGGAACACAAATCTTTGTTCGGTCCATGATTTGATCAAGCAAACAAAACACACACACACACACTCAAGTAAGAGGAAAGAACTCCGACAAATCGCGGAAAGTTACATCGTTAACTGGAGAACTCATGGATTTCTTCTTATGCACTAACTACGGTCGTTTTGTTCTCGGGTTTCTTCCGATTGCTTACTCTTAAATTACCAATAGCGTGCAGCACTTCACATTTCAGAATCATTAATTTTTTCGATATAATACTTATTTACAGAACACTTGTGCAACGTTTCTTCGGACAACAGCGGTTGACTTTAACAAGTTTTGAGAATCTTCTGAACTAGTCCGTCGTGTTTGCTTCACTCGTAAGCAAACCCGAATATAAAACAAACCACCAACTCTACCAGAAAACGACGGCAACAAAAAAAAACAAAAAAATCTCATATTTTTCGGCAAGTTGTTGCCAACTTGCAAGAACAACTTGTGATCATTCTTATTCTTCCCTGATTGTTGACTCCTTCTTGGTGACCGGGAGATGTCCCAAAAGAAGCTATACGAGCAGATCAACGCAAAATTGTTTTTCCGCATAAACGAACTGTTATATTATTTACGAAAAGGATGAGGTGGCAATCAGTTATTGTATTGTTTCAAATTATACACTGACAAGTGTTTGACATATAATCAGGATCACATTTTCAGAGAGGAAGAAAGACCAACCGTAGCTCGACTATATCTTCCGACTTTTTCTCGTTTTCGAGATGCTTATCTTCGTTTTTCTGAACTCTACATCTCGTTTCTCGTTTACAGTATAGAGTAAGCTCTAATCACCTCAACGATAGGTGCTCGACACAACGGACATTTTCCTCCTCCTCGAACCAAATCATTTGCGCATCCGGAGCACGTGCACATGTGTCCACATCTGTGGACGCGCGCACACACACACAAATTAGTGCAAACTTACAAACCAAAGAAAAGAAAAAGACTCGATTTTTTTTAGTGATATGAAACTAGTAACTGCTTCTTTCAAGATAATACACACTAGTTATCGTTGGCAACGTACCTGTACAACACGGCATCAATATGGTTATCGCAGCACACACAACAGGTACCTTTTCTAACATTACACCATTTAGATCCATCCTCTGATATTCCGGAACCTTCTGCGAGTACAGATATAAATTAGAATTCAACTGCAGCCGAAACGATTAAATTCCAAAAAAGAAGAGCAGAATTATTATTATTATTATAAAAAATAAAATAAAAAATTGCAGGCGGACCTCGGCCGCCAGTTGATTGGTTAAGAGCAGCCGAGACTTCTTGCCGGACCGAACGTTGGAGCTCCATTTGCATGTCGATGCAAGCTTCTAGCATCCTTTGCATGTGGTTCATACCTTGCTCGATTTTTACGATTTCCGTTCTCAGATCGCTAATCATCTCCCACTCCTGCTTAGAAAAGCATTATGACATACACAAAAAGCCATTCAAAACAAGATACAAAATATCAGGAATTCGCGAGAATTAACTCACGATTTCGTCACGACGAGACCAACTCGACTGGTGCGAATCCTGACGCCAGAGGGGTTGTGCCGGTGGTAACGGAGGAGTCGGTACTACTGGTGAAGGTATGCTACTATTAGCATACCGATCCTCGTTCGGCTCGTAATTCTGTTGGTCGGTATCCATCTCCGGTGATAGTGTACGAGGCGAGCTTCTATCAAGATCCCGATCGACAGGAGCCCTGCTTTGTCTTTCGACATACGATTGAATCAACTGATCTAAGCTCTCGCGAAAACCACTGTCGAGAAGATTCGAAACACTCCTCCTAAAAAAAGCAACACTTATATAAGTTAAAACAGAATCAAAAAAAAAAACAAAGAAGATTGCTCGCTCACACGAGTCACGACAAAGAAAAGACGATAACCAACCTGCTTAGCAGTTCCCGAAGTTCCAAGGTGTACAGACTATCGTCATCGGATGTGTGGGCCCCAGCAATCGTTGTAATAGATGGAATCGACTGCGGCGTTCTCGGAGGGTCGGAAACGTGTTGATTTTGAAGAGATGTTCTGCCGTCCGAATTTCCGACACCATCTGGTATTCGACGATCACGAACGTCGTCATTCTCATGTGAGGAAATTGTATTTATCCAAAGATCGCTGCTGCTACCGTTAGACGGGGCGACGGGATTGCTGCTTGCTTGGCCGCGCACGATATTCTCCAATCTGGAACGAAACCCGTCCCTAAATGAAAGTGTACTACGAACAATTCAGAAACATGCGCGTATCTTTTTGACCGACGGGGCAAAAAAATCCGATCGATAATTATTTAATAGTAACAGAGGCAGCAACGAACAATGTTGAATCGAAGTAAATCCGAGTTCATCTCGTATTATATAATAGGCGTACCTCAGGTCAGAGACCGTGCGTCTCTGTCGTAACTGATTCAATTCAGTAGCTGCTACCGAAAGCGGACTCTCTTCATTAACGTGATCGGGCTGAACTTCACGAACACGATCGACTCGAGATCGAGATCCATTATCTTGCTGAGCTGTCATCTGCATCCACCCGCGAACAATTTGTCGTACCCTCTCCCTCTCGACTTGTCCGAAATCCGGAGATTGCTCACGACTAGAATTCTCGACTGGATTGTGGTGCTCTGCATTTGTATTGGAATCGGCACTTCTCTGCTGCCGTAATCTCTCTCCCACTCTCCCCTGGCCTTGGTCCAGGGCGTGATCGTCCTCCAACTGCCGCCACATCAGCAAAATAGACGAGGCACGGGTGCCGAGCCTCTCCACATTCCCCTGATGCGCGGTGGACACGGTGTGCAAGTCTGCAAGCGCCATCGACTCCGATACGCGACTCCTCCTCCTCTCGATCAATTCACGACCATTTGAAAACCTAATTTACTGCCTACAACAAAATCTAAAAACTCGAATTGAACGTGAAAATTAAATTAGACCGGCAACAAATAGAATGAAGCAATACCATTCATATACACACAAACACACACCCACCCACATTGGTGTGCGTAGATCAACGGAAAAGAGTCAACCGGTGTACAAATTCATGATTGATACGGAAAAAAAAAAAAAAAAAAGGAAACGTGCGTACCTAGTTCCCAAGCTGTGTGCTCTTCGATTGCAATGTGCAATAGGGAAATGTAACAGAAAACCTAACTCTTCAAGTTACAACACGTACGTAAACACTATATATATATATATTACGATATTTTTTGTAACGAAGGAATTCGCAGTCAAACCATAGCTACACTCTCGTAAGTCACACTATTGAAAAACTCAAAAAAGTGATCGAAATGGGGACGAGGGAAATTCGGTCCTTGTCTTAGTATTGGCCAAATTTTGGGAATTGAAACGTAGACGTATCTTGGACGATGATAACTACAATCATGCAAATGCATGGATATATAGAAATAATATTGAAAAATCAAACCAATTTAAACACTTGATTTGAGATTATTGGGTACAAGTTTATTTCATCGTTCGATAAAAGTTGCATTTTGCTCGAACTCGAGCTCGATTAGAAATAATAATAAATTAATATAATTGGGATTAACAAAATTTTATTAATTTACTAGCATATTAAATTATCGAACTAATAATTTATTAATTTATCGAGTATTAATTTATCAAAATTTTAGGGTATAATTGTGTCGATTACTATTAAGACAAAAGCGTAGGGATAGAGAAACTCTGCATGTTAGGTTTAGTACATCAATCATTCATACTTTTAATTTTTTGTCGACCCTGCATGCATGCACACTTGTCTCCCCATGTTTTCTCATAATCAGTTTTAGCAAGAAACAATAAGCAAACTCCATCTCCAAGAAGCCAAAAATAATAATTTAATTAATTAAACAAATAATATTTAATCACACACTTTTTTTCTCTTGGAACTATATAAGAATATGGGGCTTCGACCCCAACCTCAAAATACCATTAGAGACTTCTTTGGCTAAGTTTATAAGCTGTTAAAAAGAGATTATAAATTCTTTAATTATTTTTGAAAAAATCTTAAAGTTTGAAAAAATTTATTGTCGTACAATAAATAAAGTCTTTTTGAAAAGTACATCTAACCCGTATTTTTATTTATGATTTTATAATAAATAAAAATATTTTATAATCTCATTATCCAAACATTTCAAAAATTTATAATTATAAAAATAAGATATAATAATTTATCAGCTCTTAAAGCAACGTACGAGTTGTATCAACTATTTAAAATAAATTTAACCAAACTAACCATTAGTCAATAACGATGGCTTATTTAGGAAGCATATCACTTATTATTTTTTTTCTTCTTTGAGAATGGAAACAAATCACATTATTGAAAGAAACAAATCAATCACATTGATAGAAACTTTTCTTGGAGTTTGATTGCTTATTAGATCAGAATCCTATGTTATTGATAGAATTTAATTCACACTGAAATTATTAAGGTTGAAAATTGGATTGTGTCATTGGGACATTGTATTTTAGCTACTCAGAAGGAATATTATTTTTTTTTAATTTTCAAATGACTATTTTTAATTTTTTTAATTTTTTTTTTTTTTTATAAAAATGCCATTAGGATTTCTTGGATTGCCCTAACGTTTCTTATTTTATATAGTGTAAATTACAGTTACCCCTGAGGTATGATCAAATTACGACAAAACCCCTATTGTTTGGGTAATTACAGTCACCCCTCCTTTTAAATATTTTTACATAAAACTTATGTAATTCAGTTATTTACCAAACCAAATCGTATATTTAGTTCGGTAAACGGTATGAAATGTTGGTGTACCGAAATTTCGGTTCGGTTTAGCCCAATTAACATTACTAAATTTACCTCTGGAGGGGTCTTTTTGTAAGATAATACATAGTTAAGGGGGTGACAATATTTACTCAAACATGAGGGGGGTTTTCGTAATTTGACCATAACTCAGGGGTGGCCGTAATTTGCCCTTATATATATAAAGATTTGTTAATATAGAGATTTTATTCTCTCAATAGTCTATACAAATATGATTATGCAGTCAAAACCAAATCCAAGTTAAATCTGGAATCAAATTGTAAAACTTATAAATTAAATTAATTCGAAATCTTCCTAATCTTGACTCAAATCATCCAACAATCTTCAATGATAATATTCGTTTGGCTTGATTGATAGTAGTATTGAAAATTTGCAATGGCCAAAGAGTACTACATAATATTTATCATAGGCTACTGCACAATATTTCTTATTCTACAATCAATTATTTTCAAATCAACGACAATCGCACCGCAACCAAATTGCGTGTTCACTCGAAAATGGGAGATTCGCGTTGTGAATCGTCTCCCTCTATACTCGATCGAGCCACTGCAGCTGCATTGTGCGTCCAAAAATAAAGACCTCGGAAATCATACACTTGACGTATTCGAAGATTTATCTTGGTCATTCTGCGACAACATTTTCGGAAACACTTTATTCTTCTGCCATCTTAAGTGGAATTCAAATCGAGGCCCAAAACACAAAGCTTTCGACGTTTTTACATCGAAATGGTTGGCGGAATGCGGTAGTGGTATTTGTTATTGGTCTGCAGATGAAGATGGTATACGTTTTACGGGCTCCGATCCTCCGAATCATTGGCAAAAAATATATGATTGGGACAATGGTACCGATCTGCAAGAATTATAATATTTATTTATGCGTCGATAAATTCTTTTAATAGACAATTTATTTTTTTATTTTTTTAATATACCAATATTGTTTTATTTTTAATAGAAAATACCATTAATTACCATGCAATTAAAATGGAATAAACATTATGGTATGTATTAATTTTTTTGAATACCCATTTGTCTACCAAGAAAGATCCGAAAGCACGGGCCCAACCAAATTTGGTCCAAAAACAATATTTCGGGCCATTATATGGGCCGGGTTAAGAAGAGTTGAATCTATATAATATATAAAAGTTGAATTGCATAGCTAATTGATTGACATTTGTCAATTTCAATTGATGACATGTCCTTAATTTCATCCCAAGTGGCGAATTGATTGGTGGAAATAAATCATCAAAAAACATGTCATCATTTTCCAAAATTAAAGGTAATTAAATATATTTAATTATTTTATTAATATATTTATATCCTACCATTTATAAAATGCTCTAAATATATCAACTTTCTTAGAAACCCTAAATAAATTTATTTTTTAATTTAATTTTATAATTAATTTAATTTGAATTTATTTAAATTCGATTTAAAATCTTCCCTTATTATAATTGCATAATTGGTGGTGTTACGATTTTTTTAAATTTTAATTCATAAACTTGAATTTATTAACAAAAAATATTGCAGAATAAATTATTTGATATTATACATTTTAAATGAACATGACTAGAGAATATGTAATTTTTTACTAATTTATATTATATATTAATATTATTTGTAAAAAAGAAAGATACATGTTTGAATTTACTATCTTGCGAAAACACTATTTGTTATGCCATGTGTAGAGTAATGTACTCCCAATTATTTACCATATTGAAAATTATACTACATGAATTTAATGTTATTATTTAAATAATTATTTTTTCTTCACTGAGTCCAGTAACAATAAATTTTACGATTGATTTAACTTTTTAAATTATATACTAATTAAAATACAAATCTTATCATGATTATACTAATAAATTGAATAACTTAAGTTAAGTTTAATCAATTGATAAATAAACGAATTGATTTTATATATTTCAAAATATAATAAATTCTAAATCTTTGGTATTAAATTCGTTTATCCACTTTATTTAATGGCTAACATTAAGAATATCAATTGTTTTGTTTAAAATGTATAATGGTCGTATATACTATATAATGTATTCCACTAATAAGTATTTCATTATAACTCTAATAAATATAATTAAGTAAATATTTACAGCAACTCCAACCCAAAAGTATCAAAATGAGTTTGCAAATATTTATGTGCTATTTAATATTTTATTTTGATATTTATCTAAATGTATTTGCTCCAACCATAGTTATTAAATAGTTGTTAATTAAATATATTTTATTGCCACATGTTATTTTCTAAATGGACACTGATGTGACTAAATTCATAACTCATGTTTGATATTTTATTTTGCATGATTGCATAATGTATTTTTACATTCTGAAAGATGAAGTATCAAAATACCTCATTTCATAACTCTATTAGAATTAAAAATTACTATTTTGGAGTATAAAAATGGTGGTTAAATATTTTGATAGCTCCTTTAATAATCCCACTCGAAGTGCTCTTGCCATAAATAGTTTATATTAATAATTCCCCTAATGTTTGTTTCCGTCTTACATCGACCCCCTTATGGTATGATTTGTCAAGGAATTTTTTTATTACGTGGTCCAATAATGCTTATTATACCATGCACACACGACATTTCTTTATGGTACTTTTTAAAAACAAAAATTACCCTCATGTGAACTTTACACGAAATCTTTATTCTTCTTAAATAACACTTTCACAAATTTTTATTATTACCATGACCACCCCTGAGATTAATTTTTGAGTTTATAAAGTACGATAAAAGAAATGTCACGTCTGTAAGGGTAGACTCCATATTTTTTGAGACATTACATAGAATAAAAAAGATTACGTAAAAAAATCACACCATAAGGGGTCGTGTAAGACAGAAACAAACATCAGGGAGATTTTGGTAATCACCGATAAGTGGGGGTGTTTTCTGTAATTTAGCCTAAGTTCATGAGGATTTTCATAATTTATCTTATTAACAATGATTATTGTTCTTTTACGTCTTAACGTTTGCTTATACCCTTATAATATTTTAAATAATTTTAATGTCAGTTTGATAATATAATTAAATATTAAATGTTCGAGATTGAATTATACTAAATACTAGATCATTGCAAAAAAAAAAAAAATAAAATAAATTGTTGCAAAATCAGAATTTGTGATTAATATTAGTATTAGAATTATAATTATAATTAAGATTCTTTGAATTAGTATTAGTATTAGTATTAATACCAGAAATATGATTCAGATTGTAATTATGATTAATATAATATTAGGATTATAATTAATATTAGTATTAGAATTATAATTAAAATTATGATTATGCTTAGTACGATAATTAGTGACATGCATTAGTATTAAGATTATGATTAGCATTAGAATTGGGATTAGAATTATAATTAAGATTAAAATTAGAATTAGAATTAATATTAGCATTAGCATTAGCATTATTAGTATTAAAATTATTAGGCTTATGATTAGTGTTAAGAATAGGATTATGATAAGGATTACGATTAGAACTATGATTAGTGTTACAAATAAAATTAGTAATATAATAAGGATTTGGATAATATTAGAATTACAACTAATTAGCATTAGCATAATAATTAGCATATCTATATTAGCATTAGCATCAAAATTAGTATTAGCATTAACATTAACAATATTAACATATTAATATTAGTAATAGTATTAATAATAGTATTAGTATTAATTGTAGTATTAGTGTTGGTATTAATATTAATATTAGTATTAGTATTAGTATTAGTATTAGTATTAGTATTAGTATTAGTATTAGTATTAGTACAAATATTAGTATTAACACAAGTATAAGTATCCGTATAAATATTATTATCGGTATCAGTATAAGTATCAGTATCAGTATCAGTACCACAATATGTATCAGTACCAGTATCAGTATCAGTATCAGTACCACAATATGTATCAGTACCAGTATCAGTATCATTATTAGTTTCGGTATCAATATCGGTATCAGTGCAGTATCAATATAAGTATCAATATCATTATCAGTATCAGTATCAATATCAGTATCAGTATCAGTATCAATATCGGTATCGGTATCATTATCAGTATTAATATCAATATCAGTATCGGTATCAGTATCAGTATCAGTATCTGTATATGTATTATGTATCATTAACATTAGATCATTAGCATTAAAATTAGTTTTAGCATAATATTAGTAATAGTATTAGTATCAATAGTAGTATTAATGTTACTATTTGTAATAGTATTAGTATTAGTATTAATATTAGTATTAATATCAATATAAGTATCCTTATCAATATTAGTATCGATATCAGTACATGTATCAGTATAAGTATCAGTATCGGTATCAATATCAATATCAGTATGAGTATCAGTATCAGTATCAGTTTCAGTATCAGTAACAGTATGAGTATCAATATTAATATCAATATCAGTATAGTAACAATATATGTATCAATAGTAATATTAATATCAGTATTATTAGTATAATATTAGTATTAATATTAGTATTTTTATCAACATTGTAGTATGAGTAACAATATTAATATCAATATTAGTATGAGTATCAATATTAATATTAATATTAATATTACTATGAGTATCAATATGACTCTCAACATCAGTATCATTATTAACATCAGTATCAATATCAGTATCAGTATCAGTATCAGTGTCAGTGTCAGTGTCAGTATCAGTATCACTATTAGTATCAGTATCAGTATCAGTATTTGTATCAATATCAGTAAGTATTAGTAGTAGTATTAGTAGTAGTATTAGTTTAGTATCAGTATCAGTATCAGTATCAGTATCAGTATCAGTATTAATATTAATATTAGTTTTAGTATCAGTATTAGTATTAGTATTAGAATTAGTATCAGTATAAGTACCCGTAGTACGAGTATCAATATTAGTATTAGTACCAATATTAATATCAGTATTACTATTATTATTACTATCAATACTAGCATTTTTTCCCCGTGTGATGCACGGGATATTATTTCAAAAGTTAAAAAAATAATCAATTTAATGCATAATAAGAAAATATAGTATACTAATATAGTAAAATTTAATAATATAGTATTATTCATATTTTATTTAACATTAGTTTCATTAGTTTTTTTTTTTTTTTTAAATCTGACATATTAAGATTTATAATCCAAATATGTAGATCGAATTTCTATGTTTATTTCTTAAGATTTGAGATATATTGGTGAAAAATAGGAGATTAATAATTGTTGAAAATTATAGTTAGAAAAATTAGTAAATATTAAAAATAAATAGTTACAAAAGTACCGTTAGATAGGATTCTTCGGGATTTAGTTTCAATTTTGATAATTGTTAAAAATTAGTTAGAAATTAGTAGAGAAAAAAATATTAAAAATATTTAATTACAGAAAATACCATTAGGGTTTTTTAGGGTTGCCCAGCGTTTCTTTCTTTTATACATAAGATTAGTATTATTATTAGTATTAGTATTAGTATTAGTATTAGTATTAGTATTAGTATTAGTATTAGTATTAGTATTAGTATTAGTATTAGTATTAGTATTAGTATTAGTATTAGTATTAGTATTAGTATTAGTATTAGTATTAGTATTAGTATTAGTATTAGTATTAGTATTAGTATTAGTATTAGTATAGTATTAGTATTAGTATTAGTATTAGTATTAGTATTAGTATTACTATTAGTATTAGTATTAGTATCATTATTAGTATCATTATTAGTATCAATATTGATATCAATATTGGTATTATTATTGGTATTGGCGTATACATTTTATCTCTTTTTCAATATTTATAAGTTGTGTTGTTGTTTGATTAATGTGCATCACTAATTGAATGTTGTTAGTGATAAACTTGCAAGTTATTTGAATATCTGTTGTGTTACCTCCATGCTACTGTGTTTGTTGTTAAGTTAGTTATTTTGTAGAGGATTCACATGGTGTAGTAGATTGCATTCAATGAAATAGATTTATACCATATTTTTAAATTATTTCACTTAATCTTCATATCGTGCTTTGCGCCATTCGCGTATTTTTCTTTGTAATATTTAATTGAATTTCAAATATTACAACTCTGAATTAAGAGATAATTTTTTTATTTCCTTCCATTTTGTTTTACTTAAATTGGTGTTGTTATAAAGAGATAATCGTTTAAATGTTATTATTTTTCTCATTTTGAAACTGATATCCGTGCAACGCACGGGTGAAGTACTAGTTGTATCCATTTTTATCAACAAAATTATGATTCTAGAACAATATTATTCATTTTAAAATAATCAAACGCAAAATTATGCTTCGCATTTTGTTGTTTACCGAAAGCATATTCAACAGCAAACAACAAACGAATCTGAAATATGAATGCAACGGTAGAGAAGTACGCAACGGCGTACGAGCATTCGATAAAGAGAGAAGAGAGAGTAACTATTCAATCACATCGTTGAGATTTATTATCCATTATCAGTTTGGACTCTAACCTATATAAGATTGAAATAAGGTGTCTCGTCAGTTATCCATAATCGTAAAAATCGAACTTTCAAGCCACGTTGACTCCAATTTTTCTTTTTCTTTTTTGACTTGGTAACAAAATTATAATTTCGATTTTTTATATATCTGAATTTTCTAAACATTAGTTATAATTAGTTTTTCACTTTCGGAAAAATGTTCTAAGTCCGATTTTATCCATCTTATTTACACCCTACCGAAAGGTAATGTTTAGTATAAAATTGTGATTTCTTCTATGATTTAAAAAAAACAATATTTTTTTTTAATTTTATTTAAAAAAAAAACTCTTATCATTTAGCCTTAATTTTTAATTTTGTGTTCACAATTTAATAAGTTTATAAAATAATGAAATAAATTTTAATTTTCTGTGATTATTTTGTAGTATGTGAGCTTTAGATTTCATTTAAAAAGGAAAAAGAAAATAAAAGGAGCGCCACATATTTAGTAGTTTTTTATTTCAATTTATTTTCAATTAGCGCCAAACAGTGAAAACTTGAAATTTTTCAGAGGGAGAAAATCAAAAGTTTCATCTTATCTAATCTCCACCGTCCGTGGACTTAACAATCGACGGTTTATCTCTCGATCCTCGTCTACCAAACTCCACCAATAATATCTCAGCACCCTTTCCTATATAAACAGCCCCAACTATTCCCCATTTCTCATCGCATCACCAATTTCTCACTCTAAACGCAAAATTCGTCAAATCCCCAACCCAAATTTTCTCTCTCTAGAAATGGCACCAAAGGCGGCAGAGAAGAAACCGGCGGAGAAGAAGCCCGCCGCCGAGAAGGCCCCAGCGGCGGAGAAAGCCCCGGCGGAGAAGAAGCCAAAGGCAGGGAAGAAGCTCCCCAAGGACGTGGGCGGCGCCGCCGCCGGAGAGAAGAAGAAGAAGCGGACGAAGAAGAGCGTGGAGACGTACAAGATCTACATATTCAAGGTGCTGAAGCAGGTCCACCCAGACATCGGGATCTCGAGCAAGGCCATGGGAATCATGAACAGCTTCATCAACGACATCTTCGAGAAATTGGCCCAGGAGGCGGCGCGTCTGGCTAGGTACAACAAGAAGCCCACCATCACTTCCCGGGAGATCCAGACCGCCGTCCGATTGGTGCTTCCCGGCGAGTTGGCCAAGCACGCCGTTTCTGAAGGTACCAAGGCCGTCACCAAATTCACTAGCTCTTGAATGAAAAGCGTTTGTTAGGGTTTGACTTTTGTTGTTCTGAGTATCTAGGGTTTCGAATTAGGGTTTCCTGTTCCATTGTTGTTTGATGTAAAGGATTCTAAATTTGGTAATACTTGATGTTTGAATTCAATTTTATTGATGTTTTATTGTACTGCCATTTGACAATCAAATTGAGGCTTACATTTTATCTAATTTGTTATTCCTGATGAGAAAATTTATCATACATCTCAATTGCTCTGTTCTTTGACAAAACCCTAATTACCAATATCCCAATATTTGTTTTGTTTTTTAATTCCAGTTTTTTTTTACACAAGTGATCTAAGTTTGTAAATGTAATAGATCTCTCTCTCGTGTAATTGGGTAATTGGCACTTTGCACCCTCGAATTACATAGTTTTGGTACTTTGCACCCTTAAATTAAAACAATAACACTTTGCACCCTCTAATTAGAGTTAACTTTGCATTTTGCACCCTACTACATATTTGGCTGGAAAAGTGACCTGCAGCCAGTTTCGTAACAGTTAAAAGAGGGGCACCGTTGTCTTTCTCATTTCTCAAAAACTGGATTTCTCTTGACTGCCAAAAATTGTCATATTGCTGAGGTTTAATTTAGCATTATGATTTATGAGAATTGGCATTGAAAATCAAATCCGGTGTGTGTGAACCAAAAACAGAGAAAAACAAATACTCAAATATATGAATATGCTCATTTGGCCCCTAGTTGTTATAATTTAGATTTTCTCCCATACCGTACCTCTGGATTTTCTTCTTCTTCCTCCTCGATCTGTCGGAATTCACTGGAATCACTGAGCATCCTTCTCTATCTATATATGTGTGTGTGGAAATATATATATATATATAGCCGGCGTCGGAGGAGGAGAAAGTACGGCGGATGGTTTGGGCAAAAGAGTCTGTCTGGAATACGACAAATCCTTCGTTGGTGGTGACGGAAATCAACAGCGGTCTTGGTTGGAGACTTGAGAAGTATAAGGAGGTTGATGGTTTCGGGGTATCAGACGACAGCGGTTGAGGATGCAGCCACGGCGGAGGAGGAAAAGTTAAAGGGTCTAGTAAAGATATTTTTTAACAACGGAGGAAGAGGTTTCGACGGGAAAGGGGGTGAGGAAACTGTTAGAACCGGTTGCAGGTCACTTTTCCAGCCAAATATGTAGTAGGGTGCAAAGTGCCAAGCAAAATTGTAATTGAAGGGTGCAAAGTGCTATTATTTTAATTTAAGTGTGCAAAGTGCCAAAACTATGTAATTCGAGGGTGCAAAGTGCCAATTACCCCGTGTAATTTCTGTCTTTTGAATTGAATGAAAAGGGGGGCAGTATGGTCATTACCTCACGAGTACACGAACATTTGCTTCGTAACTGTATGTGAAATTTGATGCTACAGAGGTGAATACTGCAAGTTTGTCAATTGATCATTTGTTACTTATACGATTCAACGAAAATGTTGATCCCGATATCGAATTATTTGCAAAATCTTTAGCAATGACTTGCAAACTATTTGGCAAAATGTGCTGCATCATATAGGTCTGTCTCTTAAGTTAGTTTCATAAACACGACACTACTGCAGCGGTGTAAAACAGCTGGGACGTAACATATATACGGTTTGGGTTCGGGTTTTTGGATATCATCTGGTTGATATAAACAGTTTCATCTGGTTGATATAAACAGTTTCAGAATGGGTGGATTTGACCATTGTTTAGTACCACGACCCCGGAATTAGTGATTTGACATAATGAAAAAAAATATTAATATTTTGAGAGCAGAATGTTCTCTCTCTCTCTTAAATTGAATGAAAAGGCTTCGGAACTGTATGTGAAATTTGATGCTAAAGAGGTGAATACTGCAAGTTTGTCAATTGATCATTTGTTACTTATAAGATTCAACGAAAATGTTGATCCCGATATCATATTGTTTGCAAAATCTTTAGCAATTACTTGCAAACTATTTGGCAAAATGTGCTGCATCATATTGGTCTCTTAAGTTAGTTTCATGAACACGACACTACTGCACCGTTTGGGTTTGGGTTTTCGGATATCATTTGGTTGATATAAACAGTTTTGGAATGGGTGGGGATTTGACCATTGTTTAGTACTACGACTCCGGAATAAATGATTAGAAATAATGAGAATGTTCTCGTGAGGCTAATCTCGAGCCGCCATGACCAACTGCAATGGAATTCGACATACTGCCAAGCAAATGAAGAGTGCTCGTTGAATTCGCGAACCTAAGCCGGTATACTCAAAAATTATATACAATTAGGCCAACAGTTATACAACAGAATCGTGCAAACACGGAATCTTCACCTTTTTCTGAAAATACAACATCTTGCTATATATGTTGTTCATTGTCTCTGTCAATATCAAACTGAAACGGAGACGATGAACATATATTGCGAAAAATTGCCCCATGCACTAGAGATATTCAGCACTGTATCAAAGGTAAGCACCATAGACCGAACATAACAAAAATTAAACGGCACTCGTATCAATGGTAAGCACTTACTCAGGCCAACAATTTTACAAGAACATAGAACCAATAACACGAACCTCTGAGTTCAGACAACAAACGAAGGATTTTTTTTGGTTCAAACCATTCTCGAAAAGTTGCAATCGAAAAATAATTCAATCACCGTTACAAGTTCATATCACAGATTATTGCATCAATCATTAAACAATGGAAATTAAACAACAGCCAATTGAGAATTTAAATTCAACAATAGTTGCAATCTGCAATGTATAACAATCAGAAGCAAGATCAATATAACATAACCCAAAGAAGTAATTCATTACCACATAAAACCATACATCATCATTTCTTCATATCTAAAAAAGCCCTAATTTACATACTCCTACCAAACCCTAATTTAACCTACAAACAACTTTTAAAAAAGAACAGTAACGGAGAAATAAAATCGAAACCCTAGAAAAAGTTACACCCTTCAAGAGCTGGTGAATTTGGTGACGGCCTTGGTTCCTTCAGAAACGGCGTGCTTGGCCAACTCGCCGGGAAGCACCAATCGGACGGCGGTTTGGATTTCCCGAGAAGTGATGGTGGGCTTCTTGTTGTACCTAGCCAGACGCGCCGCCTCCTGGGCCAATTTCTCGAAGATGTCGTTGATGAAGCTGTTCATGATTCCCATGGCCTTGCTCGAGATCCCGATGTCCGGGTGGACCTGCTTCAGCACCTTGAAGATGTAGATCTTGTACGTCTCCACGCTCTTCTTCGTCCGCTTCTTCTTCTTCTCTCCGGCGGCGGCGCCGCCCACGTCCTTGGGGAGCTTCTTCCCTGCCTTGGGCTTCTTCTCCGCCGGAGCTTTCTCCGCCGCGGGGGCCTTCTCGGCCGCGGGCTTCTTCTCCGCCGGTTTCTTCTCTGCCGCCTTCGGTGCCATTTCTAGAGAGAGAAAATTTGGGTTGGGTATTTGAAGAATTTAACTTGTACTTTGGTTGTGAGATGAGAAGAGAGAGTGGGCTGGGGCGGTTTATATAGGAAAAGGGCTGAAGTATTATTGGTCGAATTGATTTGACGCGGATCGCTACTGTAAGCCGTTGATGAGATGTGTATTGTGCGGTGAAGATTGTTTCGTTTTTTGGATTCTTTAGTTAAATATTTCAAATTTTCATTCTGGCGCTAGGTGTTACATTTTCTTATTAAAAAAAAAGCTAAAATTATAGAAATTCGATAACTTAATTCTCAATTAGTTAATACGATATTGTTAGTTTCGACTCGGGGACAACGTGCTAAAGTAAAAAAAAAAAAATGCTAAAATTATTGATGATACATATTTGAAAATTCATATAAACACCATTTAATATATAAATTAGTAATTTTTTTTTGATACATAGTCATGTTTAAATATTCTTATAGACCACATCTAGGCCCCGTTTGGTAGCCAAGATAAGATTAGCCAAGATAAGATTAAATAATCTAATGAGACCCAATTATTTTATTGGAGCTTGAAAGGTCCAACAAAAAAAACTCATTAAGAGGCAAGATAAGCCAAGATAAGGCAAGATAAGCCATGATTATTTAATTTTGGCGGGTCGACCCGGCAAGTTATTGAGGATACCAAACATCAAATTAAGTCCAACTATTTAGTTAATCTTGGCTTATCTTGGCAACCAAACGGGGCCCTAATGTATAAATTAATAAATGGGAGCATTGTGGATTCATACCAACTCAGCTTCGTGTAAGACATGATTTATCGTCGGAGATACGGGGTCGTGCTTGCTTTGACCACAAAAATCTGGTCAAAGTGTGTATAGGTTGTGAACTTGTGACAATATCCGGATTTGATTTACCTGACGCTCATATGTATCCGACTATGTATACAAAATACAATAATATGAATTCTCAATTCGTCCTTTACACATAGTGAGCTTGTAATTAGACCTATAATAACGAATAAAATACATTCTTATCATCTTTGCTCAATCAACGAAAAAATTATCTATAATTATAGTTCGTTTATGAGCTTCATTTCAAGAAGCAAGATATATAATCAAACTTCTCCCTTTTACTAGTTTTCATACGGTTCTCAATTACATGCTTGTTAAGAATTTTTTTAAGATTAGTTACATTGTTTCATGCGACCGTTCAAAAGATATACAACGTTAATTGATAATACAATTACATCGTTATATTAGTTATCGGGTGCTTTTCACTTGTTACAGTTCATAATAAATCAATTGATTCATTGATTGTACAATATCGAATGTAATTTGTCGTCGTGTTTGCATTAACATCAATAGTACGAAGCTAACATTGCAAGTTTCATTGCATCTAAAATATTTATCGTCTATGGTTCAACTATCTAAACGACTTTCATAAAATTGACTAGACAACAATAATACATTTTAAATTGAGCGATATATTCATTAAAATATTAATAATAGTTCCATAAATTAGTAAAATATTTATTTATCGATAATATTATATAAGAGACATATGCCTCGTTTGCTTGCTACTATTAGGTTATGTTGACTAAATAGTAGGAGTTAGTAAGATGTTTAGTTGATAAGATTCAATACTATTGAAGCCCGCTACTAAACTCGAAGCCCGCAATTAAGTGCTACTACGTCATGAAATTAGTAACACCCCTCCCCCATGGATTAATTTTGTACGCGGTGACTAAAACGGAAAATTACAATTTTATCCGTTAAAACAATAACTTAATTTTGTTAAATAAAAGACTTTACACAATTTACATATAATAATAGAATCTAACAAATTTAATACAACTTATAATTTAAAGAACCAAATAAATTATTAACTAATTAATTAGTTAACCAGTAGGGAATTAATCCGGTCTAATCAACATAAGTAAGCACTAGGGGTGCAAGTTGGAACGGATTTTCCAATTTCCGCCGGTTCCGATCCGAAAAGTTCCGATTTTGGAACAACTTTTTTCATTCCGACTTCCGAAATTTCAATTTCCAAATTTTTCCAATTTTTTTGGACTGGAATTGGAATTATATAAAATAAATTTGTAATTTCCGATTTCCGATCCGATTTAATTCCGAAATTAATTCCGAAAAATTCCGATTTTTTTCCGAAAAAATACACCTATAAATAGTATATATTATATAATACTTATTCTCCGAAAAATACACCTATAAGTTTTGTTTTAGGATTTTGACATAATGAATTTTTGTTAGAAGTTTTATTGGATATTATGTTGTGTTTATTTTTATTTATTTTTTTGAGCTGAAATTTACTAGTTATTAGTTTTACTTTTATCAACGTGGATGCTCTTATTTTCGAAAAATTATGAACATTTTAGAAAATTTCGGTTAAGTTTTGAAATTTTAAAGCTTATGTGATTTCCGATTTTTTTCCGAAATTCCGAAATTTCCGGACCTTTTGGAATTTGAATGAATTTTTAGATTCCGAAAATTTTGGAATTGGAATAGGAATTGATTTTGTACTTCCAAAATTTTTGGAAATTTTCCTAAAGGGCTAATTCCGATCGGATCCATCCGACTGTCACCCCTAGTAAGCACTATTCAGTTAATTGGCGTTTAATCAAGTGAGCCCAAAGCCCGTATTTAGTATGGGCCGGGCCCAAATAAACGTTCAATCACAGCTGATTTACAGTAAAAAAAAAAGCCCAATATCGACAAACCCACACACACTTGCATAAAAAAAATCATATCTCAGATTTTTCAACTCCTGCTTCTCTCTCTCTAGATTTCAAATGCTCTGACCATCTCTAAGCTATATACATTATCTCTCTACATATACATTACCATACTTGCATACACGCATTAGATACACAGCAATGGAAGGAAATAAATCAGCGTACAGCGCGGCGTCGCCCGAGGAGCAGCTGAATCATTCGCCGCCGCCTCCAGGTTTTCCTTATCTCGAATTTATTTGCAATTTCTGTGAAGATCTGTGGTGCTGGATCTGTTTGATTTGACATGAATTTGATTCGATTTGAATTTTTGTGTGTTTCCGTTAGCTGTTTCATGGTTTCACTAGCGTGAATTTAGAACACGTACTTTGGTTTATTGCTTTCGTTGTGTGTGTGTGTGTGTGTGCGTGTTTTGGTGTTGTACCTAGAAACCCTTGAAATTTGTGATTATTTATGTTTATGTGTGAAATTGGATGCTGAATTTTAGTTATTTAATGCAGTTTCACGGAAATAAATTGTGAGTTCATTTTCATAAATTAATGCAGTTTATAGTTTCTAAACATGAACACAGATTTGAACATACTGTAAGAGTGGAAACATGTCTCCAAAATTGAGTAAATATTTACTTTTTTGTGATGTCCACCAATCGTATGCTTATTTCCATAACTGTAATGGCGCGATGACACCTGTAATACTGCACAAATGCCTTTTCAAAGGACAGCTATTAGAACCACCAACCAAAAGTTTGTCTCAATTAAAAATGCGATGGGGGGTGGGGAAGAGCAACTTTATAATCATTAGACATACTGTCGCATTCTTATTGCTGGATGAGTTATTAATTGGATTAAGACTTTTGAGTTTTGACTTTATTAATGTCGGGCGAAAAAAGAATCTTTAACTGCCTTATTTCTTATCACAAGTCATAGAGGTGTTAATTATGCTATTTTGCCCGATGTAATTTGACCAGTGAGGGAGATCTGAAAAAGTGGTTGCTAATAGTTGATTTGAGAACAGTCGATATTGTTCATTTGAAAATACAATATTCATCATAAAAACGTAAACGGAAAGTAAACAAAAAAACTTAGGCATGATTATGATTTTGGGTGTGTAATGCCTTTCACGAACATGGACCATCGTCCGTGGTCTAGAATAGGGGGTATAATCAACAGCTGAGGTGGAAAATTAAATTGTTTACTAGGAGAAATTAACAAATAACATTTGCAATCTGTCACAATTATCTCCGAGTGATTGTTGAATGGTTCTGGACAATGCAATAAAATTATTGGAACATTATTTGTTGCAGTTACCTGAGTTGTTCCCATAACTAGCCCGTTTAGATATATACATATATATTGTTAGTTACAAGTGCATCCTAATATGTGATTACCTTATAAATTGGCATGATTTATTGCTCAATGTCCTGGATCGACGACTAGTTAAATGTTATCCGATTAACGGCGCTAATGCAATGGCATCTATCCGGGGAGCTCGTTGGTATATCCCATTTTATTTCATTATAGACTGCAATTATCTTTTCTGCTATTCAGTTTCCATTTATTTAAAAAAACATAATGTGTGTTATATGCAAGGCATGCTCAAAGGTTGCCATGAAATATGTTTACTTTTCCTCAATAAGTGTGTGCAGAGTTTATTATTCTCTGATCTACTGCTCCTAGTTGTATTTTGTACGTTTTGTATATATCTTTAAAGTTCTTGTTGTTATTGGACAGACAATGAAGAGAAGACCACTCACCTCAGGTTCCTTTTATCAAATGCTGAAGCTGGTTCTGTAATAGGAAAAGGTGGTGCAACGATCAATGATATTCAGTCACAATCTGGAGCTCGTGTCCAGTTGTCACGCAATTTTGAGTATTTCCCTGGCACATCTGATAGGATTATCATGGTCTCTGGAACAATTGATGACGTATTGAAGGCAGTTAATCTCATTCTGTCTAAATTGCTAGATGAGGTAAGAAGATTCTATGAACATCTTTGGAATGGGTTTTTTTTTTTTTTTTTGTGTGTGTGTGTGTGTAATCTTTACTCAAGGTAATTGTTTTCTGCTTTGTGTTAGTTTTATCCTGAGGATGGTGGTGAAACCGATCCCCAATCGAAGATTAGACTGGTTGTTCCGAATAGCTCCTGTGGTGGAATAATTGGGAAGGGTGGATCCATCATAAGGTTAGCATTCTATTTCTATCTCTGCTTGTTTTTGGGTGTGTGGCCTCTTATTACTAATTGGTATGTATTACCAAAATATTTATCTTATCACTGGGTAATAGCTTTTGCTGCTGGAATTTAGAGGCCATCTCTATTGTTCAGCTTGCAAAATCTACGGAAGAAAGAAAATTCAAGCAATATATTGCACCCCAACGATTATTGTCATAGTTGATGTAGTTGTTTCTTGGTTGTTAGGATCTTATTGTGGCATATTTATGCATATATGGATTTAGTGAATTGAAAATGGTCTGTTCGTTCATCACGCATTTACTCCATAGTGTTTCCTGAGTATATCTATACTTCACCTTACCTTTTGTATGTAGAATTCTTTTAGGTGCATTTGGGAGGATTTGAGGTACAGATTTCAAATTAACAATAACAATACATTGAGGTTGTTTGGATTGAGTCATTTGACAATGGATTTTAAATCTTTAGCTCTCGTTTTGTTGTATTTGAAATCCTTCCCCCCATTTGGAGTCATTTTAAATCTTTATTATTTAGAATCATTTAGAATCTATTCATTTCAAATCATTCGATCTAAATGAAGCCTTAGGTGCCTGTTCTTGACGAGAATGCTTCCAAAACATTGCCTGAATAGGTAGCTCTCATTTATCTAAATCTTCAAGATTCCTTGTCATAATTTATAGGTCAAAGAACTCAGTATCAAATTTAGGTTGCATTGTTTTTGTAGAATTGCAATGCATGACCCTTTCCTCTTTTTTTACAGTGTAAATTCTCTGCCATTCTATTTTCAAGTGTCCTAGATAGACCTTGCTGGCTAAGCCTTTTGTTTTTTCTTTTAGTCCAATATTCTAATATTCCAAATTCCAATTAATCACAAGAAATACATAATCGGGAGGTTCTTTGATTGGTCAATATGATAAGTAAAGCTGAAATGTGATGATACCTGAAATTTACGTTTGACTTGCATATTGATATTTCAAGTCTCGTGCAGATAAATTAGCTTATATAGACGATCGAGTAGGTAAATGCATATAGATTAACCATTTCAATTTTATTTAATTTTATTGCCGTCTAAATTTTTTTGAACAGATCGTTGATGGAAGAATCCAGTGCTAGCATTAAGATATCTTCTCAGGACACCTATTACCCTGGCTTGCATGATAGGTTGGTGACAGTGTCTGGTTCTTTAGGAGAGCAGATGCGGGCTGTTGAGCTGATCTTACTGAAACTGGTTGAGGATCAATATTATCATCAATCTGCACATGCTCCATTTCCTTATCCAGGTAACTCGATGACTTGATTATTATTTAATATTTAGAATATCGGACAAATATTTTCTTCATATCCCATATGCCACTAAAGAATGTGAGTTACAATTCCATCTAACCAGCTCTTCAATGCACGTCATTAATATAATGGCAAATAGTCCTCCTTCATACCGAACTCTGTACCATTGACGAGTAAGTTATGGCTCTAAAGTTCGGTTCACGATTCATCACACTGTGATGAGATTGAGAACCTTGAAAGTACGTAAAAGAAACTATGCTACTTATTTGCTAACTGAAAAAACTTGTGATGTTTTTTGGAAAGTAGAATTTAATGAGGTACACATGTTGTTATTAGAAATTTTAACTGTTTCCTCAGAGTTAAATATTGAGGCATTTGTTATAATTCCCATTTCCAGTGGTTGCATACAATGGGATGAACTACGGACCGAATGCCCCCGGACCAAAGTATCAGAACAACAGGTCGCCCAACAAGGTCCGTCATCATATTTAATGGTTTCGATAAAATAATTTCTTCGTTCTAACCTAAGCTATCTTATCTTATTTTTGCTTTTGCTTATTTGAATATTCATGAATATATATGCACTCTGAAGAAGTATATTCCGCTTACATTATCCAGTTTGAACAAGTGGTTATGAATCTACGTTGTACCCTCTAATGAACTTCCGAGTGAAATCCAATGGTTCTCTTTTCAGATTATCTTGGAACAAACATGTCGATCTTTAACGTTTTATTGAAAATGAATCTTAACATAGAAATCCCCCAGGGTTTCTTAGCAAAACCATAATTTTGGCTATTTATATGTAATCTGTTGGATGAAAGCTTAATGCCATCCATTCTTTTTTTCGGAATTGCTTTAGTTCCACAATTATTTTCCATTTTCTCAAAAATAAAATAAAAAATGAGGGGTTCAATTTACGAAATGTAAGTGCAAATTTGCAGCCACAGGAGGACAGAAGCAGTTCGATTACTATTGGCATTGCTGACGAACACATCGGAATAGTTGTTGGTCGTGGTGGAAGGAATATTATGGAATTGAGTCAGGTCCGTATTGTAGAAATATAATTTTTTTATTATTATTAATTTTTTTTTGTCTGGTCCGTTTGATTTACCAACCCTGTGATTCTCTTACTTGCACAGCTTAGCGGAGCTAGGATTAAGATATCCGAGAGGGGTGATTTCATGTCGGGGACATCTGACAGGTAATATAGCCAAATGACTATTTCCAAGTTTTATCTCGTGAATTTAATTTTAAAACGCAATTAATTTGTAATATTTTTTTTCTTTTTTTGTTATTGCAGGAAAGTTACGATCACAGGTTCTCAAAGATCAATCCATATGGCGGAGTCCATGATATCGGAGAAAATCGCTTCAGTTGCTGAGAGAGAATGAGTAGTTTCCTCAACTTGTTATTTATTATATATCTTTGTTAAGATATTCGTTTCCTCAACTCGAGATTTTGACAAAGGGACTAATGAAAGAAAGGATATTCGTTTAATTTAAGGGCGCGTTTGGACTATCTAAATTTTTGCAGGAAATGTTTTTATCAAGTTACGTTGTATTTCGGGCGGGGCGAAAAAGAATTTGATTCGTTTTGTATACTGTTGTAATTCGCTATGGCTGAACTATTATTTAACATGACTAAACAGGTGATCTTTTTTTTTTTTTTAATTAAATTTATTTATGTTTGATTTGGTTATATTTTCGATTTGTTTATCCTATTGTTTTCGTTTAGAGCTTTTAAATAGCTGCTTTTGTTGGTAATACATAATTTTGTTCTCTATACCTGCTTAGATTTATTCATATACGCATTGGAAAATATTCAATTGTTACTAAGTTGTTGAAATTAACAGGTCTTTTCAGTGTTTGCTTCTAAGGCACGTTTGGCTAAGCTTAATTTAAAGAGTTGACGAGCTTTTAAGAGCTTATAAGCTGTTATATCTTATTTTTATAATTAAATTTTAAAGTGTTTGAATAATGAACTTATAAATTGTTTTTACACATTATAAATCTTAAATAAAAAATGTGCATAAATATATATAAATATATATATTAAATATCTTATTTGCTTTTGCAGCTTATTTATGGAATTTTTAAGACTTTTAAAACAAATATTACCTAACATTTAAAAGGGGTCATAAGAGCCTTGAACATTTTATAAGCTCTTTTTCACTGTTTATAAGTTTTTTTTAACAGTTGTAAGCTTATAATGTTCCCGATAAATGTTATTATTACGATTTAAAAAATAACAAAACATTATACTAATTGATTTGAAATCCGAACAATCTTGAAAAGGGATACATTCTCTTCAAAATAAAAATAAAAACAAAAAAATCATTCATTCGATTCTACTCGATTCGTTTACGTACCTAATTGTGAATATTAAGATTAATCAGACCGAATAAATGAAATTAATAATTTTTAAATTTCCTACTCCATTTTTATTTTTTTAGAATTTCCCTATACTTAAAGGACCGGTTAGCAAATAAAAATATATACTCGACTGGTTTTAACTTTCCGCTCTCACTCTTTTGCTCTCCAAAACCCTAACCCAGCATCCGCAAGCCCTTGAAAGATCTTCGCTCCATATCCAGAGAAGAACAGCTCCAATGGCTGTAAGTTATTCCTCTTATTTTATTCTACTTGTGTGTTTTTAGTGTGCGCGCGTGTATGTGTGTGCGCGTGTGTGTGTATCTGTGAGATAAATTCAGAAACAGGCGAGGCTCAAATTTGAAAAGGGAAGGCGAATTTATTTTTTGCGGAGATGCATTGTTCGTTTTTTGATCTAAATTTCCTTACTATTAAGATTAAATATATTGACTGAATCGAATTATTGATATGTGGGAATGGCTATAGTTGAGGTGTTTGATGGTGGTTATCCAATACCTGTTGCTTTCGTGTTAGGGTTCCTCAGTTCTGTGTAAATCGGTCAAAAATTAACGTCGAAGAACATATAGATGTTTTAATTTTTAGCTATATGCGTGCGGGTTTTTTGTTTCGTGAAGGATTATAGAGCAGTGGAACCATTGCGCGTACCGATCCCACATCATTATTTCGATTTAAACTTTGATATCTAGGTTGTAGAATTGCAGTCACCAGTTATAATATATAGCTTTTGAGTGAATAGTAAAAATTGTTTGCCGGAGTAATACTACTAGCAGCAAGACTGAATAGTTGGTGATTTTCGTTTATATACTTCACAGTGGTGGTGGTGGTGGTACGGGCATGCTTGAGCTCCTTTGTTTTATACTTAAAGCATGGTTTCTTAACCAAATCCCGTGAATTCTATTTCTTGCCAAACGTACCGAGTTTAATTAAACCCAAAGAATTTGATTTCGTTGATTTAGCTTTTTTTTTTCTCAGAATTATCAGTTGCTGATTTCTAATTTTTTTTTCTCATTTTGACATTGCAGACTGTACCGGTTAACCCTAAGCCTTTCTTGAACAATTTGACCGGGAAACCTGTGATGGTAAAACTCAAATGGGGAATGGAATACAAAGGTATTGAGTCTTCTAAGACCCATTACAAGATTTTATGTTCTGTTGTATTAGTTGTACTTTCGCCTAATTCACATAAGTTGCGATATTTAATTTTCTGCTTTTGGCTTCATTTTCAGGTTTTCTTGTTTCAGTGGATTCATACATGAACTTACAGGTACCTGTTACAAAAGTTATGCAATCTGTGAATTTTTTCACTGCGTGGTTATGTCAAAATGCTGAAAGACAATATGTCGTGAACTTTGCTGTGGTGTTGAATGTGAAAAATATGAATAGATTGTTCGGAGATATTACGGAATGCTCTATTTTACACTTTTTTTCTCAAACCTCCATATGAGACACGGGTGTCTGTTTTTCACTTGCGTTTCAAATTACTTCTTTTGATAATTTGTTATAAAATTTGTAATGCAATTCAACACCCTTTCGTGCTATAAAATCTATCTAGTTATTCTGTTCCATAAAAAAAAAAACATTGAAGTTTGAGCGTTTAGATGGAACCGTTCACCTGTCCTTGTGTATCACTAGATGATGTTTGAAACCTTGGATATAACTATCTATCTATTCTCGTATATTACTAAATGGTATGAAATTATTCAACTGAAACGAGATGCCGCGGAGTCTAAAGGAGCTAGTACATAGTATATGAATGTAGAAGTGGCAAATGGTGTTTATTTTTTTAATAATATTACATTTTTCTATAACGTGATTAATGTATATTTTGGCAGCTTGCAAACGCCGAGGAATATATTGATGGGAAATGCACTGGAAGTCTTGGAGAGATCTTGATCAGGTTATTAATCAGCCTAATGACTTTGTTATTAATATCCTCTCACAATCATGATCAGCAAATCATATTTAATTAATAAAAGAATAGGGTTATGTTGTTTGGATGACGAGATTAAACCATTGTTATGTCCAATTCTGGACTCTGACCCTGCAGTGCTTTATGTTATGTTTGTCGATCAACGTTATAATGAAACAAAAGGTGCAATGGGCCTGAGGCCATAAAATTAGGTTTTGCATTTGAGTTAGCAAGGAAACATGGATGGTTCAAATGAACATATTTCTCGATCTTTCGGTTTTGATATTTCAAGAAGTGAGACTTTTAACCATTCTGATTTCTCACCTCATTCCGCCTCATCTCACTGGATTGACACTGAAATACTTACCATTAGTGGCTAACAATTGCGATTGTGAAGTCCCTTAGCTGCATTAATTTTTTGATTTGTTTGCATCCAAAGATTGGAGAATTTGAAGTAACCTGTTGAATATAGTACTCCTGTTAGATCAAGAAAAGTTGCCATAATTTTTCTTTAAAGATTTTTGAAATGATAGATTTTCGAGTATTATTTTCTTTCTTTACCTTAGATTTTATTGATAAAATCATGTACTTATCTGCAGATGCAACAATGTTCTTTATCTTCGTGGTGTGCCGGAGGATGAAGAAATAGAAGAAGCCGATCAAGACTAGTAGGGGTTGGTTGCGTTTCGTATCTTTTAGTACTGAAACTAAAAGAGGCTCGTCGTTATTTGCATGCTTGTATTATTTCCAAAAGTATACCTTCTAGCTATAAATCTGTCCTAATTCACTTTTTCAATTCTTGTAATGAATGTATTATGACTGTTTGATAGTTATTGCTTTGATAGTATAAGACCATATTTTGTAGTTGGGTTGTGTGGATTTGGATATTAAAGTAGGATTTTCGTGGTAACTATTATAATTTATTTGCTTAACTTTTATCTGGAAAATAAATACTAACCAGATTTATTTTTAAAATAATATTGTAGTAAAAAAATTCATTATACTAATTAACTCAATCAGAAACATATGAAGATTCTTTAATTGATAGGCCCATTTTACTAACTGATAGGCCCATTATATTAACTTATAGGCCCATTTTACTAATTGAGAGGCCCATATTGTGAACTGATAGACCCATTTTCCCATTTCGTTTAGCAAAATTTCATGTCTAAATAATCTTTTATTCGTTGTTTATACGAATGTGATAAAATCCCCAAAATTAAAATTATTTTTCATTTTGTAAAAAAAATTGTATTCAATTAGATATATAAAGAACAATTACACTGAGTCCCCAAATTTTTAACTTTGCATATAAAAAACATGCATACAACTCCACTTAAAATATGACAAGATCATAATCTGGAAATTAAATAAAATCGCAGAACTAGTGTCTAATGCAGTTATCCCTTAATCAAGAAACTTAGTTCACCAAACAAATTCATAACGGTACGTGCTACCACCACCACCACCTCCGAAATAATCTACTTTGTCCTAACAACCTATTTCAACATTTAATGTCTGTTTAAATTACTCGAAAAGCTCGTGCAATCACAATTGCACTGACAATGAGCTTTTACCTTTATGCAACTGTATTTTAGAGTAAGTATTTTCTGTGGCAATTCAAGAAAAGTCTATTTCGCACATATACAGATCCCTATTTTGAAGCTCACCGAGAGAATCAGGACCCAAAGAAACATGAAGTAGAGCCAACCCCTAGAAACCGTCGAGGCAGCCTTTCCTGGAAGTGCGCTAAAACTAGAGTCCATATTGGCTGAAAAGCCAAAAGAAAGAACGATGTTGAAATTCTCATGCTTGCCCAACAATTGGTCTCCCCCACGACCATCGGTTATCTGAATCATGCCAGCTGTAACATGAACAGAACTCGAGGGTTGCGATAGAGAATTGAGACGGAGAGCTGCATCTTTTAAAGGGAATTCCGAAGCAAATGCTGGTGGAGCTGGGATTTTTCCCAACATTTGACTTGCCTGTTTCATAAACGGGTACTTATAATCTGTGACATACGAGATAAACCAAGTCAGATCTCTCAACAATACTTCAAAAAAAAATCAAATAGATTACAAATGAGTAAGTACCAGATTCATATTTCGCAGAGTCTAGATTATCAGATGATGATGCAGAACTGTTGTCGTTGTTGTTGTTGTCAAGTTGTTCACTCGGTAGATTGCATTGCTCAGTTCCATTATCCAGTTCCTGGCGAGAAAAAAAAAAAAAAAAAAACGAGTCAAGAGTTCTGTGCTTTTAGTGAGTTCAGAAATACATCTATGAAATTCAAGTGCAACAATTATTACCTCTTGAAGAAGCAATGTTTGATCAGAAACAAGGTCCTCATTTTCAAGAATCATCGAAGAATCAAACATAAAGTGGTCCGAGTTGTCATTGTTGGCGTCAAAGAATGAAAGGTACTCCTCCATGTCAAAAGGAGAGTTATTAGTTTCAACAGGATTCGATAAATCATTAGTTTCAATGTGTCCTTCATCAGCTTCAATGTAACTTCCATTGCCGTATTGAAGGTCCGCCGAAGAATCCCGTAATGGTTCATCGAGCAAGTAATCAAATTCATCAGAAATTCCAGACTTGCTGGATTCACCGATGTATTCATGCTTGACTGCTCTCACTTCCATATCATACGGAACGGGCAAATCACATAAGTATTTATCTTCAAGTTGCTCTTGTTCGTAATATTGTTCACCTGCAATCGACACGGGCATTGGGGCGTCATTTGGAGACTCTGCAGAATCTTCAACAAAGCTGCCATCTGCAGAGTTGATAGTCAATGGAAGGGGAGAAACATCGTATGCAATATCTGATCCAAGAATCTGGGAAAAAGAAATAGATAATTTCATCACAAAGCACGAAGATACAAGAAACGGACTAGATCCTATCTTCCAATAAAACAACGAGGCTAGCAGTGAGAAAGAAATTAAACGATGAAAGCACAAACCTGCTCAAGATCATGGCCATCCAAATAAATATCGTCACCAAAGTCAACCTCCTCTGCACTCTCCGATTTTGGAGCCCACTCCTCATCCTCCCATTCCTCTTCCATAAATGGAGCCCCATACTGTTCACCATTTTTCGGCCCTGAACCACTCTTCTGAAACACTCGGCAAAGAACAAATGCATCCTTTTGCACCAAAATACACCAAGTTTAGTAAAGATCGAGAGTCTGTAACAACAGATCCTCCGAACCAGTTCCCATGTCATGATAATGATAATTACAATGATCACAAATTATTATTGCAACGGAAGTTCCTTTAGTGCTGATAAAAGTAACATCAATGACTTACATCAAATCGAAATACTATCTCAAGGGAAAATCAAGAAAACAAAATCGTATATTTCCTTTTCTTTTGGTTTATTGATTCATGATAACTTGTTCCAACATACACATCCAAGAATTCAGTCACCATGCAATCATTACACACTAGTTACGTTTATTCGGCGCCATTCTTAGCAAATCTATTAGCTAAAAATACGACATAGGGTATAGATGAAAGAATGATGCAACCCTCACCTGGACAATGCCAGCTTTCTCCAATTCCATATCGATAAGTCTGTACTCATGCATTACCCAATTACTTCTTAAGCCCTTTGGAGCACGACCACTATGATAAACGAGAGTTTTCTTCATACCCACAACTTGGGTTCTATGGTACACAGCCCTGTCCTTTCCAGTTGTCTTCCAATATCCTTTCTCAGTCGCTCGATTCGTCCTTGATCCATTACCGTACTTCTTATCCAGCACACTGAAGAAATACCACTCCAAATCTCTACTCCTCAGCTTCGAAAAGCCTAAAACCGCACCACCGTTAATATAAAATTCATTTCAAATTCAGAGATAAAGAAGAAAAAAATCCATATGTGTTAAACATGTGAGCAAGTAAATCATCCATCCAAGCAACGAAATTAACGGGTAAGATGTATGAAGAAAGTGATAACCATATCTCCATTTATTCAGTCGTAATTCGTAAACGATAAAATCCCAACTCAAATTCTCAAGTACAGAGATGCAACCAACAAACCCCATTATTCGGAAAATCAGATCTATTATTTGCTCCCAACAACCTTCAACTTGCTACCCTTAATTCGATATCTAAATCGAGATTCACTAGCAAAACCAACATAAACATTAAAAAAAAAAGATAATTAAAAAAAACCCACAACTAACAGCAACAAAATTACATACCAACTAGCAAATTCTGCAAGAAAAAAATCGAACTGAACAAGAACAAACAAAATAGCCATATAATTTCATTACTCCAAAAACCCTAAATTAATTAATACTGAATTATATACATACTAGGAAGATCCCATGGCTCGGCTTTGTAAATATCGATCTCAGAAATGGCATCGAAGCGAAAACCTCTGCCGCAGACTTTTCGCCTCAAATAGTATCGGACCAATTCCTCGTCCGTCGGGTGGAACCGGAAACCCGGCGCCAGCAGACCCGACGATTTCTTCTTTCCGGCGTTAGATTCCATTTCCATACATAAAATCGATTCAGATTTTTTTTGAATTTGAAAAAAATAAGAAAAAAAAATTAGGTTTTTCTTTTGAGGTTTTTGGGGGTGAGGTGATTAATGAGGTAGGAGAAGTAGAGGAAAAGTGAACATTGTTAATTAATTAATTATATATATATATAATGATTAAAATATTTGATTATTTATATTATTATTTTAATATGAAAGATCTGGATAATCCGGATTGGGGTTTGGTCAACACGGGTACAAACCCGTTTGGAAGAATTTTGAGGGCCAAATTTCAATTAATTAATTAAAATCTTGCTTAAATAAATATAATTAATTAACCTAAATTAAGTGAGTTTTAAAAATATGCTAGTATTATTATTAATAAAAATCAATTTCCAGTATGTAAAACTAAATGATTTTGCTTAGAAAAAAATTGGAATGTTATTTAAAAATAATTATGACTAATTACTAGTTAGTGTAAAAAACCATTAATTAGCATTTAAAGAAATCCGGGTTCGGGTTCGGGTTCGGGTTCAAAAGCCGCCAATTAAAGAGAATATAGACCGGCAATTTCGAGGCGGGTGTGATATTTCCAGAGAAACTTTATCGTTACCAGACAAACTTCTTCTTCCGTGTGTTGTACCTTGTTCTTCAACTGTGGTACATTGGTGTGGCAATAGCAATATTGTAGTTGAACACGGCAACCGCATCATTTTTTTGGTGGCGTAATCACAGCCGTTGAAATATTGAAAGTTTTTTCTTTTTCTTATTGTTTTTCCTTTTCTTTGTGTGTGGTTTGACTAACGCCAAGTAATAGGAAACCATTACCACAAAATAATTTGTTTTTTTTTTAAGTTGGTGGAAGAATGTTCTAGAATGTTACATATTTCTAATTTTTCCATCTTCTTAGGTAAGTCACACCTCATGTGATTTTAATTAATAATTAACATTTGATCCGTAAAAATTAAAAGAGTGTGGTATCTAACGATCCACATTTGATTTTCATGTCGATATTTTTTAGATAGAGTTTTTTTTTTTAATATATAATTCATTGTTGATTTAATACATTTCGTATGATTTGCGGAATTTACTCGGTGCATATCGATTCATTTATAAAAGAAAAATAACAATAATAATAAATAATTAATACTTGGGAGGATGAGGATAATTCTTGATAAGTTGGAGGGATATTCTACGGTACATTTATATTTAGGACTTGTTTGGACTTCAATAAATTACTTTGATTTCAAGTTTTGAACAATAACATCTATTTTAGAAATGTGTTCTATAGCGTGTAGCATTTATCATGTCTAAAATTTTAGAAATTTACAATTATGTATATAGAGGACTTGTTGGATTTAAAATAGGCTGCGGCTATACGCAATACTAATTCCACTTGTGCAAGACCAAATTAAAGAAAAATTCTAAAAGATTCCATTTTATTAAGATGAAATGGCAAATATACCTATAAATTAAATTGGCTTTTGTTTGCTCATGCAAGACCAAATAACAAATAATAAAAAAATATGAAACAACTAAATTTCGACATTAAGGTGTCGAATATATGTCCATAAATTCGACACCTTAATGTCGAAATTTAGTAAATTTTGGACTAATTTGCTAACAGTTAAATTTCGACACCAAGGTGTCGATTTTGTACTCCAAAATCGACATCTCAATGTCGATTTTTACCTACAAAATTCGACATGTACATGTCGAAATATGAAACAACTAAATTTCGACATTAAGGTGTCGAATATATGTCCATAAATTCGACACCTTAATGTCGAAATTTAGTATATTTGGACTAATTTACTAACAATTAAATTTCGACACTAAGGTGTCGATTTTGTACTAAAAAATCGACATCTCAATGTCGATTTTTGCCTATAAAATTCGACATGTACATGTCGACTGCGTCTGCGCGGAATGTTTTTTGGAAAAACGATATTCTAGCTAAAAAAACACATAAATGCATAATTTCTTGGATTATTCCACCATAGATTCTTCTATTTTGATGTTTTATGACTGCATACTTGCCATCTTTGTAAGATTTGTTGAGTTTTGATGATTTTGAATGTTTAGGTTTTGTGGGTTTATAGATGAGGAAGAAGAAAGGTTTTGATGGAGAAGATGAGAGTTGGTCTTGTGGTTTTGTGATAGGGTTTTTTTTGTTTTTGAATTTTTGGTATTGCACATTTGAAATTTTCTATTTTTTTAACAAGTAAGGATATTATAGTATTTATACATTGAAAAATTTAATTTGGTCTTGCACAAGTGAAATTAGTCTTGCATATAACCGCAGCCTTTAAAATATTCTTGATAATTCTTTGTTACAACCAATCCTTCAGATAAAGTCAAATTACAAAAAAAAAAAAACCCTTATATTTAAGTAATTACAACCATCAACCGATTATGTATTGTGTTGCATGTTCACCCTTACGGTATTAAATTTACCTACTAAATGAACCGGCATACATATAAATAGAAGAGTTTCCAATTTATTAAGAAATTGTGCAATGACCGATCGCAACTTCTACCTAATCGATAACATGGTAGTTACACTCGCGAGATATCGCGATACGGTACGGTCCCAATTGAAACGATACGACTAGAACTCTGTGTCGGCTATGTTTAAATATCGGTAAATATCGCGACTCGCGAGATATCGTATCGTATTGTTATATCACGATACGATACGATATTTACGATATTAGTCAAAATACTTTAAAAAAACAAAAAAAAAATGAAATATTTACAGTTTCAGGGCTAAAAAACGGATTTCAAAATAATCCTTCAAATTCACAACTCTAATCCACCTTTCTCACTTCAATTTCTTCAAAAAATATCACAATATGATAACCCTAACTCAATTTTTATAGATTTTTTTTTTTTTCTTGCGATTCAAGTGCGAATTTATGAGTGATAGATTAGTCTTTTAGAAATTATGAGTAATATATTAGTCTTTTAAAAGTTATGAGTGATAGATTAGTCTTTTAAAAATTAGGGATTCGAATTTGAACTTTGTTGACGTTATTTTAAAAACAACTATGACTTTGTTCCTGTTTTATGATGCAATTTGAAATTTAAAACTTGATTTGACTTTAAAATATTAAATTTAACATGTTTATAGTATTTCTGTTATGTAAAAATATATAGTTTATTATTTTTAATAATTGGTTAAATATCATACGATACGATACGCGGAGAAAAACAATACATCGATATTTTCCGATTCGATAACCATGATCGATAATATTCCATTCTTGGAGTGCACCACCATAAGAAATTTAGAAAATTGTCAAACTTCAATTCGAACCAAAAAAATGTCGATTCGACAAAAAAAAAAAAAAAAGGCATACTCGACGAATTCACCCTCCTTACCAACACTAAAAACTACATTATTTAAATACTCATCTCCCGCCCTAAACACGTTTTCTCAAATCCTCGTTTTCTCTGGTCAACAAGTCAACACGAGATTGAAGATAGTTGATAATGGCTTGAGCTCTCATCACTTCAATCTTCAAACTCTCCCTGTCCATCGAAACATTCATCATTTCCTTCTCCAAATTATTAATAAATTTTAAATACCCAGGTGGGACCGACTTCTCGAGATTCGAAGAGTCGAACTTGTTGTTCTCATTGGGCGGTTCCTCAAATAAGGGAAATTCCAAAGAAACAACTTTTTTCGTCATCATCATATTCAATGTTGTGGCCGGAGGAGGATCTTGGCTTGTGGTGGTGGAATCTTCCGACCCGTTTGAGATTGGATCCTCGAGTTTCGACCGCTTTGTTGGGGATAGGGTTAGCGGATCCGGACCGTCCGACCTCTCGCGTTTGCATGTGAAAGGAATGGTTGTGGTGGCGGGCCCCATTGCTATGCGGAGAGGCTGAGTTTCCTGTTACCAAAGAGAGAGAGGGTTTCTATAATACAATGATTTACGGAGAAAACGAAATACAAGGACGTACGAAGAGAAACGGAATATACTAAGGAATATTCTGCATCAAGATTCAAAAGAGTAACATAGTAATTAACAAGCACTCACCACTCGTCACCGCTAGTCCTTCAAACCCGTTTATAGACAACATAAAGAACAAATGAGAGGCACTCAAATCCCATACCGAGCAAATAATTACATCGAGCCCATATTCGTTTTGTAGAAATCGTTTATTGTCGAACCTATTTCATCCTAATTCATAGCCAACGTAGCATTCTTTTAGACCGAAGATGCATCTCGGTTTTTCTTCCATGCATATTGGAGATTAATCGCACTTTTATACGGGAAGAAAAGTAGTAACACGTAAAATCCATGAAACCCAATTTGAATTAGTTTTGCGACAAGAACTATGATTTAAAATTTAATAAATGCACAAAACCCGATTGAATATTCTCCAAAGATAATGATCCCGAAATTCTTTAACACTTGCATGCATAAATTCCTTTTAGGGGTTATCACATTTAGCACCCTTGTGTTTAGTCTAATTGTTAAAAAAACTCCCCGTGTATAAATACTAGCAAAAATTCCCTTTCTTTTATAACACGTGTTGACGTATAACACATGCGGATTAAATGCAATAAAGCCGTTTCTATCTCATTTTTAATTAATTTCTGAATACAACTTTACGAAGAAAAAAAATTGGAAAAAAAAAAATGGGCACGCACAAATCCTATAAATGAACTGCGTACCACAGGAGAAGTGGATCGAATCTATTAAAGAAGAAAGAAACCTGATCGAGAACTCGTGCTTCATCTCCGTTCGCCACATCATCATCAGGTTCTCCACCGGGGACCACAAGCGCCATATCATCATCATCGTCCCATTCCTCTTCGACGAAAGGGGCATACCGGTTCCCATTAGGCGGTCCTAGCCCACTCTTCTGGAAGATTCTACACAGCACAAATGCCTCCTTTTTTTTCCAAACAAAAAAATTAATCGAACTTCAGAAAAAAATGTAAAAAAAAAAAAATTTAAAAATTCAAAATATCCAGACCTGTGAAACACCAGCCATTTCCAATTCGGAATCGCAGAGCCTATACTCGTGCATAACCCAATTTGTTCTCTTGCCATCTGGCGCTCGACCGCTGTGGAAAACGAGGGTTTTCTTCATTCCTATAGTTTGGTCTTTATGGCGAACGTATCTATCTTTTCCGGTGGCTTTCCAGTACCCTTGTCCGGTGGCTCGATTCAGGCGGGACCCGTTTCCGTATTTTCGATCCACGGGGCTGAAAAAGTACCATTCTAGGTCTCTACTCTTCGTAGACGAGTACTCTAGTACAAGCCAACACCGCATAAAAAAAGGGACTTGTATTAATTTTCGAATAAAGAACGACGAAATATAAGAAATGGTTATTTATATCCATTTGCTGATTACTACAATACTTCGCGGCGTACACATGTCATAAAAATCGCATCTTTAACCTTAATTTCGTTTCCATTTTTAGTACGAAGTCAACACAATAAGCACTCGACATTAAGTAGTTAACAGAACAACTTTTGAATCAAATCGAAAGTAACGAACTCATTAAACATGCGAATGCAAATAAAACAAAAAACACGTAAATCTCTATCCTGAGTTTATGCAACAATCCATCTTTCACCATATCCATATTTTCCGGTTATATCTCTTCTTTAACCTTAATTTACTTCTCACACACGCGCGAGCAGTTACCCTAAGCAGAGACAAACAAACTGGAGTTGAACCAAACATCATAAAAGGGGCAAAAGAAAAATAAATAAAAATAATCATAAATAAATAAATAATCATTAAATAAATTAAAAAAAAATATTAGAAGAACACATGAATCAACCAAACAATTAAATCAATTAAAAAAAATCCCACATCAACCAACCAAACCATTAGATCATCTCATTCTCATGCATACCAAAATAACATAAATAAACAAATATAAAAAAAAAACTGGAAATGAATGTGAATTTTCAATAAACCACGACATGAATTAATATATACTATTTATTAATTATGAATTAAATATTAAAAGATATACCAGCAATCTCCCATGGCTCAGATTTGTAGACGTCAATTTCAGAAACAGCTTCAAATCGAAACGGCTTCCGACAAGCTTTCCTCCTCAAATAATACCTAACCAGTTCCTCATCAGTCGGATGAAACCTAAACCCAGGTGCCAGACAAGTCGCCGCCGCCGCCACCGTGCCCCCACCGGCCGCCGCCGCCACCTCATGTCCCATTTCCGCACAAATTAATAAAATTTTAAAAAAACTAATAAAAAAAACCTAGACGACGATCCCACAAAAACTCAACACATCAAGGAAGATCCCAGATGCAGAAAAAGCAAAAAATTAAGAAAAAAAAAATAATGTTAGAAGATTAGCAGGAGGCACGCAAAGGTTTATTCAATTAATCAAGAGGCGAATTGAAACGAAAAGAAATGAAAAATTGGGGATTTATTGATAAGTGGAGTTGGGGTTGGGGTTTGGTTTTTGGCCATGGGTTAAGAAATGTTTGGGGAGTGTGGGTAATGGATGCTTGCTTGACACGGAAATCGAAAAAAATGAAACAAACACAGAGGAAGAAGGAACAGTGTTTTGGGCTTAGCTGTATTTCTTTGTTGATAATCTTTGACGATGGGCTTTTTTATTTTATTTTATTTTATTTTATTCTATTTTATTTGTTTTTAGGTACTTTTTAACTTAATGAAACCTCTATTCCTCGAGGATAACGACTACCCTTTTCTTTTTCCTTTTTTTTTTTTTTTACTAAAATGGAAAAAAAAAATCATTTTTATTACTATTTACTTCTTGAATTAATTTTTGAATATATACTTGGGCATTGAAAATTATTAGTGAAAATCACCTCCTTATGTTTTTTCCTAAATTCTAGTTTATCTTATGTTTTTTCGCGAAATTATGGATTAAACTGTACGTGAATCGACTACGATGTTTGTGTAGTAGATTTATTAATCGATTAAAGTTGATTAAAATATTAAAGCGTGTATGAGAACTAAAAACAATAAATCGACTATAAGAAAAACATAGTTTATTCGACTATAGTCGTAAATTGTTACACACTAAAATCGATAGTAGAAAAACAAAGTGCATCGAACGGATGGAAGAAGCCTTGCCACACGATGAGTTGGTCGAGGCAAATTTTTTTATGTGCAGACTGTGGCGCCTTGACGTTAGTGAAGGTATTTGATGTCCAGACGGTGGTGTCTCAACGAGATCGTCGGTGAGGAGGAAGTGATTCAGATCTAGAGTAAAGAGGAATGAGTATGATTTTTGTTTCGAGATCCTCTTCCTATTAATGAAATTTCGTTTTTTTTTTGCCCCCTTTTATTTTAATTGAGTCGGAATGCGTTTTATTTCGGAAATTGGCCAATATGATTTTTGTTTAGTTTTTTTTGCTTTTTATAATGTTTTTGTTTGTGATTATAGGCATGTGAATTGTGATCATTTGGAAAATAATCTAGAGTTATTGTCCAAAAAGAATATATAAAGAATTTATATTCTTTTTTAGGAAATTATGTAAATATTATTGTTTATTATATTAAAATTTAAGTCCTTTATAGAAAAGATATTAATTTTGCTTGCAAAGTTGCAATATATAGTAGTACTAATTGACAAATTGGATACGTAAATTTGTAACAGAGATTCTTTTATAAAAGATTACAAGTTCTTAATTTCTAGTATTTTTTATTTTTTATTCTACAATTATTATATTATAATTCAAGTACCTCAATTCTATTATAAGGCCAATCATGTTTAATTTCATTGAAATTAATAAATTTATATAATTAAATAAATCAAATTCGACCCCTTTTTTTAAATATTTTTTTAATGTAATTAAAAGTTAATAAAGTTGAGTAAGCAGAATTCCTTGACTTTTCTTGCAAAACAAACAAGACTTAAGAAAATTTCCACGTGGGAATATGAATATAAATATTAAACAGTAGTGCTATCACATAGCTTAAGCTATCTGCTACAGTTCCCTTGAAAGGAAATGACTTTTGGCATAAAATAATACCCATAAATAGTTAAAAAGTTTCAAACACAATCCAAACAAGACTTTCCAGTTTATAGATCTATATAACTTCTTGTTGAATATTTATCATTTATTATTTATTATTTTATTTTCGTGTAAACATTGTAAAACAAAAATTATTTGGATCAGAATTTTCCAATTTTGGAACAATATTTTTTCAATCCAAATCCGAAATTCCAAGTTTCGAATTTTCCGAAATTATTTGGATCGGGATTGGAGTATATATGAGATTCAGATTTTCGATTTGATTTTATATTCAAAAAATAATCCAAAATTCCACTATTTTCCCGAATATTATACTTAAAATACCAATATTATTATGTATTTTAAATTTTAGGTGATTGAACTCCGCCCGCCTCTTCAGATCCGATTTTTTTTTTTTTTGTTTCGAAAACAAGTTTTTTCATTCCAATTTCTGAAATTCCGATTTCGATTTGTTCCGTTTCTTTTGGAATGAAACCCCGAACTAGCTTTTTGCTCCGAAAAAAAAAAATTCTTCGAAAAGACTAATTTCAATCCGATCCATCCGATTTACATCCATACTCAGCGCGAGATAGGTTTTGCTTCCATAAAAACCCACTTACCTATTTCAAATAAGTGATACAATATAGTTTGCTATCATTAGTTAGATACAAAAGGGTGCATCACATCATGCCGTATACAACAACATAAGATATATAATTAAAAAAATATTTTTAAGAATAAAATAAGTCAGTTTAATTATTCAATTAAAATTGGAAAATAAAATAAGAGAGATTACATTCTACATGGAATGAATGTAATAAAGTTTATGAGTGCAAGTAAAGCAATTCAATTGCCCGTTCGTTAAGAAACCTCTATATTGCGGGTCCTTTTTTGCTTCAATTTACGAAAAGACGCTTTTGCCCTTTCCGTCTTCCATGCATGAATATTTATATATTAAAATATCATTTCTTTTATTCCAAAAAAGAAAAGGATAAGTCCCAAATCGGCACGTGCGTACCATTAGTCAAACATGGCTGTGGTTTGACAAGAATACCCTTTAGTGTCCATCACGTATTACTTTTGGAAAAAGGTGCTCTAATTTATCACGAAATCTCGCCACATAACCAAATTTGTTTATTCTTATTTATTTAAATAAATAAATAGAATGCATTTTTTTTTATATAGAAATTCATATTTTGAATATACTAAATAAATTGATTGTAGTGTAGTATTTAATCATAATTTTGCACACACCGATGAAGGTCCAAGTATAATATAGAACACATCATTTTAGATATTTTAATGAATTATGAGAATTTATTTTAATGTAAACATTCAGAATTCTAATTTAAAAAAATATATATATTAAGGACATTCTTTTCCAGTTTACCATAATGATAATAATATGATTCTTTTATGAGTGTATTCATATGATAGCTAAAATTAAAATTATTTAGTGACACTATTAAGTTTCTAAATTAACAATTGGCCCAATAATAATAATATCGCATGTACCTAGTTGGGCCAAATTATTTGTGCTCGAGAGACGGGCCGGGCCAATTATGGGCCCAATATTGTAAAATGACATTGGTGCCGCTGCTAAGGAAAATGTATGGAAAATGTATTTTTCATCCTTTAAATTTGCACCGATTTCATATTTAGTCCTCCATGTTCACAAAAAAATACATTTTTATCCCTTATGTTTTAAAAATTCAACACTTTTAGTTTAATGAATTCAAGCTTGTGTCCACGGCTGCCGCTTTATCGACGAACTAACGATAAATTGACGGAAATGACCAAAATTGTTAACTTACTGAATCATGGGGACCAAATGTGTTTTTTGTGAGCATGTAGACTAAATATGAAATTGATGCAAACTTAATGAATGAAAGCCATAATTTTCTCGAAAATGTATTATACATATTGTCAAGTATATACCATTATTAAACCAACCCTCAGTAAGAGAGTTGATATCTAGCATTCTAGTCTCTACTACTAAGAAAAGAGGTCTAAGTTTCAAGTCCTCCTCTCGACAATTTGCTATTCACTTAACAACGATCGCTAGGTCGAGTTTGCCATACATAGGTAGCCTAGTATTTTTTACGTCTCTCATATAATTTGTATATGTTTACGTAATGCACGTATAGAGGTTGGTGTGAATTGGTTTTATCTATCCTACACCCGGTGAAGGTTACACCGGGTGATTTTTTACCGTTGATCTACACATACCAATGTGGGTGTGTGTGTTTGTGTGTATATGAATGGTAAAGATCTACCTGGTGTATTTCACCCGGTGTAGGATCTCAAAAGCCGTGTGAATTTCGTCATTACCACTTATTATTATTAATTTTTTTTTAATCAAATTCGTCAAATTAAAATTCATCCCTCTATAAAGATTCAAAATTTATACAGAAAACTCCAAAAACAAAACAATGCCGCGAAAAATTTGTATTGACCCAAAAAAACGTCATCAGGTGGGTACCCACACGCTCCAGCTGCCGGCGCGTGTACAATCAAATATACAGACGTCTCAGTGAAATTGAGACATTTGTACTTGATTCATCATACCCCCACACACCTATTAACCCTAATTTGAAAATATTTGTATGTATTATCCTCAGTTTCTTGATTTCAACGAATATATAGCTAGGTTTTAAATAAATAAATTAATTAAATTAACGAATGTGGTGTAAAATTATGTAAGTATGATCAACTACGATTACTCATTCAAGGTGTTGTTGATCGGCGACTCTGGTGTGGGAAAGAGCAGTCTTTTGCTCAGCTTCATATCCAACTGCCACCCCTTTTCTCAAGATCTCTCTCCAACTATTGGTCTGTGTGTGTGTGTGTGTGTTTAGTTGATTTTTAAGGTGTTTTTGGTTATGGGTTCTTGTTTCTGTAATATATGATCCCTGATCTCTCTCTCTCTCTCTCTCTCTCTCTCTCTCTCTCTCTCTCTCTCTCTCTCTCTCTCTCTCTCTCTCTCTCTCTCTCTACTTGGTTTTTATGTGTTTTGGACCTTTGGTTATGGGTTCTTTTTGTTTATGTAATATATGATCCATGATCTCTCTCTCTCTCTCTCTCACACACACACACACACACACACACACAAACACACACACAAACACACAAAGAGACATGTCAATTTGAGCTGATTCAATGCTCTGTTTTGTTTTTTGGATGGAAAATTAAGTGCTCTGTTTAAAAAACATGATTTCTTGATTTTGTAACAGTTAAAAAAAACTGATAATTTGATTTTAATCTGATCATCAAAATCCAATAATCAGGAGTGGACTTCAAGATAAAGCTGTTAACTACTGCTGGAAAAACACTCAAACTCACAATTTGGGACACAGGTAATTAACTAACTCCTACCTAGTTACCAATTAGTTATCGCTACGACTGGATTAGATAATATGTCGTTAGTTAGGCGTTTCCGCAATTAGTTACTACATTGGTTTCTTTTGTTCATTAATTTGATCGGGATTCGCCAATTAATTATTGTTCGTTAATATTACGGTGCAGCTGGGCAGGAAAGATTCGGTACATTGACAAGTTCGTATTACAGAGGAGCACATGGAATCATCCTCGGTACAATATTGCAACTTCTACATTTTTTTTGTGTGTGTAAATTACGGGGACTCCATGAGGTAAGACTAATATTCCTGTGTGGTATTGTTAATTACAAATATCTCCCTGAGCTATTTCTCTCCGTCTTACAATTACACCCTAAGGAGTTATGGGTAACGGAATCTTGAAGATTCCATGAAATATTCCTTAATGAATTTCCAAATCTATCCGAGGGGTAAATGTAGTATACTCATAGGGGGTAACTGTAATATAATAATTTTTTCTTACCACAGGGTACGCGTACTTTACCGGTAGTTTGTTTGTTTAATGAAAAGGTAATTTAAACAACTCGTTCATTCTGTTAGGGTTTATAATGTTAGGGTTTATAACGAGTTGTTCGTTTTAGGGGTATTTGTGATTAGGACTATGACATGGATTTGTAAGTTATTTAGTCTTAGCTCAGCGGTATTAATTTACCCTTTTATTTATTTATTTAAAAGTAGTCATATTAAAATTGTACTTGCTAATTGGATTAAAATCGGAACCTTTTTTTCTTTTCTTTTCTTTTTTAAAGTTTACGATGTAACAAGAAGAGAAACCTTTACAAATCTATCCAATACATGGACGAAAGAACTCCAGCGTTACTCCACAGATCCCGATTGTGTCAAGATACTAGTCGGAAATAAAGTCGATAGGGTAAGTTTCATAACTTCAATATTTTTTTTAATTAAAAATATTAATCCAAGCTTGCATTGATTTATTTATTTAAAAGTCTAATTTATTTAAGGTAACTAAATTTTGATAATATATTTTTCAGGATAGTGAGAGAGCTGTTAGTAGGGAGGAAGGAATCGCTCTGGCGCGAGAGCACAAGTGTTTGTTTTTCGAATGTAGCGCCAAAACTCAGGCAAACGTAAAGCAATGTTTTAAAGAACTCACCGTTAAGGTATATCTATATATATATATATACACACACATATATCGGTTTTAATATTGTTTAGGATCGTAATTATTAAGGGTAATTAAATTAGCTAATTTTGAATTAATGATGAATTAACAGATAATGGAGGTACCGAGTCTGCTGGAGAAAGGTTCGATGCCTGTAAAAAATCAAATTTCAAAGCGAAAACAAGTTTACGAGGCGCATCGTAAAGACAGCTGTTGTTCATAGTCGAAGAACCGACTGATGAATTTTTGCTTTTTCGAGTTTTTATTACATGTATGTATTCTTTTGAATCTTGTACACATCTTTTTGATCATGTAAATTTGCAGTTCTGTAAGTAACACAAGTAAATCAAGGGGGAAATAGACCACAGTTACATATAAAATGCAAATAGTCAATAGATGTTACTTACTAGCGATTCATCTTACCTCGAATCAGATGTGCGCC